CTCGGCCGTCCTGCATTGACATTCGCCTGCGAATGTCGCCACCGGACGACAACACTCGCCCGCGAATGTCACCACCACGCGCTAGTGCCACCGGGCCTCTTTCTCACCCTCAGCTGACAAACCGTCTCTAACATCGTTTTGCCTCGTGTAGACCGCCGGAATCCCGGACGAGCACCTAAATGTGGGATCCGCGAAAAAGAATCGGGCCTTTCGGGTAACTAGACCGGGACTCGAACCTTCCGCTTCCGGTCGACTGCTCTTCCAACTGAGCCATTCAGACACAAATCAATATTTCTCTCAATGTTTATACCCCCAAAGCGTCGTGATTAGGCCCAGACGCGACAAATATTTATTTGTTTCAAATATTTGATTGATTAGGCAGTATTGATATAAATATTTATTAATTTGATGATGTTTCCAGTGTAGATATAAAGAAAATATTTGTTCGCGTAAAGTCAGAATTAATATTTTAATAATTAACATTGTGAAGCGCGATGTTGATTTTTTTACTTAACACATACATAGTCGAGAGCCACGTGCTCGGAAGGAACAGGGCGATTTTCCACGGAAGAAGCGATAAGGGAATGTTGCGGAAACGTGGCACTCGGCCACGGCCGTTGAGTCTCACCGGAAGTCACGTCGACGACGGGTAAATGAGGCGTGTACGTGAAGCGTACACGGACGATCGGTCTCTCCCTCGAGCAGCCAATTCGCTCCTTTCGGGGGCACTAAGCGAGATTATCGCCATGATTTCGCGGCGACGGGATTCCTCCTTCCCGGAAGAATATCGTAATACGGGTATCTCGAATCACCATTCTCAGACTTGAGCTTCTGTATGTAATCCGATCTGTTGGAAGAGATCAGTCACAGATGATGATTAACATGTTGTTAATCCGTAGAGATCAGCTTGGAAATAATTCATGATCGAAACGCGATGATATCTAATGAAAATCGCGAACGATTTGATTTTTCGAAGAGTTTCTCTGTATGAATTATCAGACCGAATATATATATTTGATTTTCGCGAATCGCGAAAATTCTTTTTCAATCGGATAAATGCTCGATACTGATGCGTTAACGATCAGATATCTTTTCGCGGATTGAATAATTAATTGTCGTTTTAAGCATTTGACAGCTGCAAATACATTGACGTGGAAAATCGATGGAAACGCTTTATATCCTGCATCGCGACGTCGCGGAATATCCCGATTTCATAAAATGCCCCCTCGATCGAGGTATTGAATATTAAATGCGCAATTCTATAATGCACCAAAATAATATCGCGATTGATTATAATTAAAATTAACAAAACGCATGGCCAACGAAATAATTAATTATCGATTCGTTTCTGTACTAAATGGTGATTATTATCGCGTTATATTATTTTTAAAAAAAGAAGCTGTTGCGGAAATCCTTCTTTTGTCTCTTTCTCTCTCTCTCTCTCTCTCTCTCTCTCTCTTTCATCCTCTCTATCGTATTAGCCACATTTAATACAGAAATTGCAGAATAATTTCAATCACTTTTGCTTCCTTCTTCTCCGTAATAAATATGTAGATTTATGATAGATTCCCAGAGAACGCTTCGTAGCTCTCTAGAATCTTGATGTAATTTTCATGGAAAATTCTGAGAAAAAGTGAAAAAGTCGGACCTCTTGCATTCTTCTTCTCCTTCTCTGATCTTCGATCTGCGGGTCACTGAATCGATCTTAATGTGATCGTGCTCCAAGTCTCTTAGGAATTGCCTATCGAATCCACGTCGGTGACACGTGCGACATGATAGGAAAGAGAGAAAGAGAGAATGAGAGAGAGAGAAAGAGAAAAAAAAAACGCACGAATACTACAGGTAATTTGAAATGTAGAAAGGCGAGAGTACGCGAGAGCATCCTATAATCGTGAATTGAGGACGAAGAATTTGTAGTGAGTCGTCGTCCTTTTTAAGTGCGTCCTGATTACGTAAGATATTGTTAGCCGAATCGGCGATCGTCGACGATCGAGAGAGAATGAGAGTGCGAGAAAAAGAGAGAAAGATATATACATATATTTCTTTTCGGCTCGCGTCCGGATTCGCGCGACGTTCTCCAGAAGCCGTTCGCGTGATTGAAGACGAAGAGGAGTCACTTACGCGAGGATCAAAACCAGTCCGTACGATCTACGAAAAAAAAAAAATAATAATAGCGCGGTAGTTGGCGATAAAACTGTGGAAATTAGTAGCCGATTAGAGCCGGTAGTTATCACTAATTACTAATCTCGAGTAAAAGAAGGGAGAGAGAGAGAGAGAGCGAGAGTGTGTGTGTGTGTGTCTGAATGAGAGAGAAAAAATGAGAGTGAAACGTAGAAAGGATTGTACGGATGACAAGTCGCGCCGATCCGGGCAAAGGTTTCGTCCTAAATCGATGCATTCTAAATGAAAGGTCGCGTTTCGCAGTCGGCCTGCAACAACGTCCGGTGTTTCCCGGCGCGCGATCGTCGACGTATATAGTTTGTTGTAATAACGAAGAAAAAACATTTAATTAGCGAATGTGTGCAGTTTTGTGCGCGTATGTTTGTTCAGTGACATACTGAAGAAGAAATAGAGTAATAGAGGAAGAGAGAGGGAGAGATATTGTATCCATCTTTCTCCCAATTGAATTCTCAAAGCCCACCATCGATCCTTGAGCTATCAAATTCGTGGATTCTGGAACCCTCATTGAACTCTCGAACCTTCAGAAATCTTCTTGAATCCTTAGAATCTCGTGTTTCTGCTCGGACGAAATTTCTCGAGCACATGGATGCTATAAGATTGGATCCTTTAAATCTTTGGATTCTAAAGTCTTCCTTGGAAATTGTATTCATTATCAGTATCGATCGGGCTCTTTAGGATCTTGGATATTCCCGAAGAAGAGGCAGAGATCCTTGGATGCCTAGATCTGGAAAAAAAATGTCTATCCACGATCCTTTCTGGATCTTTAGAATCCAAAGATCTGCATTATATTTTGAACGCTTAACTTTCGATATTTCTGATCCTCAGATTCTTAGATCTCGTGTAGTTTTATAGAGAGTATCAGCTGTTCGATCGCGCGAATTTGATCTCGCAAGGCATGGTTTTTGCAGTGATGACAGATCCAATTTTGACAAGAGGAGGCGAACACGTGACTCTTTCCCTCTCGCGAGAGGAAGGACAGCTGTTCAAAAGTGTATTTCGCGGTATATTTTACGCGCTGGTATTTTTTCGGTGTTTCGCGGCGATAGAATTGTGTAAAATTAGAGAGAACGAATAAATAAAAAAGAAAAAAAAGATGAAGAAACCGCGCCTCGCCGCAAAGCCGGTTTTTTTGCCGGTGTACACACACATAGAGATATTTACGTAAGCAAGGAAAAAAACACAGCAGCGGCGTCGTATATATATATATATATATATATATATATATATATATATATATATATATATAAAATAAAATGTATAGATAAAATAATTTTTGGGAGTGCGACGCGATTGCCGAGTGACGATGATGTTACTACTGTATGAGACGAATAATAATACACGATTAATTATTATTAACGATTACAATTAAATATTGTCCCGATTATTATTAGAGACGTATGGAGATTTATTACTGCGACCACGAAGCTCGCAAAGAAGAAAAAAAACTTTGATCTTTTATCGCAGGGAGGACACACAACCAAATATATAAGCGTTTGTAAGGCACACGTGAAAAAAAAAACACAAACAAAAATAAGTTAATGAGAGAAAGATCTGCACGAATGAAAGAGAGTGCGAGAGTGCGAGTGCGAGAGAAAAAGCAAGAGAGTGAACGAGGAAAAAAGAAGAGAAAGCTCGAGCGTTATAAATGCGTGAAAAAAACAAGAGAGAAATAAAAAAGAGTGCGTGCGTATGTGAGAGAGAGACATTAGTTCCGTTTTTGAGTGTTGAGAATGTTCATTTGTAATTGTTTAAATCTAATGAGAAATGTACTGTAAAACTATAAGTACTATAGGCACTAAAAATATATCATTTGTTGACATGAAAAAATAAAAAAAAAACCGACTGTGTCAGTTCTGTCAGCGCGCGTGGCGTATATTGCGTATATTTGCATTTTGTACATGCGTATATACGCGTAAACACACGCGCGTAATTGCAATTGCAACGCATATTGCGTGCAAGTACAAATTCTCCGTTTTTTTTTCTGTCCTTTCTCTCTCTTTCTCTTTTTACGTTTTATATATATATATATATATATATATATATATATATGAACGAAACCGCGAATTAAAATGATGAGATAGTGTCGCCGCGCCTGTTATATATTATATAATAAATGGAAGTGTGCACATCGCGTGAGACGAGATCGCGCATCTTAATTAGGCAAATGTCGAACGACGAGCTTCAGTCTAGCATTAAGCCATATAGTGATATATACATTATATATATTATTACATATATAATACAATATATATAAAATATATTTATATATAATATTATATATTATATATACAAATGTATAATACATAATATTATATTATACGTGTGATCTATATTATTTATAATATATAATGTATGAAAAATATATAATATATTATATATTATATGTATATATATATAATATAGGTGACAAATGTATTATCAAAAGATTTTTTGTAGCAAAAGCAAGAGAGAAAGAGACGTTGTGCATCAGAGATCTCTGATGCTGATAAAGTACCATTAAATCTCAAATATAATAGAAGACCATTAAATGTTCGTCTTGTCAAGTTGATCGAAGTTTATTCCAGCGCTCGTGACTAACGTGACGATCTACTTTTCTGTTTTTCATCGTTTACAAGAAAGAGAGAGAGAGAGAGAAAGAGTTATTCAGTTTATCGAGTTGCATCGGGAATACGCGGCACTTAGGGAAACGGCGCCTTCGAGAGATCCACGAAGAGGAAGGTAAGTGACATTTCGATGAGGCATTTACATCGAAAGTATCTTTTATACAACGTATGTGCACTCGCTATTTACCATCAGTCATAAAAAGTCGAAATGGCACGGTTGTTGATCAATAATATATTGCGCGAGAGGGTATATCGTTGTACAGTTGTTACACAAGCGAAATATAATAAATATTCACACAATAAACTATCGATATACACGAACGATCGTTACGTAACGTGCTTACTAAATCAAATCTCTTCGTTGCTCAAACATTTCTTTCTTTCTACAGATATTTAAAAAATAGTGCAATGTTCTTTTTCGATATATCCGCGCTTAATGAGATGTCGATCTTACGATTAACCCTTGAAGAATTATCGTCCGCAACGTAATAAAAAAAAAACCATAATTACAAAAATCGATATCTTTCATTCATAAATGTTAGACATTAATTTTTATCGAATTCAATAAATTGGTTATATTAAATTATAGACGAAAACAAGTTGAAATAGAAAAGTCGCTAATTAAAGTCAAACTTAATTAAACGCCCCGTCTTCTCGGGACCAATTAAGGGTAAATCGAAGATGTACAAACGTGGAACTCACGATTGGAAGATTCACGAGTGCCGACACTTTTAGTAAAATTCACAAGAGATTGAGAGGCAGCATCAACCCGTGAACACACAACACGCTAACGGATTCACTAAATCATTATATCGGTTATTGCTGCTGTTGCTGTTGCTGCTGCTGCTGCGCGGAATTATTAATAGTCTCCATTTTCTGCTCGTTCTCCCGATTCGCCGAGTCCTGCTTTCTCTGCTCCTCTTCAGCATCCGTCGGGGGCGCCAACAAAGCGTTCAGCAAGCCTTACATCATCAGTATCATTAATGCAACTTCTACCCGAAGTATGTTACGAGTCCGATTAATCATTACTTAATCATCGAAATCAGAATAATTTACTCACCGATGTTCTCTCCTTTGAACGAAGCGCCTGATAAGAAAGAAAAATATTGATTAAAACACCGTGATCGAAAAATCAATCATTATTTTTTTTTACGAGGAACAAAATTCGATGGATGAAGCTCTTCTATTTTATAATTTGATCGGGAAAATCCATCGATTCTCACCGTTGCCGCGGTACTTGTTCAGCTGCTGGTACACCTGCTTCATCCGCTCGATGTTGATGCGCGAGTTCTTGCTGTGGTTCACCATCGGCAGCGAGTACTCCTTGCCGATGATGCATTTGGCGGTGTGTTGTATACTAAGTGGTGCATTCCAGGGTTCGTGGATGTATCGGGTGGGAAAGTTTTTGAGCACCGGCAGGTAGCGTCTGGTCAAAGGCAACGATACAGGTAAGATCGATTAGTTATCGAGGGAGACGAGAATCCTTATCTCTCTCTCTCTCTGCATGCGTAACGCAGAAGAATTAAAAATTGCACGGAAGAAAAATAATACGCGTGAAAAAAACGCGAATAATTAATTTTGTTTGCGCTCTTCGTAAAATATCAAGTAATAAATGTCATTACCATTAAAAGCGTTAATAATCTGATAATCGAACGTTGTCGTCGCCGACGATTTGCCACGATTAAGCTTTAATGGAACTAAGCCGTTTAACGTTCCATCTATTTCGCGATTAAATTCTGCTTTTCTCGCATATACGGATTCACGCCCGATGAGTTAGAAATTAAGATCAATCAAGATTAAAATTTCCATTAGTCCGACCATCGCGTGAACGTTAATCGTACTCCGATAGCATCGTACATATATACGTGCGATTTGTTCATATAAACGTTATTTCAACGAAAAACAGAGATTTTTTCGAAATTGTTTGACAGCCGCAATCCTTATTAAAAAAAAAAATATTAAAAACATTTTAATCGCACGATTTGTCACCTGATATAATCGCCGTTTGGATCCGCCTTTCTGCCGAATCGCACAGGACAGTAGCAGTGGAAAAACTGTTGGAAGAACGAGCTACAAGACAGCCACATCCACATGCCTGCATTGACAGACCAGTCGGCGTCCAAGAGCAGCTCATCGAACACCTTGAATTAATTTAAATATTAGATTAATTAAATTAATCCAATAATAAAATAATCAAAAACTAACTGCTCTACACCAAAATATTTTACAGTTTAATAGTCTGCCATTAAAAAGTTGTTTCGTCAAATTCGCCAAGTATTAATATTCGAATAAAGTAAAGCACACAAATTATTCGTATCAATCGCGTTCAAGCGATTTTTCTGCATTAAATTCGAGATTATATTGCATTAACGAATGCATTTCACGTACTTTCGAAAAAAAAAGAACTTCGCGACGACGTTAGGAAGAATGTTACCTAGGTAGCTCATGTTAATAACAAGAGCAAACGAATAAGAGGCGATCGAAATGCCAGGCACGCCGTGACATTTTACCTTCATTCCTTCCTCCCATGAGATCCAAAGGTCGCCCCTGGTCAAGAAGCAAGCAACCGCATGTCTGGCCAGATGATGTATCCACCCTTCCTCGCGCAGTTGAGTCATGATTGCATCGATCCATGGAAATCCAGTCTGACCCTAATAATCGGCGAAGAAAAAGAAAAATTTTATTCTCAACCGGTCTTGCAAAAATCGACAATTTTTCTCTTCTCAAAAACTCCAAAAATGTCAATTATATAATATAGGATAAATGTTTTCCTTATCAGAGAAAAATTGCGATGGGGTGAAGTCTTGTGTGCGCGCAAATGATACAGTCTTCGGTCTGTGATTGCCCTTCTCACTTACGTTCGCCCATTTCGCGAGCGCCTCCACGTTCTTGTCCCAGGGTATCTGCACACAAATCGGATTACCCTGCATGCGATCGAAGTTGGGGTTCGTGGTCGAGGCGCAGTAAAAGAACTCGCGCCAGAGCAGCTGTCCGTGCAACGAAAGCGGCGGCACCGCCTTCTTTATCTGAAACAGTATCGTTGACAGGGGATCCGAAGAGATCATTCGCTTCGAAAGCTTGGAGAAAGCGTCGTTCGGATAAGAGCAATATTTGAGAGAGAGAGAGAGAGAGAGAGAACAGACTAGCTAGGAAACTTTCGGAACTCTGGAGATAAAAATCCCGCGATGTATAACTATCGCGAGTGTCTCTCCAAAGTTCCGTTTAATTATTACCATTAATTATTAGAGAGTAATCAAGAGAAGAAAGGAAGCGAAGGGAGAGACTTTTGCGGTACACATACACATATATTTGCGCTCGATATCGCATATCGCGGTGACTTACAGAGGTCGGATTGCGGTCGTCTCGTACCTTCTTGTACAGATCGGTGAGCTGGTAGTAGAAGAGCCGCGTGCTGAGACACCCGAATCGAAGGTAGGGCGAGAGCCCGGTCTGGCTCGGCAGCAGGGACTGCGGAGTCATCTTCGGCCTCCCGAAACTCGCCACCCACGCCTTCCTCTCGAGATGACGCTCCAGCCGCGCCAGGGCTTCGCTCTCGCCGCCGACCCACACGGGGGATAGCAACCCCTCCGTGTCAAAGCCTGTAACCGTGAGGAAGGAACAATTAGGAGCTACAAAGATATCAAATTAGGAGCGCGATCTTGCTGTGCATTGTTTCCCGAGAAAAGTGTAAGCTAATTTTGAACGTTTAATATCTCTAATTAAATATAATCCTTGACTATTCATTTCAACATTTACGAAAAACGGGCTTTTTGCCCATCTAGATTAAATTTTAGTTTAAAATTACTTTTTCAAAATGTATTAATTTAATTATTAATATTAATTAACGTTATTAATTATTAGTTCTTTTTTAATATTAATTTTAATTTTAATAGTTGCCTCGATAGTAATTTAAAAAATTAATTCCTGGAATTAAAATTCTAAGAATGCGAAATATATTTAAGAGTAATAACTTAATTACTTAGAGTTAAGAGAGTACACAAATAAAATTCTGTTATTTAATTGCTGTCCGACTTATTGTGAAAGAAATTTATCGATCGTTTGGCGCTTAAGGAATAAATATAGTGCCACGATATTTTTATTAAGCGCAAGTCTCCACAAAATGATGAAAGAGTTTGACACTAAGATTAAACTCATGGATATCTAAGACATCTTATTTTTTTTGTCTTCATCCCTTCGACGTTGTGAAAAATCATAGGAAAAGAACTTGGAAGTCTTCGGGATATGCTTTGACATTTGATAACAATAAGAGAGAAAGGAAGCGAAATGACAGAATAACGAGCGACATTTGAAAGTGAGGGAAAACAACATAGAAACAATACCGGAGCTATATGGATCTATAACGTCAACAGCTAATAAGCTGTTGCGCAATGCACAATGGAGGGAAAACTTGAAGACGCTCGTGACATTTGATAATGAAAACAATCAACTGAAATAATTAGTAATCGATCGAGTTCTCCCTTCGCGTCGCGAAATACATATACAGGCATCGGCGGATATTGTAATAGGGAATGAATTCACGTTACACGAGATAACGCTCCCTTACAACAGGGTGCATTAATATTGTAGCGGCTAATCCGCCGCGAGTGAATTTTCCATGACAAGTGCGATAAACTCGCGTTAATCTGTCTAGTCCGGCATATTCTATTCGAAATGCATATCGCACATTATTGCCCAATTACAGCTGAAACACGGCCGAGTATTTTGGTTTCGGGCAATTTAACATCCTCCGCGAGAATTTAATATTAATTAGAGCTAATCATTTCCGCGATAAATAATATTTACTTGGATTTGAACAACATTTTTTCTTCGATTTTATGAATCTTTAGACGTAGCTTTAATTTTTGAAGTCTGAAAGAATAAGTATGAAACAAAAAGAACTTTTTAATAAAAAAAAAAACAGATTTTTCTCCAGGTAAAAATCTCGCAATAAACTAAGGTGTAGTTTATATCCTGCGCGATTTTCCGAGGCTTAAGGATGTTAAGAAGAGCTGTCAAAATGATGACATTTCGAGACTCTCTCTGATCTGCAATTAACGATAAGTTATTATTTCAACAAGATTTACGATACAATTGATCGAAATTGAGATAAATTGGGTCTGAAATGAAGACTTTCGCGCGCCCGGACACATATAGGTCCTTTCTCACCGAGTTCCTCGAGGGTGGGCACGCCGTAATGGTCGTCGTGGTCGTCCTTGAGAGGGGTGTAGGCACTTCCGATGCAGGCGGCGGTCACCGTTGGTACTGGCGGTTCTGGCGGGTCCATGCCGGCGACGACGTTTTGGAATTGATGATAGGTCAACGGTGGTTTCCCATTGTTTCTCTCTATAATCCTGAAACGGAGAGGAAAGGTGCAGTCGCGAAATAATTCGAGAACTATGGCAAAACATTTATAATCCTAGGTGATACATTTATACTAAAAGGATCTTAGTTAGTTGGCTAATATTTCGATTTTAGAAAATGTGCCTTTGACGCTTCTTTTTTTTTTTTCATACAAATGTTTTATATAGTGGCATAAAATTAGATTTTAATTACAGCCTGATTTTGCGTTCAAGCTCCGAATAAACAATTTTACTTATCTATTGATATCAATATTAATGAAATAAATTTAAAGTGTAAGACAGGCAATAAGAGCCAAATCGCGGATGACAGTGCGTTATCCCAACGAAACTAAATTTTTTCGTTAGAATGAAATACCTGTGACCAAGTAAAATTTGATGCCTTGTGCACAGGTATTTAATTCTAACGAAAAAATTTAGTTTCGTTGGGATAACGCACTGTCATCCGCGATTTGGCTCTTATTGCCTGTCTTTACATTTATATTTACACTTTAAATTTATATTTATATTACAGAGCCTTGTTAAACTCTTAATTTAATGAAATAATTTATTGATAAATCGATCGGATAAGGGTTTCTTGAACTCACTCGTCCAACTTGTAGAGAGTGTGCGAGACCTTCTGGACCACCGAGATGCCAAGCTCCTTGCAGAGTGCCGAGATGTTATGATCTCGCACGCGACCGAACGGCTCCGGATCCTCTTCGAAGGTCAGATTCGTCGTTCCCCATTCCTTGAAGAGTTTCGGAAGTGCGTCGGCTGGTTGGCCACGGATCACAAACAGACGGGAATTCAGCTTCTTCAGGGAACAGTCTAGATCCTCCAGGCACTGCAGCAGGAACCTGCATCGGAATGCCACGCAAAAGATTGGTGATCAAATCACGTGCTCAGTTTTATAAACATAGACAGGGTTATAATTTATAATTTATACCGTAACAAACATTTTTGTTTATTAACTTCGTAAACTCCGGAACGTTGAAAAATTGTCGCCGAAGAAAAAGACTAATATTGAATGATATAAGAATAAGCCTGATTAGATTTTACGCTTTCGTAGTAATCGAGATGTTATAAAAGCGTAAACATAAACATGCGTCTCGCTGTTGTTGATTTATTTTTGGCTGCCAATGCTGTCGCTAATGTCCTCTTCGTCAACCGTGATTCAGTAGGATTATCGACAGCATTTAACCGCTACGATCGCTTAGGAAACGGTTACATAACGCTTAATCAACATGACAAATGATGGACGATGAGAGTAGCTCGAACGTTCGTCGCAGTAATGCAACGAGATTGTGCGATGCAACGAAGATCTACTGCGCCGTTTGTGTTGAACACAACCTCGGCTGTCGCCATTATCGACGAATTAAACAGTCATCACACTCTCGATCGTTGCAACATTATACCCATTTAAATTCAAACAAGTTAGATATTATTAAAATAATATTAAATTATTAATATTCGAAATGTTATTAATATTAATAATAAGAATATTAATATCATTAAGGATATTAATATGAATATTAATATATTAAATGTCTTAATATTTTAAATACCTCAATAATATTTAATATCTCATTTAATTTCCAAATATTTTAATAATATTAATATTATTAATAATTATTGCTAATTTATAATAATATAAATTAAAAATAATATTAATATATTCTTAACAATATCTAATATTTAATAATACCTTGTTCAACATTCAAATCTCTCAAGAAAACTCAGAAAACTAAACCAAGAATGTGTGTTTCAACGGGGTGAGTGCCTCGTATTTGGTTCACATTCGATCGTATTATTTTCCTACCCCCATTCAAAATGTTATTAATATTAATAATAAGAATATTAATATCATTAAGGATATTAATATGAATATTAATATATTAAATGTCTTAATATTTTAAATACCTCAATAATATTTAATATCTCATTTAGTTTCCAAATATTTTAATAATATTAATATTATTAATAATTATTGCTAATTTATAATAATATAAATTAAAAATAATATTAATATATTCTTAACATAATCTAATATTTAATAATACCTTGTTCAACATTCAAATCTCTCAAGAAAACTCAGAAAACTAAACCAAGAATGTGTGTTTCAACGGGGTGAGTGCCTCGTATTTGGTTCACATTCGATCGTATTATTTTCCTACCCCCATTCAAAATGTTATTAATATTAATAATAAGAATATTAATATCATTAAGGATATTAATATGAATATTAATATATTAAATGTCTTAATATTTTAAATACCTCAATAATATTTAATATCTCATTTAATTTCCAAATATTTTAATAATATTAATATTATTAATAGTTATTGCTAATTTATAATAATATAAATTAAAAATAATATTAATATATTCTTAACAATATCTAATATTTAATAATACCTTGTTCAACATTCAAATCTCTCAAGAAAACTCAGAAAACTAAACCAAGAATGTGTATTTCAACGGGGTGAGTGTCTCGTATTTGGTTCACATTCGATCGTATTATTTTCCTACCCCCATTCAAAATGTTATTAATATTAATAATAAGAATATTAATATCATTAAGGATATTAATATGAGTATTAACATATTAAATGTCTTAATATTTTAAATGCCTCAATAATATTTAATATCTCATTTAATTTCCAAATATTTTAATAATATTAATATTATTAATAATTATTGCTAATTTATAATAATATAAATTAAAAATAATATTAATATATTCTTAACATAATCTAATATTTAATAATACCTTGTTCAACATTCAAATCTCTCAAGAAAACTCAAAAAACTAAACCAAGAATGTGTATTTCAACGGGGTGAGTGCCTCGTATTTGGTTCACATTCGATCGTATTATTTTCCTACCCTAAAAGCGCATCTTGTATCGAAACAGTATACTCGGTCACTTACCTCCATTTATTGATGCCGACGTTGGTGCTTCCGGCGAACCAAGGGTCCAGGACGAAGACGCACCGGAAAGTGGACGCTCCCGCGAGACCCTCCCTCAACGAAGGGTTGTCGTGCAGCCGGAGTCCCTTACGGAACCAATGAACCGTGTGTTTCCTGCCGTCGCCCCGAACCCCCGGTGTCACCCCCTGGACCATTTCGTTGTTACTACTTCCCGTCATCTTTCCTCAGCGCGCCCTTCGAGAAGCGAACATTCTTAATTAGTTTACTCAACGCAATGGAAGTAATTGCATTACCGTTTCTGTTCGCGGTGGATTACTGTAATAAAATGATGTAGGCGGAATGTTTGCGCGGGACGTTATAGGAGTGGCATGCACATTTCTTTATGTATCTGCTTCCATTCGTAACGCATTATTTTTTTTTTTTTATCTCAATACTCAATTTTATATGTTCATTATAACCGCGATAAATTTTTATTCATTACATTTTTCAGATTTGATCCACCATTGGATATTTAATGCAATCTTTCTGCCGTAATTAACATCCTAATATATATATATATATGTATAAGAAAAATTTTGGAAAACACGTGTTCTTAGAGATTTGGTTAAAAAGCGAATTTGTTCGACTCTTGTCGCTACAAGATTCCCTTTCGATTAGAGCAGATCGGACGAAAAAAAAAAAAAACTGGCAATCTTGAATTCCCTCGTGCTATCGACATCTCGAAAAGAGTGCTGGCGCTCGAAGCCAAGAGAAAAAAGTACGGCGCGAATGAATCCCCGTGGGAGACCTTACAACTGCATCTTAGTCGTTTCCCCATCGTGCTAAAGGGTCCGTCTTCCCTTTCGCAGCTAAGTCGGAAAAATAAGAGTCGGCTTGCTCGATCTTGCGGCTGAGAGTTTCCTCCCGAACTACGCATTGTGCGGAAAATTTAATTTTCTCTCCAGATCTACCTCCCGCAGGACGACCTTGAAGAGAGGACGACGCCCTCGATTGGTCCGACTCGACGTCTCGACATTCGGGAACGAGAGAACGATTATTAGCACTTTGAAAAGATCGCTTTCATCCTCTTGATCTGTATCTGAGAAATTTAATTTTCTCAGACATCGTCTCCTGCAGGACAGCCTTGAAGAACAGAACGATGTCCTGATCGGTCTTGACTTGACGTCCCGGAGATGAGACACGATTATTATTAGCACTTTGAAAAGGTCGTTTTCAGCCCCTTCATCCGTATCCGAGAAATTTCGATATCTTTTTATCGACGCGCAGCTAAAATAATCGGAATACTTGAATTATTATATCCAATTATTGTCTAGAACTTTTTGCCGCATTCTTCTCTTATTAAGAGTTATTTCGCTTTTTCCCTTCTTGGATATGTTGTATTTTCGAGTAATTGACGATAATGACATTTCTCCTAATTAAATTCTGAAACGAGCGAAGAGGTAGGAACCTAATCGATTAGGAGCTTAGCTTTATTACTTATTATAAGAAAATTTCGACGTGACCGAATTTTTCCAACAAATCCTTAACGTATTCTACTTTCGCACTCTATTCGCGATGATTCACGCGATGTCGCGAACTTTATTGTTGGCGAAATTAGCATATCCATTGTGTACGCGGGCGCGTTACCTCGAGACCGAAGTTTACTTAAGACATGCAAAAATTTGATCTTTCGAGAAATCTGGCTATGTTTTCCGAGTCGAGCAACGGGGGATGAAAAAATTCGTGAAATCAGCCACGGAGCGATTCACAAAAAAAATTTAAGGCATAAAAGGATTTTACATCTTGCAATTACATTCACTAGACTCTCTGTCTCTCCTCTCCCGATAAAAATCGATTTATTATCACACAGATGGGAGATTATGCTCTCGCAAGATTTAATCAGCCGTTCCTTCCGGCCTCGAGAAAAATCCCTGGCTCGCGAGATCAAACGAAATTTCCAAACACACGGTGGTTGCGGTTGATTTCCCTGGCAACCGAAGAAATAGAGCGACACGGGTGCATTAATTTTATCCCGCGGGCACGTTTATATCCTCCGTGCCAGTGGCGTAATCAACAAAGCCGAAAGAACAAAAAGTTCCCGAAACGTTAACTCTCTGTTCATCCCCGTTTCTTAAAATCTTGGGGAAAAAAATCACTCGCACTTCTCTTTAGCGAATACTTGCAACATATATCCTCTTCTTGCGTTATTAATAATTCATGATTATTAATATTAGCGCGTGCAAAGCGAGAGGGATGAAGATAAAACAATTTATTATTCCGAGGCAAACGCCGTCAGCGGAGCAGGATAATCAAGATCGATATCCTTTTGAAGTTCCCCCAGACGAGGGGTAGGAACGGGGGGTTGATTGGAGGGGGTGACCTGAATGTTGCTTACGCTACTGTGCTGCATCCCGTTGCGAGTTCCGTGTGTGTCTCTCGTTTTCCAGCAACGGCAGCGAAACCGCTCGAGAGATTAGCCCTCAGACTTGTACGAGGGCTATCTTTTGGCGCGTTATTCATGAGTCCGGGGGATCAACGCGCATTTTCCCGTAATTTATTGCGGAATTCATTCCTGTGATACACCCCTTGTGCACACATAGATGCATGTATGCAAAAGAACGCGCACATGTAGATCGACGCGCGTGCATCAATATATGGTTTTTTCGGTGTCTTTAATACATTCCGCGGAGAGAGGCTGAATTATACACTCGTAGAAAAAACAGTATCCTTGAAAGAATGCAAATATGACTTGATTCGAGTATATTTTATTCTTATAATAGCGCCGAATATAAATAATTTTGGGTAAAGGATAATTTATCTTTAAAACAAAGTGCAAAATATTCTTGGTTGAAGCTGAAATTTATTTATAAATATTGCAAGGAGAAGTAAGCATCGGATATAAGCGTACTTTCAAGTATATACAGGGTGTCCGGTAACTAACGGACCAACGATTACAAATGGATTCTTTGGTCAATTTGGGAACGATTTTTCCTCAGCGAAAATGTCGAAAAAGGTCATCATTTTTTACATGTATCTTTATAACTAAGCCTCCAATTAAAATTTTATTGTAGTAAACTCTACCTGAAATTAACTGAAGAATGTAATTATGTTAGACTCTTAACTCCAAAACGTTTAGTTTTCAAAAAACCCATTTTTTTCAATCGCTTATAACTCGAAAATTATTGACTTCTCAACATTTTTGCTAAGGAAAAATCGTCTCCAAATTGGCCAGAGAATCCGCCCTTAATCATTGGTCCGTTAGTTACCGGACACCTTGTATAATAATTCTAATAGTTCAAATGTGACTAAGTTTGTTTTTACCATACGCGATTTTTAAAACAAGAATATATCTTAAGGATAAAATATATTTTACACAAACGTATTTATTATTAAGGCAAATGAAAATTTGTGATTACAAAGAGCATTCTATGCTTAAATCAATCAAATAGCGTTCAAGAATAAAAATATACTTGAATCAAGGATTCCTTTTTTTCTGCTGAAAAAATTTATTAACTTGACCAAATCTTTCAACTAAATATTATTTTGTTCATTGAACCTATAAAAATATTGAAATTAAATATAACATATTCAATTTAATAAAACGTATATATTTGACTTAATTACTATTATATGTTGATTTAACAAAATAATAATTTAGTTGAAAGGTTTAATCAAGTTAACACATTTTTTTCTCAATGAGCTTGATAGCGAAATACATATCTCGTTTCGTTTATTGTATCTATTGGATGGTCGAAACGCAAACTCGCGCTCATCGTTTATGCAGATCGATCAGTGATGACTGACAATTTAATTTATGGATTGCACTAGGGATTATTGCACGGATTATCGACGTATACGTGTTATGAAAAAACTTGGACTTTTACCCCGTTTTTATATTAACGCCGATTATGAGATACAATATATAATAGATCCGACGTCTCGACTCGTCCATCTTAACTCTTCTTAAAGTTCGATATTGTATCGTGGCTACACGTTTCGCCACGGGGGCAATATAATCGAAATTTATCGCTCCTTGATGGAATTATCCTCTTGTTCTCTTCCGACAGCTTCTCCCGGAGAAACTTCCAGCAATAAAACCGATACGCCAATACGCGATCATCGATCGTGTTTGCAGATGGCACGATTCAACGGAGGGGTTGCGCTAAAATTTCCCGGAAATTCATTTTCGAGACTAGAAGGAAAACTCTTTGACTTCAAATAAAGTACAAACGAACGAAGAATGTAGGAGACTCGTTTTCACTGCGTCGCGCTTCGATCTCTCGAGCATTATTTTATCGCTTCGATTCTCGAAAAGAAATATTGGCAAAAAAAAATTTTAAAGGAAAACAAAAAATTAAAAATCTAATATGCCCTCTCCTAGAAAAATCTTGCGGACGCCTATGTTTATATTACATTATAATCAAATAAATTCGGGCTGATTAATCGCGTAGTCGAGAAGGGTTCTATTCTTTTATGACATTTCTCGATGGCTGAAACGCGAAAACGCACTTTGACGATAAGCATGCAGCTTCTTAGAGCCGGAAGAATTAATTAACACATCTAACGTCGCGATTCAACGATTGTGAATAAAGCTAGAGATATAAAGAAGCGCAAAGAGTCCGTTTAAATAAGGAAAAACCGTATGTTTTCATTTTTTTTATTCAAAATTAATTAATAATGTCAAAATATTATACTTTATATCAATCATTATCAAACTTGCCAGAGAACTTACTGATTTCTTTTTGGTAGAAAAATTGGTAATAAAGTTTTCATTTTATAATCGAGATCGAGTCTAATCGTAAATATTTTTTTACACAATTTTTAAAACGCTCAAGATAATGTAAATAAACTTTTCATCCCTATTTCATTTCTCTGTACTTAGAAAAAAAACATTTAGTTAGACAGATAATTCGATGATTAGTCAAGGATTCGAGATTATGAAAATTAGCGTGTTTGTGTTAAGATTTTAAAATTGCATAAGATTAAAAACGACGATTGTTGCCTTATTTATGAATTTTGCTACAGAAAATTAACAATAAAAAGAATTTCTCTTTTTACATACATTTAAAATTCTTAAAAAATCTGTTTTGCTACTTTTTTCTATTCAAAATTAATTAATATTGTCAAAATTATTATAATGATATCGATGATTATTAAAATTATATCCGCGCAAATTTTGAGATGTAAACTTGATCTTTTTAACATTAAATAAAATAATAGAAATTAACGCGTAACTGTTTGAGTAACAAGTTATTTTTACAAGCTAACTTTCCCAACCCTCGATAAAATTATGAAAGGATGGAACAGTGCGTCAATATTGCATAAGATCGTCATCGTCGATGCTGTTTAATTATAGCAGCGGTGATTAACGTCGTATACATCCATACGAAGCATCTGTGCGTAAAACTATGCTATGGATCGAATGCGATTCACGGTTTATTATTAGTCACTTCCTGAATACTTCTCGACGGAAACAAAAGAAGTAATTTATCCGAAATAAGCGCTAAGGATTTAATAAAACGGTCAGGATACACAGTCAGGATTCTCCGCTACTATATTTATTACGTAAATTTTATCAACCACCTGTGGCGTCGCTCGCGCTCTGTCGCGTAATAAATAATTTTTTGCAAATAAACGCGAAAATTTAACAATTTATTCACCCTTCTTCCCTTCACTCTCTATTTATTTGAGCGCGCGCTGCTATATCGTTGTTTTTCTCTTTTATTTTTCCTCTCTCACCAATGCCGATTGCCCATACTCATTTTCCGCGTCGATGGCAATTATATGTATATATATTCGCAATTTTATTCGATGTACATACAATATCCCGACGCGAAAATCAGATTTTCACGCGTGCGTTTTGCGTATTCCGCGAGTATTCGCTTCCTCTCGTAAACTCGCTTATCTTATTCGCAGATACATCCCACGTTGGGTTCGCACGTTCGCAAGAACATCGTTAACGACGTTCGTCGAGTTATCGGGGGATGATCCTGGGTGAGAGAGAGAGAAATTCGAGGCGACACTATGTCGTTTCCCGGAGCTAAACTATCGTATCGCACTTTGATGGATCAGCGTGTTTAGCTGCAACGACATGACAGCGACTAAATAAGCGTTTCGCGTTTCGTTTTTCTGTGACAAAACGCCGGCGCATCGCGACGAATTTCACGACAAAGCCCCTGTAAACGTCAATTGATATAAGGGTCGAAGTTAGGCCAAGTTGGAAACATCCATTTTCCAAACCCCGAAAGGTTGACGAATCGATAAGTCAACCCTTAATTAGGGAGAGACGAACACCTGTTTCTGATTTCAAATCAATTCGTCGTACGCGATAAAGGGATGAAGGGTTGATAAAAGCAAAGTTCTCGGTAACATCGATTCGATTCATCATTTCGAAATTAGTAATCGAGAATATGTATCTCTTTCTCTCTCTCCAGGAAATTCTTAATGACGTTTCCGCGTGATATTCAGCGATGTGGATATTCATTTCGCGAATGATGATTATATATACATTAATGAATTATGCACGCTGCGTATACATTATTCACCGAGCATTCTGTTAATGCCTTGCGGATTTACTGAATTATTTGATTATATCTTTGAATTGGAATTTAAAATGCATTTGCAAATATATATATATATATATCGGGTGTGAGATTAATCTTGTCGGAAATTGCAGAAATCAGAGAGCATTTACAGAATTTTGTTAGATTTTGGGTATTAATTTTTCACAGCAAAAGTTCTTGAACTCGTAAATAAAAACGATAAAGAAACAAAATTTGCACCATTTTACGCACGATATAATTGAAAGATATATGCGAGTTTGTATAATAAAAATAATAAAGAAATTGTGTGTGTAAAATAAAATTTGCACCAAGACTTTTCAATCAAGACCAGATTTAAATAATATATGTACACTAAAAAAAGTTAACTAAATCGTTCAAATAAATACTATTTTATCGATTGAACATATAGAAATATTTAAATTAAATGTAAGACTTAAATATTAATATATGTTTCATTAACAAAATAGTAATTTAATTGAACGGTTTAGGCGGTTTAGCCAAGTTAACAATTCTTTTTTGTGTACATACATGCATATATATATATACAATATGTATATGTATGTGCATATATACATATGTATATGTAGGAAGACCTTCAAATTGTATTACGCGGGAAAGGGAGGTCCTCGCACAAAATTTCTGGTCGTCCAAATGCAAGTTGTATCGCATCGCGTACACTACTTTCTCTCTTACTTTGATTGAAGTTGGTGAAAGCGCACCTGATTAGAAAAGAGACCAGCTGGCGCTGCTATTCGCTGCAACAATCCGCGGAGCGGAATCGTGACGGAAAAGTCGCTCTCTTTCTCAGCCGGCAAAATGCGGCAGAATTCGAAGAAGGGAATTTAAATCGACGATGAGACGTCAGCTGATCGTCTCGCGATTCCAGATTACCGAGTTAAAAATTCACCGCGTTAGTTTTTGCGAGGCTTTACAAACAATTATTCGATTCGACGACGCTTCTCTCACAACCAATGTTCAAAGTCTCGATTGAATTTACATGAAATTAAATCAATGATGATTCATTCGCCGATCGTCGCGTCGTCGTACTCAATTTCGAAATGCATTCTCCTGGTGTCACTCGAGTCAAGGCACTAATTCTCTTAATTAAAAAAAAATCAAACACATTAACATTTCGCGTACGTAAGAGAGTTTCACGCTGGCAACACACGCGATAACACACGCGAATTGCGCGACGCAGATCGCTATATATTTTCCAAAGTATCGCGTTATAATTTAACACTCACTCGCTCACTCGTTCTGGTGTCCCGCGCGATTTCACATCCGTCTCTTCTTCCTCTATCTCTGTTTTCAAAATATAATTATATATTTCACCCGACGAGGATAAAAAATGAGAACGCGACGGAGGAAACTGCACCGCACCGTGCTGACAGTCGATCGCATATGCGAACGCACTAGTCGTAGAAGGCAGATGGACAAGGGAGCAGCGTGCAGAGGTATACAGAGGCGACCGAGCCACGCCGAGTGCAACGTGACCGCCAGATCCGCGCGAGTCACGTGGTACCGCGGTCACGTTGCAGCCGCCGTGGCTGTCGAGAGTGCAACCTCTCGCTCTCGGGAGCGACGGGCTTTCCCTCGTCCCCTCTTCATCGTCGTCGTCGATCTCTGCCCGAGGCCGTCGTCCGTTTTCTATATTGCTCGCTTCGTGCGTTCTCCTATCCGGAATACGTAATATTCATATTCGCGGTCTCTACAAAGAGTACGCGGAAACAAAAAAGTTAACCACCATAGCTAAGTTCTAGCTGAAGACAGCAAAGATACATTTTTTTTATTTTAATTTTTTTCTAAATATGAATTTTGAAGAAAATCTTTTTTTGAAGAAAGAAGAAAATATTTCGATAATTTATCAATTATCTGACATTTGTCAAAAATTCGTCTGAGTTGGAATAATCCTACGATATTTTCCCGCAGATGCGGAAGTAAAAGGAACAGAGGGGATGAAACATACACTGCAAAAAATTAGCCAGCATAGATAAATTTTAGAGCTGTCCCTATATTACATATAAAATTATATTGTTATCTTGCTTAAATTTTAACTAATATTTTTTAGCTATAGAGTTCTTCGTTAAACTATAGCTAAAAAATATTAATTACCGCAGCTAAAATTTAGCTGTAGTGACTATTTCTTTTTCATGTCATCCCCCTTTGCTTCTTTTTTATTTCCGCATCTATAGGAAACTATCTTAGAAGGATTATGTAGATGTAGGATATTCTGAACTCTGACGAATTTTTAACAAATATTTCAGATATTTTTCAATGACAATTTTAATATTTTTGCTAAAAACAATCCAGATTTGCGTCAAAATTCTCAAAATTATATTTTTCATCTATTTCGGTAGATATTTGATATTATAAAAAATACAAGAAACTATTAACGGATTATCGTTTTATTGATTAAATTACTTGTGTAATAGGATAGCGGATAGTACAGAATAGAATAGAATAGAATAGCGAAGTTGCAAGAAATGTTCTTAACAAGGAATGTTACGCACTTCTTTGTCAAGCACTTAATCCGCTCGATAAATTATTTATATATTTTGCGTAATCACTCCTGATATCGATTTAAAGCACCGGACCGTAAAACGAAGTTGTTATTGATCTGCAAAACCTCTCGCTTGCGTAACAAATTTGTATTTGGCTGATTAAAATAGGCTTCGTGTGTTAAATGAGAGACATATGAATTTAACTATTCATCGCGCGACTCATCGATCCGGCAATTTATTGCGCGATTCTTATGAAAATTTAACGAAGATTCCGCTCTCTCCTGGCTACAGACGTAATAATAATGATATATATAAGCTTCTCCAAACTAATTATAATTTAATTACAGCAAAGCTAAATAAAGCTAGATAAACATAGATTGATCTACAATTTCGAAGGGCTTTTTTCACGAAGAAATTGTCTAAAAGTATTCTGAGATAGTGTATCATACTTTGAACAAATTTTTATACTTTTGTATATTTCATGCCTTTAATTAAAAGTATATCGTCAGGTGTGTACTTAATTGAAAATGTATAAAAGTAAAAAATTGTTTCGCGAGTCCAAATACATGCACGATGCAATTTTTTAATTATTCCGGAAGAATTATGCATTCACTCATACTGATAAAAATAAAAACACATTACAATACATTGTATATTGAAATGTACACGTTCATTTTAAGGAATACTATATTTAGAATATATATCTATAAATATATAATTATATATCTTTTTTTTTTAAACCGTACATCCATAAAAAATTGATCCGAACAAGCTTTTCATCCTTGCATATCGAATTTTCGAATGAAGAATATATTCGGAATTAATAATAAATTGATTACATACATCATAAGATATATGAAATAAAATTCAGTGGCAGTATAAATTCGCAAATTATTGTCACCTGTAGGTACGTATCTGTCGTTAATTGTATTTTTATCTTTGTAAAGAATTACGAAATTATTTGCAAAAATTATCTCAAAGTGGGCAAGTTTACAAAGAGATAATCTCAAGATGGTCATAAGATAATGATACTTTGCGACGTAATCGCTCATTCGGGAATCACCGAACGTGGTTCAGGAGGACCTTAATGAAGAGTTACAAGAACAATGATGTAGACTCCTACAATTTTAGCGAAACGCTAAACTCTCGCAAAGATATGAAACGCAATGAAGTTCATGGAGAAATAGGGTGGGACGGAAAGTATATAGTCGCGAACATACATTTCGCTTGCTATTTCGCGACGATGACGCAACGAGAGTTAGCGCAAAGCTGTCGCAATTGTTGCTCTCACCGGTGATTACGAGCAAGTTGCATACCTTTCTGTTTCTTTCGGGCGGTCCTGTTTTATTTTATTCCATACATGTACCGAGTTATATATGTATGCAATCAATTTATTACAAATTTATTTTTTTTTCTTCATCGGAGGAAGCGATAATGAAATTATATCATTTACTAACAGTCATTCTGTTTCTTTCGGGCGGTCCTGTTTCATTTTATTTCATATGTACTGAGTTATATATGTATGCAATCAATTTATTACAAATTAATTTTTTTTCTTCATCGCAGGAAGTGATAATGAAATTATATCATTTACTATATCAGTCATTCTGTTTCTTTCGGGCGGTCGTTTCATTTTATTTCATACATGTATTGAGTTATATATATATGTATGTATGTATGCAATCAATTTATTACAAATTAATTTTTTTTCTTCATCAGAGAAAACGATAATGAAATTATTATTTGCTATCAGTTACACGGAGGAAGGGGAAGAGGCTAGAATTATCTTCTTCCTCTTTAGTCTCTATTTTTTTCTTGTTTCATTAATACTAGATAGAAAAGTCTTATATTAAAAGTCACGAGATATTTTTCTCGAAAAAATGTCATTTTTTAATAAGAAATATTGTATACAAGAAAAAATTCTACGTATCTGGATTCTCAGATTGCTTGTTTCTATTATCAAAAATATTTGATATTAAATTTAATTATTTCTAAAAATGATATAAGTTTTAAGAGACAAATGAAGAAATATTTTACTTTACAAAAATTGAAATTCTAACGGGAAATATTATTAACAAAAATAAATATTGAATTTAAAAAAATACAATACTGCACAATTGTCAAATTCTCGAATTTCGTGAAACTCGCAGAATGTCCTTATCCTTATTTAACGTTTCGTGGATAGTTCCAAAAATTCTCTTCATTATTGCAACTTCATTGTTATAACTTGCTACGATTCATTGCATAAGAAAGGATTTACCTCAGCGATATCCTTGACCGAATTATTATGCACAACAATTTTTCATCGCATATCAGACAAGTGAAAATTTATGTATGTATATATATATATCACAATTTTCGCAGAAACTCAAATCATATTATATACTTTTAATTTTTGCAAAAATAATATTAATGCAAAAAATTCTTTTCCATTTTTTTTCATTCCGCAACGAAAAATGATTAGATCTCTTGTCATTTTGTAATAAATTTTTTAATCAAAAATAAGAAACATTATTAATATATATCATTTATATCCTTATTGCACTTATATAAAATTTAGTTATTTATCAAAAAGATTGCTTTAAAAGCCTTTGTGATAAATCGAAATTGATAATACTCATTAGTTTTTCCATACAGAAGTGAAAGATATTTTGACATATCGCAAAAATACATAAATAAAAGAGAAAGAGAGAAAGAGAGATAACTCTTAGAATAATTACAATCATTTATTCGTTTTCACATATAAAACGTATCAAGAAAAACGGATGATGACCCGCAAATTTGCTAAGGCTTCCCGTTGCTCTTGCTACATCTTCTATAGCGAAACCATATAATATGTGAGTGTGTTTGTGGCATAATATAAAAATGACTCTTCCTAAAAATCCATAATGAGTATCCCCGTTTCGGTCGGAGTTATAGAATACGCTTGTTTTAATCTCTCGATGCTCTCTACTTTCGTTATCAATAGATAATAATATTCGACACTATCTTGTAGCTCTCGCTCTCTATAACTAAATATCTTCTCTATACATTCTCTATGTTTTTAAATTCCATACATAAATTCCATATACGCTTTTTTTCTTTACATTATATATTCTCGATTAGATTAGTTTATAATATAGTCCTGTGATTTCGTAACGATATCCACCGGCGTTACTATATCAATCTCCTTCTCGCGATCATTCATATATATATATATGTATTATACACGTTACTTGTTAAACGTATTTTTATGCAAAATACGTTGCATATTTATACTTAAAATTTATACAGAGGAAAAAATCACTGAAAGGACTATTTTCTGCGGCAAGCAGAGAATAACGAATAACGTTTCGTGCACATTTTCCTTTTCAACAACACACGAACATTTACATACACATATTATCCAATTAAATAAAATGACGAATAGGAAAAAAAATATGGAAGAGGATAGGGTGAGAGCGATAAAAACGCATCCTCTCCCACCGCAATCGTTTTATGCGTTTTTCCTTTTGTTGCTCCACGCTTATTCCGCACTAACGAGGAAACTTTCGGAAGCCTCTTCGAGTTTCGCAAGCTCCGCGCGGATTTGTCATAAAGTAGCACGCAAAATGAAAGACCATCGTCTCTTTTTATTTTTTTTCTAAACTGCTCTAGGGGTGGAAAAAAGATATCCTAGCTAATTAAAAGTCGTTTCGCTTTTTTTCCGAAGTCTTAGATAATTAGGGGGAGTATCCGAATAGCCTCCTCGTATCATCTGCGCTCTTGTCTTGTCTTCTCTCTAAGAAATATCTATTATGCTTTAATAAAATCACGTTTAGCAAAGAATGTCTCTTCTATCGTGATAATTAAATGAAAAAATTATGGCTACGATACGATCATATCCATCATTGTTTTGCTGGCTCAACGGGACAACATGTTTGATGCTGCGATTTATTTATTTCGGGATAATATATGTAATAATAATAATATAATTGAATTGTAAAAAAATCTGCTCATCTGAATTGTCCATGCGTATAATAAGCAATTCGACTATTATCGTTTAAAGAATCTCATAGGCATAATTTTGAAAATAAAACCAATGTATGTATAATGACAAGTAGAATCTTATATAAAGAACTCTTTATATAGGACTCTAATAGCAAATATCGATAAAGGAAACGAAGCTCGTCGCGCGCCCCAAAATATACGTGTTAAATCACGGTTATCGGAAATACTCTTACGAAAGGGTGCGGGCTTTGCTTTTTAAAATTAAAAACATCGAGATAAAAGTGATTTTCGGATGTAGAATACTACGTATACAAATAGTAAGCATGCAAAAAACGAGAACCTGCGGATTTATCAGCCAATTGTTAAAAAAAACGTAGATATGTATATGTACATAAAATATATATAATTATATAATTAATTATATATATATATACATATATATTATATATATAATATTTATAATATATATAAATACAATACATATAATTAATATATATTATATATATAATATTTATAATATATATAAAAATAATACATATAATTAATATATATTATAATTAAGGGGCGCGAATATACAGGCGAGAGAGAATTCTAGCCTATCGGAAACGGAACTCCGTCGAAGGAACTGTATTTCTCGATCATCAACTCTTCATCCGTCGAAAAATCTGTCCGCGAGCGAAACTTACATATGTATATAAATCTCTTAATATAACGCTTAATATATAACAATTTATTCGATAATTGCGGTATGATATAATCAAGGCCGTTGAAGCTGACAGTAGACAATTGCGACATCAAGCGCATCTTGTCAAACATATAATTCCTCTTTTTTAACGCTATACAATAATTATATTCGCTAAAGAATGTCTTTCTCGATGATGATATCGATATACAAGTGTCATGTAACAAATATTATATACATTAGAATAGTTTGCGTGAACGTTAGCTAAGGATAACTGAAGTTAACGTGATTCCCCCCCTTAATTTTATATGCTTGAGAAAAACGTAGATTCGATCGAAATTCCCTTAATTTTAATTGGTAGTAATTTATGTCAACAAGACATAACGCCAGACATAGAAATATAAATACGTATTATTTCGCGATAAAGCAATTCCTGATAGAAAGTTTCATTATTACAAACCGCAATAAAAGTTAGTCCTCTTTTGATCGAGCGATTGTCACTCTGTAATTTGGCGAATTATTTTCTGCTGACGGCGAAGAAATGATCAAAGGATCCAGCTGTCAGCTGTCACGCATAATCGAACTTTCAATAAAAGAGAAGCTACAATTAACTTGCGTACATCTAACAATTGTTATGGACTGCTGCAACGAGTTAGCGACTTAAGCCTAAATGGACAAGCTCTCTTAAAAAATAATTGTAATCGGTGTATATAAAATTACACTTTTTCTCAATCTCGCATGCATCACTCTTATCGTCGTCGAAATTACGGACACGTGCATTTCTTATCCCTCCTTTCGCTCGTCGCCCAATTTAACAATGTCTCGTTTGCAAATATTGTCATTCTTCGTTTTGATTGTAGCGGTATTTCATTTCGTCAAGAAGAGTAATAAAAATAGATACGAGGCGCGTCCCGGAAGCTCTCTCGACTTTATAATATTAAAAGAATTCCTTTTGACATAAGAATTCTACCGAACAAATCTCGTTGAAAATTTCGGTCGGTCCTTCCGGGAAATGTATTGCATATTCCGAGTAAAAGTCGTGGTTTCTCTATTTTGCTATTTTAAAAAACGTGCACGATCGAAGTTACGTTAGGAACAAAAAAAAACGGCACGTAGGCGCGCATTAAACGTTCCGTAGAGCGGACACCGAAAAACACGACATTGTAACAATCTAAGGATCTGCATTTATACGCTGCGCATTTATATTCTCGCAAAATGTTATCCAGGTACGCATTCGACACGACGCAAAACCGATCTCTCTGTTAAAAAATACAAGTAAGACACTATACAAAGTCGCAAATAGTCTTCCATTGAACTCCAGTTTTCCTTCAATATATGGCTTATAGGAACATCGAGCTGTGCGCGAAGGATTATCGCGCGCGCGTCTCGTCTTCGACCGCGATTTTTACGCGTTTCGGCGGCCGGCCGCGTTTCCTCTTAGCTGCGGCTCGATCGACAACGCTTGATTTTCGTTCGTCGGTCGTTTTAAAGACCGTCCCCGTCGCGTTGGTCGTCTCGACGACGCTTCTCTCGCTCTCGATAGTCTTTCTCGTACGTCTAGGACGCCCGGCTATTCGCTCCATCTCGTCGAACTGCGCCTGCAAACGACGCGCAAGTTCGAAATCCTCTCGCTCCTGCAGCAACAATCGTTCGATCCGTTGCTGTTCCTCGATCGCTTCCTTGTCGGAGAGCATCTCGCTGTCGCAAAATTCGACGATGTGGTCTCCGATGATGGTCTCCGGGACGTCCTCCTCCTCGTCGGAAGACTCCGGTGGCGAGTCGTAGTTAAACCTACTGTTACTCTTGTTGCGCGACCCGTCTGATGCAGGATCATCCGTCTTGGAGGTTTTCGTCAAGTTTCGCGCGGACTTTCTCAGACTCGCTTTACCGCTCGCGTCTGAAGAAAGTTCCTCGTTCTTCTCCGGATCCTCCGTATTGTTCTGGGAAGTCCTGCTGATTTTTCTCCGCTTCGTTTTCCTCGCCCCGGAGTGTCCGACATCGACTTCCGCGTTCTCTTCAAACGTCGAGACGTGATCCGTCGTGGGACTCTCGTCCCTCCTTTCGGATAGTGCTTTCTTTTTCGTTGGTGCTCTGTTTCGTTTAGACGTATTGGATTCAATGTTTTGCTTCGACGCTTCTTTCTCCATGTTTTCTTTTCTTCTTTTAATCCGCTCTGCTATATTTTCCACTGCTACATCGCGGTCGTCATCCTGCTCGTCGTTCTGCGGACTTAGTTTGTCGAATGAGTTCGTCGGGTCGTCCTCTTCCTCGTCTATCACGTTCAACGTGAATCCAGTTGCTCTCTTATTACTTCGCAGATTTCTATTCCCCTTGGATTTCACTATCATACCATTTCTTACGCGCGTCCTCCAAGACTTGCGAGTTTTTCTTGCGTCCGATTCATCGTCCGACGACGACTTCTTGCTCGTTTTAAGGCCATTAACTATCTTGTTTGCTTCCTTCGTATAATTCTTATTACTGTCGAATGACGATTCGGGCACAAAATCGAGTCGGCGGATAACGTCGTTTGTCTGAGGCTTCGTCGTCGACTTATTCGAAACCGTTTGAGAATGATCGAGCGACGTCGACGGCTGCTGATCGAGCAACGTCCTCAAATTCTCTAGATGGTGCGCAACTTGCTTTTCTTTCGCGTCCTGTTTTATCCTACCTGTAATATAATTGTTAAACGATACAATTAAAAAACCTGTATCTGTATAGTCCTAATCAAGTAATTATTCAGATAAATAACGTTTTACTCAAACGCCCATAATTTACCTTTAAAAGCGCTCCAAGAACATCCAATTATACGTTTCATGTGCGTCGGGGATGGAGCTTTTGGCACTGCATTAGACGCTCTCTTTAAAACTGGGATCACTCTAATCAATTTCGGATCTATCTGTTTTCCATCTGCGAGCAAATGCAAAATATAAAAATTATCCATTATTAAATTAGTATTTATACAAAAATGTATTACATTGAAAAAAGATAGATACTATAATTTCTCTCCCTTATTTTCTCTTATAAATACATACCTGAAGAAATTTTTAGTTTCGTCCTTGGCACCGTCTTGATCGGCTTGAAATGATGAATCTCCTGATTTATGCTGTCGTGACTGCCGGAACTCTCGGCACTCCCTATCCTTTCGTCGTCATCGGCCAGCGTCATACAGATCTCTATCCCTAAACTCTTCTTTTTGCTATTTACCACATCGCTCGGTACCCGCAACTCTTCCTTAGTTTCCATCATGTAAGCTTTGGACGTGGAGCATCCGGGATCCATGGAATAATTCGAGGTGCAAGGCTGGATGAATTTGGACACTGTCTGATGCTTCAACGTTTTCGTGACAGCGTTGTACACTGGTATTTGTTTCTGACAATATTTAACCGAAACTTTATGCATACTGGATGCATTCGTCTCGTTAGAGCCATACACATTGGAACACATTGTCTCGATTTTAGATAGCAGTGTCGCATTTGTTTGTCTCGGCCTCGAACTGTCGCCAACAGACTCGGGAAGACTCATCTGTCTGCCTTCGAATATGCGGTTTCGGTTTTTGATGTTTCGAGATTATTTACAAGAGCCTTAGGATTAAAGCTGGACGCGTCGAGGATGTAACCCGACGCGTTCAAACACTGGTTGTAACACTTTGCCTCCTTGTGCTTCTTCACAACCTGCTGCTTCGCCAAGGTCTTGGCTAGCAATTGATCTTGCGCCAGCTGAGCCAGCAACAGCTGATGCTCCTCCACCTGAATCTTTTGTATCAACGCCTCGCTGGCTATCTGTTCGGCTTGTTTTTCACGACGCTTCTCTTCCTCGGCCATTTGAAGTTGCGCCTCATATTCCCTGTGTATCTCTCCAGCTGCGCTGAGTATCCTTTTCGTTGCATAATCTGCGTTAAAGGAAAATGCTCTCCCTTTACAACTGATCTTGCAATTATAATCATTATATCCTCGAGTAACAAATAATCAAGTCGTCAACACTGATTAATATTTCAATTAAACAAAATAAGATTGAAAAAGTGAAGAAAGAGATGTAACTCCGAAAAGGTCGAGAAATGAAAAACAAAATCCGTCCGAATAATCTCGAGGAAGAGAATATACGCAGTGTCAACGTAGAGAGAGTACATAGAAAAAACATACGCCTAGGTTATGTTACGTTTGTTTATTGCTCGCGCATATGTGTGTGTGCATAAGAGTGTGAGTGTGCGTCACTCACCAGCGTCCAAGCTGACGAGATCCCCCTCCTCGCCATTATGCTTGTTCTCGACCTCCTTCGGGAACTTGGTCCTGATGAGCTCCCAGAGGCCGTGGTTCACCAGGGTCTCGGACTTGGTCGCGTTGCGGAGCCAGGAGCCCACCCGCACCCGGCACAGGGGACAGCTCAGGCTGTTGTGCTCGAACGTACCCTTGAGACAGCGCAGGCAGAGGTTATGTGTACACGGCAGCGTCACTGGCTCGATTAATATCCCGCGGCAGACCGGGCACATGAGATCGCGCAAATGCACGTCCGCGGTGGCCCGCGACGACAGATCCAGCAACTTGGACGTGCGCTTCAAATACATCTTTCCATATTCTCGACCGCGACTATGACGGCTACTGCACTGCACCGCAACACCGTCGCGACTGCGTGTGTGTGTGTGTGTATAGTGCGATTCCACTGTTCCGCGCGTCGCGAAACGCGCGGAACCGCGGACTGATAAAACAGAGAGAGAGAGAGAGGAAACGTCATTTGAAAATAAAAATAATACTCTGTAAAATTTTTTTTGAAAAATTATTCTCCTTTTAAATAATTGCGATAAAAATACTTATTAATGTATTAAATTATATTATCGGGACGTATTTGCCCCTTCTCTGATATAATAATTAATAAATTAATTAAATTTGTTGTAATAAAATCTAATATAATGATAATAATATTGGATGAATTAAAATTATATTTGTAGTTATAAAAAAAAATTCGATTTTTTGTGTGAATGGAATATTTTTTATATTAAAATAACGTGCCATAAATATATATATCATTGTGAGCGTATATTATACAGAATGAAAATAATTGAATAAAAATTAAATGATAAGACTTTTATTTTATACACTGCAGTCTGACATATTTTTATATAAATTAATGAAATATCTTATTTATATAATATTCATTTTTTTTATTATTTTACAATAATTTTTATGTACGAAATAATGACATAAATTGTGATGCAAAGAAACAAATATTTTGAAAAATAAAGTTGATTACAATATAATTATAATTACATATCTTTTAGTGTCATTATATTATATATATATATATATATATATATATATAATTCCACTTTTTTTATTAGATTCTTATTACAAAATATTACAAATTATTATTCATGTTCTCTTAAAGTTACACAATTTAATTTTTACTTATTTAAATTTATTCTAATTTACTTATTCTATATATATGTCATAAATTGGTAATATATATTTATCATCTAATTTATAATGTATATTTATAATGTAAACTTATATTGATATTTAGAAATTTATCTCACATTCGCACATCGTTAATAAAATTAATAAATGCGTTTATATTAGTCATCATTTTAAAGATATATCGTATATATATAATATATATATATATATATATATATATATATATATATATATACATTTATAATTTTTAATAAATTAATACAATTATTATTTAACACAAGATAGTGACATAAATTTCAAAATATTCATTATGTATACTACTTTTTTATATAGATTATAAATAATGAAAAATTAATTTGACTACTGCAGTGAATTCTTATCGCATAATTAATTAGAATTAAGATTACGAAGTTTTCCACAAGCTATTGTTTCTTTTTTCTTATAATTTTCATTTTTTTTAATTTGTAATTTTAAAGAAATATAATCTTTTTTAAGCACTAATGTAACATTAAAATAACGAGATTTTTTCATTGGTATATATATATATTAAAAAATAGTCGTAAAACTTGTATTTAAATATAACAATATAATTCCATAATAAGATATGTATATTTCTATGACATAATTTTTATGAAACTTATGGTCCAGAACATTATTTCGTGCAATATATCTATTTATTTCTTTCTTGTAACTTATTACTAATATAGTAAATTTACTTTTATTCGAACTACTTGTTTAAAAGTAAATCAAGACAAATAGAGCGAGTCCAAGTTTATTACGTAGATGGAATTCAGAATTTGTTTTGTTTCTTCTCCATTTCACTCAGCAAAATGAAAAAAGTGAAAAAGAGGAAAATTTCAAAACTTGAACAGATCTATTCTATAACCGATCAACTCTCTAAACTCAACAAAAAAAAGTAATGCACAAAGAAAATTCAAGAATTTTAAATAACAAAGATAAAATTGTAAAAATTTGCTTTAATTAATTTATAAATAATATACATCATTAATAATTATAATGTACTTAAAAAATATGCAAAGTGCATCAAAAGCAAACCAAAATGCACATTAATATTCTACAATTCTATGTAAATGTAACATTTATCTGCAATTCATATAAAAACGAAAAAAAAACTATTATTCACAGGTAAAAAAATATCCCCTTGTCATAGTACCATGTACACTTAATTTCTTTTATAAAATATTTAAAATGTATCACGTTTATACATTTATCGAGTATAAAGCCTAGAGTATCGTATATCTCTGTACTCTGCGTGACATGATTTTGAATCGGTAGTACTGTAGAAGCTTCACATTTCTGTATTACGAGACACGATTGCATTTTCATACATTCTAATCAAACATTCTGATGTATTCATGACATACAAATGATTAAAATTGAATATCTAGTCAGGCTTATCGATGATTCCTCTAATTTATTAATCCATCTATTTTACTTTGGCTGAGGGACGATTTCTTAGATTCTTCTTCGTCGCCTGATCTACTTCCGGAAGATCGTCATCTTCGGACAAAGCGGATTTCTTGCCTGAAAATACATGTTTTAGTTTCATAAAATAAATATTGACATTTCACACACAGATAAATTAACTAATAAAGTCTTAATAAAGAAATAACTAATAAAGATTTAAATTAAAAGAATCCATTCTCACCATCTCGCTTTCTCAGCTTTTGTTTCGGCTTGGTTTTAACGACAACAGGCGCGGCGTTTTCGCGCGCACGTTTAATTTGTTTCGCGATGAAGTAGTACAGGAGATAACTTTGGAAGAGCGAAATAACAGATACCGCCGAGAATTGCACGGCTGGAGTATTGAAGTTGCCAGTGTCATAGTCAAAACTGAACTCCAGTTTTCTCAAACCGTACAGAAACACCACAACCGTAAGGATGATAGTTGCGAGACGCGCAAACATATACGTCGAATTAGCGACAAGGAATGATACTGCAAACATCATAAAAATGTAGTCAAAGAATTTCCGCTATAAGAAACATAATAGCTCAACTGTTTAAAAACAACTTACATTTCGTTCTTTTCTCTTTTTGACTAATAAAGTGAACCAGTCTGGCTCCATGTAACGAGGCATCTGCCACATAATGGAGAGTCAACAAGATTACTGCTAATTGTTGGAAGCTGCAAAAAATACATATTTATTACAAACTTGCAAAAAAATTTGGGAAAAAAGTGTGCGTAGGACATTATTATGATAATTACTTAAAGAAATAAGCGGCAGATGTAAAGAATAATCCAATGGTTGCATGAAGAATGCGCTGTGGAATGTCTTCTTTCTTAACTCGTTGAAAGTAGAGCTCGGGATAACAGTGTAACCAATAGGCAAGCTGGCCGATAAAGAATAATTTCAAAGAGAAAGACATTGGTGCCGGGTATTGTTCCCACAATGCCCATATATTTAAAAGCATATTTTCCCTAAAAGAAAAATCTTAGTTATCATCTTGATATTCAAATAAATTGTTATTAAAAATTATAAATTATAAAAGACAAATATTTCTCTTTATAACTAAAATCTATATTACCTAATAATAATATCAATGGCCCATAATGCGGATAATATATAAAACACTATTAATTGGCTGGACTCGTTAAATTTGGAGAGTTTGACTTTGCTGAGATGGAGACGTTTGGAAATTTTCTGAAAAGGAAAATAAGTTTTTTAGTAACAAACTTAAATATGTTTAAGCTGAAATATATTTTTACAATCAGTATATTTCATATTTAACAGATATACTTACATCGAATATATATTCCTGAAGCACAGCGTGCATTATAATGGTTATCAAGAAGTAAAAGAATACTGCACAGGCATCTTTCCATCCTGTAGTGTATTTTATCACTGCTGTTGGATCTTCAGTGGTGTTTGTCACATTATGGTGGATAGCGATAAACATATATGCCCATGGCGAAGTGACCTGAAAGAAAATAATCATGTTAGATGATATAACAAAAATAATAGGAACAAAAGCACAGTTGTAAAAATAATTTGATAAGTCATTCTGATAAAACATATGTTAAAAATCATTTTTCTCAAAATTAATATAAAGTTTCCAAAACTTTCTCTCTAACAGCATAATATATAAATTTAAGTAATCTTTAAATATATAAATATATATATCACAATTAATACATTTTTATAATAATCTTTAGAGAATAGTAAATTAGAATACTATTTAAAGCACAAAATATCTTCACAAACATAAACAAAGATGTATGCTAGAGTCTGGCAGTCCCAATTAACGCTAACAATCTGTAACATATGGTCATCCTATTTCCCAAATTTTCCCAAACTTTTCTCCGCAAGATACAGATAGAAACTTAGCTCGAACGTGAACGATTCGTGCGAATAAATTTTATTTTCTAAATCGTGTCACTCAAACAAATCGGAGTCGCCGGGCAGACATTGAGCAGATAAGTGACAGATGTGTCAAAGACCGACCTGCACCATCAAGCCGATCACGAAGACCATAGCCACGCAGGAGACGATGTCCGCGTGATTTTGTATGACAAACTCATGGCTGAGAATAGGCGGATTCTTGTTCGAGCTCTTGCGTCCCTTCACCGCGACCATCTTGAGCCAGACGAGCGCGTGTATTCACTGAACGGCGAACGCGGCACGACAGAACAGACCTCGGAAGTAGAATCGGCTTCGCCGCCACGAAACCGAGCCACGCCGCCTCACCGTGGAAACGTCACGTCACGCGCGCGCGGCGACCAACGTCAAGTGACGTCATGACGTCAAGCAATGTGGCGCTCGCGTCCTCTAACCTGTTGGCACCGCGCGAGTCATATCGACGATGGTGTCTTGCCCCGGAAATTATTCATTCTTCGGCCGAAACGGCGGAAATACCTTTCTTTGTTGACGAATAAATATTTAAGTCGTAACGCAAGACGGACAGATTTTTTTGCGAGAGAAACGCGCGACTGACGAATGATTATTCCGATCTAGATGCTCGCTTGACTTCTAACGCGACGTATGACGTATTATTACCCGGCCTATCTCGCGCAAATTCAAATTGAGAGAAAAAATCAGATTATTATACGTAGTATTGATGAAAGTTTACGTTGGAAAGAAAAATTGTACTCAAAAATTATGTAGCACGTTGAAAGCCAACGCATAAATGTGCATGTTTTTAATACTTTTATGTAATTTTCTCTTTTAGGCAAAAATTTATCAGCAAAATTAATGTAATATTAGATCAAAATTAAAGATTGAATTATAGATAAAGATTATAATAAATAGGAAATAAAATGTATAAACACACACACACACACACACACACACACACATATATATTTTTAATTTGTGCAAAAGAATTATTTAATATATTTATTATTATTATATGTACATATATATAAGTATATATTGTTTATTATATTTAATAGAAATTAGATAGAAATTCAAGATAAACTTAGTTTTTCATAAACATGCATAATTTATAGCTATGAATGACTACAATGCATTTTTCTAATATATCCAAATATATTATTAGAGATAATTTTCACATTTTTATATATTTACATATTATTTATATGAAATATATAAATATATATTTTTAAAATAAATAAATAGTTTACACATTTTATATTCAATAATATATAGAATTTGTTCTCTCTGTATAATATGTATGTATTATATTAAAGATGTATGATTGATATTAATTATGTGGGATTAATGAGTTAATACACAATATTTCAATTTTGCTTTTATTAATTTTTAATAAGTGCATTAATAAATTTAATTGAAGAAAACATTAATTATTGATTCATTAACATTTTAATAATTAATAATAAATCGATATAATCAGTTATGTGAGAAAGTCTTAAAAAAAAATATTCGGAGATCAAAAAACTCGTTATTTATTTGCACACACATACACACACACAAACGCACATAAACTCGACATGTGCTACAATCTATCAAGAGACATCTCGGTTCAATTAACTAAATAAGTATCTGAATCATTCAATATAAAACATTGATAGCTGTAAGTCACCAGTTGAGAATCGTGTAAAAGCATCGAGTGCAAACATTTTAAAAGAAGATGTTAAAAATATTATATGTTTTACTAAAAGTGTTAATATTAATGAGAGCGAACATCGCACTTTCGTCAGATGATGTAAGGGAACCTGTAAGTCTTCAGAAAAAGTATTTTTATGTGCTCTCTAAACTTTTCACTAATAAAACATTTACATTATAAAAAAATTAATTTGATATAATATATTACAGATGATAGATTACCTATGTAATTGAAACTGTAATACGTAACTAAAGAGTTTTAATGCTATAAAAATATATATAAAGTTTATTAAGTTTATTAATTAAACATTAAAAAATTCATGTTTTATATATGTATATAGAAAATTAAACTTAATTATTAAAGTATATTACAACTTAAATGTTACACGTGTTGTTGTATTTAAGAATAAGAAATGACATTTATAATTTCGTTATAATATTTAATACATAAATTATTAATAATTAATAAAATATTTATCTATCTATTTACTTCTATCGATCAATTTACTTGAAAGGATTTTTAAAAATTTTACTTACATCTATATATGTAATTCATAGGAAAAAGATTTGTCAATCTGTATAGTCTTATATTTCTTGATTACAGAATTATGGATTCTTATTTTGTAATCAAGAAATTGAAACTATACAGATTGATAAATCTTTTTCCTGTACAAATTAAAGTATTAATATTAACAAAAGGCAAAGCGTTCTAATTTCAAGTAAAAAAAACAATCCGTATAGCCAATAAATAGATTTATAATTTATCTATATAACCTCATATTTTGTTAATAAAAAAGGAAAAAAACAACTGACTTCTCAAAACATTCGTCGGAGTTCGGCCAACCGTTTAGAATCCCCTTAAATAAGTGAATTATTTAATAATTATATAATTTTTTGAATTTTCTCTAATGTCAATAGGCGAAACATGTTAAAGTCTTGTAATTATCTTTACTACTGTGTACATATGTTAATAATAATAGAATATTATATATAGTCTTATTAAGTACGCCGTAAGCGATTTATATATTTAAAAATTCATTACCCATTTTTTATTAAAGATAATGTAAAATTTTTATTACATATTTTGTTACGTATTTCTTTTGAAAAAAATTTGTTAATAAATGAATCGTAAATAAAATTTAAAAAAATTCGCGATTTCAGCTGAATCGTGTACAAGTTTAAAGCGATCCTTTTCTAATAGCTGCAAGTTCTTTAAACAATTAACAGATATTTATCGCATATTTATTAATTTATCGCATATTTAAAACTCTGCCTTTTTATTACTTTCAACGATTTATATTCACTACATAATTCACGAAATAAATTTCTATCTAATCGCACATGTATATTTCATTAACCGATTTGACGGGATTACGAGATCGTGCATTTATAAGCTAAATATACAATGCATATTTATCAACAGGTTTATGTCACCCACTATACAATCGATCAGTTCTCAAAGATCAAACGTGTCGAGAATTATATTGATAACGATTATATTGATAACGTTACTGTGAGAAATGAAGTTGGTAAGAGTTCAATCTTAAAACTGGCTTGATTAGTTATGTTATAAAAAATTAATTTTAGTTTATTTCATTTTTTTGTTCTTTAAGAGAAACAGTTTAAGATAAAGTCAATCTCATTATTTTGCTATAAATCGTTTCTAAGCAGTCGCAAATCTTATATTTTTAAATTCTTAAGCAATAATAGAAATTTTTGAGAAGCTATAAAAACATAACTGTCTATAATTATTGGTTTTTATTTTTATAAAATATTCGTTCTGTTCAGAATTAATAAAAAATGTAAAATTTTTTTATTATGGAGTATTATATAGTTTTTAGTCATTATAATAGTAATTAAGTTTTAAATCTCAAAAGCACGCAAAAAGTCACTATTATATTATTTCAATTCACATTTTATAATTAGTCAATATTCTAAAAATCATTACTGATCACATTTTAAATTTTTTTATCCTCTGTAATTTATGCTTATAATTCTTCCTTCTTATTTAGAAATAATGGTCATCTAAAAAACTTATAAAATATTATATGTTTTTATTAATAATTCAAAATATTGTCTCATTTTATATTTCTTCAATTACTGAAATCAGAATCCTTATATATTTATTATATGTCTATATGTACAATTTTTTGAAATCTCTACTAAATTAAATCTCTAAAACTTTACTTCATATACTGCATTCCTATACGTATATCGTTATACATACTTTTAAAATGTCCAGAAAACGTTCCAAGCGAGCCAACTTCTCCTAGAGTATTCATACAATTTGAGAATAGACTGGACGAGAGAAGCGGCATTATTGTGAGATACAGGTAAAGAATCTAAATTACTAACTTTTACTCTTTCATTCTTTAAAGTTTAATGATAGAAGTTGTATATTAAATATACTTTAAAAAGTATATGTATGTATATATACACATATTCTAACTTTATTAAAAATTCGTAAAAAGTAAAAGATATAAAATATATTTTTATACTTTCCAGATGGAAAGAACCTAAATCCATAAATGGTAAAATACAAAAATACACAGTCCGGATTTGGTACATAAACCAGAAAAAGTTTATAAACTTTATTCATAATATCTTATCTACGGAAGTACACTTTAAAGTGACCAATTTACCTCCTTCTATGATGTATTTTCAAGTACAAGCGTATAACGAAAATGGCGCAGGTCCTTATACAAAGTTCAGAAATGTATCGTCAACGCACGAAAATCCAGTACCTTTATTATTAATCAGCGCATCGCATAGAATATTAGTATCAGATATAGATTTACAAGAAATCTATGAACTTAATAAATATAGAACAAAAGAAATTATTATTCGGCATTGGAACATAAACTTTATTGGATTAATGAAGTGTCGGAGTTAATTTCATACGATTTTAATGCAAACACAATGAAAACAAATCACATTTACACAAAAATAGTTGATCTCGACTCTTCTGCGCACAATCTCTGTATCGATTGGATAGCAAGAAATCTTTATAGGATACAAGATGCCAACCACACCAAAAATATTATGAAGCTAGATTTAACATTGTGGGAACAAACTGGCTTAGCCAAATATCATAGCATCCTACAGATAAATGAGTCTAAATTTTTAAATATAGTGCCACTTAAAGGGTAAATATTATGTATGTGAATCAAATTAACAAATTTGTCTTTTAATTAATAATTTTGTATAATTATTTCACATTTTATAATTAGTCAATAACTTAATAAAATTATTTATTGAAAATCATAAGTTATTGAATAAATTGACACAGAATTGTAAACATATTTAACAATGATTATTGATTTCCGACATACAATTAATATATATACAATAATGTTTTTAAATAGAGAATATTTTGTACATTTACAGATACATTTACTGGATGGAATTAAATTCAAATAATCAATATGTAATAAGGCAATCGGATCTCGATGGAAAAAATAAAAAATCTTTTTTGGAAGACAAAGATAATGAATGCTTCTGCCCATACAAATTACAAGAAGCATCCACCATGCACATTCACAACACAAATATTGACGAACCGTTAATGTATTGGACATCGAAAGATCATTTAATCGCAGGGCGGGACATTTATGGTTGTAGGTGCCGTTTGGTTCTCAGCGCTGGAAATCAAAAATTTTTCAATTACTTAACAATTGATAAGACAAACATTTACTTATTTAGTAGAGACGAACTCCAATCCATAGTTTATCTCTATATGTTAAATAAAAAATATGCTCTTATCGAAAGCAACGAAAATGCTTTTAAACATGAATTTAACATATATAAGATAGGCAATAAGAGCCAAATCGCTTTTAAACATGTCCCAAAAGATATTGGTTTTGTAGAACCCATAAATTCAGTCATAGCTCTTGATGTATCTTCGCAACCATATCCGCCAACAACGTGTCTGACACCTAAAGTAAAAAATTATGCTATTAAAGTAACAAACATAACCGCGAATAGCATCATTGTAAATCTCCCGGAACCGGATCCCAATGACGGCTGCGAAAAGTATAACTTACCCACTACTATATATATAATTTCTGTAAGCCATTGTTTGGACAATGATCATAACAAGTTCAAAAAAAGGAACGAGCAAACGCACAAAAGTCATTACGAAATAAAGAATTTAACGCCATTCACAGAGTACAGATTAAAGCTGGCACTAAGCAATTTTTATGTTGACAAATTCTCTAAGGACTTGCAATTCGGCGAGGATGTGATACAGAAAACTAATCCAGGCAAATTCAATGCGCCGGAAAATGTAACTGTTCAAGTTCTAACTCCTACTTTAGCGAAGATCTATTGGATGCCACCGCAGAATCTAAACTGCGCGCAGCAAGTAAATTACGAGGTGCATTGGAAATCAATTCTTTTTTCAAATGGCACACGAAAAATAACTTATCAAGTGCCACACATCGAACAACTTTTTAAGCTCGAACGTAATGTAGATGGCAAGTTTTTCACAATAATCCAATCCCCGCTGCCAGGACAAGAATACTCGATATACGTACGTGTGTATCCTGCAAATTTCAGTAATTTCTTCACTGACAGCGTAGACATAAGCGCCCATATGTACTCGGAACCTAATAATTTGACTTTAAGCGGAATCAGTACAAACAGTATGGCTATTTCATGGATTCCAAGCCATAACTTGATCAATTATAAACTGGAATACAAAAATGTTACGATGCAGGTGTGGAAAATCGCGGACGATATTGAGAAAAATAATGACAAAGTAATATATTATATAAAAAATTTACAGCCGGGAACTTTCTACAATTTTCGTTTGATCTTGAAAATATCCCGAGCATATGGAAGATTTTATATGGCCGCTTGATGAAAGATTTATACTTTTAAAACACTTGGTAAGCAAATGAAGAGATTAAAATATCATTTGTTTACTTTTTAAAAATATCTTAAAAGTTATAATTTTACGAATAAGAAAATTTAAAAAATTAATTCAAATTAACTCTTGTGTAACATAGCTGATATTCCGAGTGCTCCTGGGATACCTATGATAACGAGACTTCCAAATTCCACGTATCAGTTAAAATGGAAGCCTGCACAAGTTCACGATTCACAAGTGAGTTTGTATCGACTGGAAGGTTTAATTGTTGAAAATAATTATAAAGAAGATAATCAGGCAAATAAACACTGGAATTTATATTACAACGGAACACATAACCACTGGATAATGACGAAAGGCATGAATCAGAAATACCGATTCCGCGTGCGGGCTGGAAACGCTTATGGTTTTGGAGAATGGAGTGAAACAAGCGCAGAAGTTGATTGACAGATTCTATCGAAATATTGGCTGCGCATTATTATTATTATTTACTATTACCATTTGTATTAAGCCTTATCGTAACCCTTGCAGTCTATAATGTTTATTACTTTTATTGTTGTAAGTGTACTTCATAATTTCAGAGTTAGGTTGCAAATTATTTTATTTCATACATAATATATAATTCGTACATACAAATTCATATATAAAAATTATTCTAAAATATTTGTTTACTTGTTGAAAATGATTTATACTTTGCAATGTATAATATTTTATAACATTATTTATCAGCGTATGGACAACGCGAAGGAGTTAACGATCCAGTTCTGCCTGCGATTATGACCGACATTGAATTAGTAACTCAAAGTGAATTGTCACACGAGTGTGTTCAGCTCAACAAGCTGTACGATTCTAAATTGCAACATATTTTAGATGAATGTAATTTGAGAATAATCAAAAAGAGCAAATTACTCGAACAAAGCTTCTAGGCAGTGGCCAATTGGAAATGTAAAAAGCTAATTTTCTATTAGTCTTAAAGATATATCCTCGAAGACTTTTCTTAATTTTTTAATAAAAAAAATTTTGAGATAAGACTTTTTAATAAAAAGAATTTAAAAAATCAAAATTTTTCATAAAAATAAATAATACAAACATTTTTAGTTTGCACATTATTAATTTGTATTAATTATGAATTATTTTGCAGGTATTTCAGGGAACTGTCGAGATTTTAGAAGGATTAAACACAATGCCTGTCGCAATAAAGATACTACGAGAAAATGCTTCCTCGAATGACAAAGAAAACATTTTGCAAGAGGCTAAAGTTATGAGCTATTTTCACCACAAACATGTGGTAAAATTGTTGTTCGTCTGTTTGGACAATGATTCACCAATGCTCATATCAGAATTAATGGAAGGTGGTGACTTATTGAAATATTTGCAAGAGTGTCAAAAATTGCAATCGTCAGATCCACGCTCTTTGCGTCTGCAAGACTTGCTTGCCATGTGCGAAGATGTAGCACGCGGTTGTTGCTCTTTAGAAAAACTACACTTCGTGCATAGAGATCTCGCATGTCGTAATTGTTTAATATCGTCAAGAAATCGCGAAAATCGTATTGTAAAAATCAGCGATTTTGGACTAGCTAGAATCTCTACAAGAATGCATACTATCGTACGGTAAATACTATTATTTGGAAGAGATAAATTGTTTTTTATTTTTACATGTAATGACATTGTACAATACAATTTTAAGTGAATTTAAATGTACAAAAGTTAAGTATTTTTAGTTTTTATAATAATAGAGGAAAATAATGATAAATTAACTTTATGTGCACACACGTAACGCTTCTTCAAAAAATGATGGTTGTTAAGTTGTGGGATGGCTTTGTTAAGAAATTTAACTGTGCTAAAATTATGCTTTAGAAAGGAGAAGGTCCGCTTCCTCTTCGCTGGATGGCACCGGAATCTTTGATGTACCGAAAATTTACTTCGCAAAGCGATGTTTGGTCGTTCGGGGTACTTATATGGGAAATTATGACATTAGGTGAACACCCCTATTCTACCAAAAATCATTCTGAAGTATGGCAATATGTGTGTGCGGGAGGCAAGCTGCCAAAACCTCTCAACTGTCCATTGATGTTATACGATTGATGCATCGTTGCTGGAGTCCAATAAATGCTAGACCGAATTTTACAATTTGTTTAGAAAATATTATAACTCTGAGAAACAATATAGAAGACACGATACCGAGTTTGGCTGATAGTATCAGATATGTAGAGGTGAATCTATCATAATTTTATTTTATCATTATTTTATGTATATGTCATAGCATAGATTATTGAACCTTAGAAGGTCGATTAGAAAATTTATTGATTAAAATATTTCTTGTTTCTCGCTTATATTTAAAATATTTTTAATATTTATTTAATTATTTGTGTTTGTATTGCTGACTTTTGATAAATATTAACGTTTGCGAAAAAAGTTTGAAAATCCTTTACAAATTTTGTTTGTATGCGCTCGAGCTATATTCAATTTTGTGAAGTTTTGCTATATATGCGTGTCATCAAAAAATTACTTACAATCAGCCAGTTAAGCTTAAAATTGTGATTTTACGAATATATTTTTACTGGATATTAAAGCGCACAACATATTTATATATCTCTCTTCATTAGTTTTTCAAATTTTTTGGATATATATTTTTTCTGTTTTAGCTTCCGTCTTCTGGAGAAATAGAAGGTTCTGTCGAAAGTATAGCACATCCTACATCCGAACGTTTAACTACCAATGATGCTCCAAATGTCATAGAATATTCGACGTTATCGCATTCTTGAATGAGTGATTTTTAAAAGCTCCTGTTAACACTTATAATTAATTTTACCATTTTTTATTCTAACTATCGATATATTATATTATATACAATAGCCATAATGTAACTAAATACAATAATGTGAAAATCTCTTTTTAATATTTTTATATTTTATTTTTTTCATACTTTTTATATCACTAATAATGTTTGTCTGATCGAAAAAGTTTATGCCATAAATTTCACTATCGAGCTCGGCGAAATCGATGCTTCAAAAAAAGGCGACAGAGAAGCAAAAGGAGAAGTAAGATTGTTTATACGCAAAAAATAAAAGAATTATGAAGAAATACAGAAAATTTTAAATTTTTATACACAAATATGTGTATTTTATAATTTAATTTTAATTCTCAAATGTCTATTACGTACATAATTTTAATTTGCTGAATTTTAGTTACGTATATAATTTTAATTTCTGAATTTTTGTTATGTATCAGACAACATAAGGGCGCGCTTCGCGTGCTTGAAATACAGAAAATTAAAAATTTTTTTTTTAAATAAAAAAACAAAGCTCCTCTTCATCACTTGTTGGAGATTCAGGAATAAAAGAATAGATGACTTGTAGATATACTTGACGCTAATGTCAGGTACCTGAAAGACTCTGTGTCATCTAATTCATCTTCAGTATCAGTCGAAGACGTAATAACTCTCTATGTAGCATATATATTTAACTTTATATTAATTAATGCGTCAATAAAGTGTAAGCAAATCTCTCTCGTTCGCATTCCTCTTTACGTCAATATTCAGAAGAGGAATATACATTATTTAGAATGTCGTATACGATCGAGTATTAATTCGAAACACTTAGCAGCCCAAAAACTGACATGTACAGAAATAAAAAAATCTTTTTATGTTGGGCCGAGTTAGTGAAAAAATTAGCAACGCAATCTATATAGAATTTCGAAAAATCTATTAGACGTGCCTGCTCCAATTTTCTACATAATTTTTCAGGCCAATCGACGGGAGGCGGACATTCTGGGAAGAAAACATAGTCAGCCTCCGCAGCTAAAGCGCCCACGATAGCCAGATACCTAGCCGAAAATAGCCCATTTATCTATATCTTACATCAATTTCGACGCGATAACGATTACAAATATTATTTTCGTATATTTGTAACCTATCGTTGAGATTTATCGTAAATCATGTATGATATTTTTTTACATTCTCGGAGACTAATGTTCTGCTCAATAATATATATAAAATTGTTCAATATTAATAAAATTATTTTCTCAATAAGAAAAGGGTGCACTTACCCACAATGACGACCCATAACTTCCATTATAAACGTTCTCTGATGAGAGTAAGCCGTGCTAACTATAGCGTCTATACTTTCAATGATACGATGCAACGCGGAATCGGTATCAATCGTCATGTCTGTGCCACAGAAATCGTTATCGATTGAACCTACTAGTTCAACAATGTGTAGTTGTTTGTACTTCTCGCTTTGCTCGGCAGTTATTTTCTCCTATGGGTGAAAAGTAACGTTAGCTTCGAATAGACGTATATGATATGTATTTTTTAAACAATTCTTTCTCTATTTACCAGACGCAACGAGTTCCTTCAGAAGATCTGACCACTCTTCCCTGAACAGATTGGCACCTGTGAGAGAGCCATCTCCGCCGATCACCACTAGATTGGTTATACCCAGATTAACCAAGTTCTTAGCGGCTTTTCGGCGACCTGGACGCTCTCTGAAATCTTGAGATCGAGCGGAGCCTATCACTGTACCGCCCTGAAGAAGAAAAATACAGCGTGTAAATAACGCGTGGACGAGTCATATGACGCAACGTTCTCCAATATGTACCCTGTGGATGATGCAAGACACGGCCGACCATGTGGCTTCTTCGATGTTCTTTCCGCCATCCACCATACCCTGATAGCCTTCTCTAATGAAGTATACCCTACACCCGAGATAAATGCCCATCCTTACAACGGCTCGTACAGCAGCATTCATTCCTAATCGAGAAAATTTGTATAATTAGAATTACTGTTGCGTTTGTTTCAAATACAATTATTTATTTTTCACTATATTGATTACCCTGAGAGTCACCACCGCTGGTGAACACGGCGATGCCTTTGCTCTTATGACTCCCAGGTTTGATAAATTTTTGAGTGGCGCTTCCTCAGCCATGATTGCAGCGCAATATTCCTTATAACTCTGTAGTAAAAAACATCGCACAACGTTAAAATGAATATTTTTGAGAAATTAGATTTTCTCCCTCTTCGTCTCAAAAACATGACAATTTTCCCGCTCAATCGGTCCATAAATATGTAATTAGTTCGCGATCAGACAGACAGACATACAGACAGACTTAAAAAATTTAAAGAGTACTTAAAAACCACATCGTCGCACACCCTGAAAAATTGCAACATTAAAAAAATTCAAAATCTTATACGACAAATGTTGTATACAAAGAGGTTTGTAAAATGAAAAATTGTGTGAAAACTAATAATAACGGGGTCAGTGTTGAGACACTAGGCTTTGAGGCCCGCGCTTCGCGCGGGCCGAAAAAGCTAGTGTATATGTAAGTTATTATTTATGTGTATACACACACACACACACACAAACGCACACAAACTCGGCGTATTAAAATCTATCAAGAGACATCGATTAACTATAAAGTATCTAAATCATTACCAATAAAACATTGTGCTGTGAGTTACCAGTCGAATCGTATAGAATCGTATAGAAGAATCGAGTGTAATAACTTTTTAAATAAAAAAAGTTATTATGTTAAGAATATTATGTGTTTTACTAAAGGTGTTAATACTAATGACAGCGCACATCGCGTTTTCGTCAGAAGATTTGGAAAATCCTGTAAGTCTTGAGCTAAAATCTTTTCATGTGCTTTGATCTAAACTTCTCATGATAGTTCCATGATTTTTTTATATTTTCAAATGTCAGCAGGAGAAACATGTTATGCTAAAATTTTATAATTATGTCTTCATTGTTGTAAAATAATAATAAAAATTACATTCGTAGCAATCATAAATACGTCGTACGCGATTCATATATAACTTTAAAATTAATTTCTCATTTCTTTGTTGAAGATAATTCAAAACATACATAATATATAACATTTTGAAATAATTTGTTAAATACATAATATGTTGAACACATAGTAATGCGAATGCAAATATATATATATATATATATATATATATATATATATATTTGTATATAATGAACGAATTGATATAAATAAAACAATAAAAAAGCCCTTGGGTCAACTGAATCATATACAAGTTTAAAGCGATCTATTTCTAGCAAAGCTGAAAATTTTCAACTGTTAACAAGTAGATATTTACGACTGTGTTTTTACAAAAACTTATAGTTACCACATAATTTACAAAATAAGTTTCTATCTAATCGCACATGTATTTTTCATTAACCGATTTAATAAGATAGATTTGATGGAACATTTACAAGCTTTATGTAATATATATTTATCAACAGGATGGCATAGCTCACTACATATATGATCAGTCCTCAAACCTCATACCTGTTGAGAATTATATTGATAACGTTGTTGTGAAAAATGAAGTCGGTAAGAGTTAAATTGTCTACAATCCCAAAACTGACTTGATTAGTTAATTATGTTATAAGAAATTAAGAGAGACAGTTAAGATATAGTCAATCTCATTATTTTGTTATACATATATAGTTTCTCAGCAGTCGCAAATCTTATATTTTAAATTCTTAAGCATCTAATAGAAAATTTTGAGACGCCATAAACGTAACTGCCCATACAGCACCGATAGATTGCAAAAAACATTACAACAATCTTTCACCGCAATATTGCAATATTGCAAATTCACTGCAAAATGTTGCTACATCATTGCTGTTGAATTGCAGCAATGTTAAAATGTCCGCTTTTTGGAAGATTGTAACAAAATATTACAACAATATTGCAATATGTTATGAGTTTGCAATAATGCATTGTTATTGCAACCATAAACTAATGTGCATATACAGGTATATAAATGTAAATAAATCATTAATGAAAATACGTTGTAGTTAATTTATATATATTACAATATATAAATTATAGAATTTGGATTACATGCAATTTCCGAATATTAATGTCATGTTGCTACAAGTGTGCTGGAATTTTGTGCACTTATATCTCTGCAAGTCTTTATAATGTTGCATTGCAAACTTGCAACGTTGCAACGTTGCTGCAATATAATGCAATAATCTGTGCTGTATGGGTGGTTGTAAAGGCTCGTCTACAACGACAGTAGCAGTAGATCGTAACAGTCGTAAGCGAAATGAAAAAAATCCATTTCCTATACGACTACGACGTACGTTCTACAGCGGACGCGCAGTCAGAATTAAGAACGCCAGAATTTCCGTGATTGTGTATGTGTCGATCGTAGAACGCACAAAATCCGTAGGAAATGGATTTTATTTATTTCGCTTACGGTCTTTACAATCTTATGCTACAGCTATTGTAGACGCCCTTAATTGTTGACAGATTTTTATTTATTATAAGATATTCGTACCTGCTCAGAATCAATAAAAAATGTAAAATTTGCAATTATAGGATATTAGTTTTTGGTCATTAACAGTAATTAAGTTTTTAAATCTCAGAAGCACACAAAAAATCATTATTATACATTACTTGAATATTATAAAATTCCTTACTGATCAATTTTTAATTTTTATCCTCTGCAATTTATATGCTTATGTTTTTTCCTTTTTAATTAGAAATGGTGATCACCTAAATTTATAAAAATACTATATATTTTTATTACTTCATATACTGCCCAATAAAACATGTTCTGTAACTTTTACAGACCATTTACAAAACAGATGTTCGCGGTTCTGGTAACCGTTATGTCAACTATTAAGTAACGTTTAGATGGAATTGTCAGCAACATTATGCCTGATATGATATGTAATAAATACATAAAATTTAAACCTAACAGATACATAAAATTTTATAAAATTACGTAACTAATACAGAATCTCTCTATGATAACCATTATGTAATTTTTTTATAAAAGATAGCACATATTTGTTTTAGAAATGTTTCATAATAAGCAGCTCTCGGAAACGTTTTACTGATTATCTATTCGAAAAATATTAAGGAAAGCGTTTTAGAGTTTAAGATAATGTTATATTAAAAAATTTTTATTTTATTCGTGAAAAAAGTTGTTTTTTTCACAGAAAGTAAATAATATAATGAAGATATTTTCACTCAGTCTCGTCGGATATTTATTTATCTGATTTCTGAGGAATCACTTTAATACTTCAATATCTGAATTGAATTTTCTTATGTTGAGATCATGTCACAAAGAATAATCTCATTATTCTTTGTGACATGATCCCAACATAAGAAAATTCAATTCTATATTAACACAGATGTTACCGTCAATTTCATCAACTTTAAACTTTCCTGACTAAAATTTGAATGCGAGATAGATAAAGAATCGTACACCGCGTAGCGGTAAAAAAGAAGAAACTAAACAATTATTACACAACTATGACGTATCGTTTATGTCAATAACGTAATGAATCTATAATTCTTACATAAAATTGTTATGTAATTTTGGCGTTACTTTGTTATGTAATATTTATGTTTTGGTTAATGTAAATGTGTATACTCTAAAAGTTTCGTAAATACTACGTAATTTTAATGACATAATTGTAACGTTATGTTAAATACATAAGATTTATGTATTTTGGTTAATGTAAATGTGTATACTCTAAAAGTTTCGTAAATGCTACGTAATTTTTATAACATAATTGTAATGTTATGTTAAATATGTAACATTTATGTATTTTGGTTAATATAAATGTATAATCTAAAAGTTTCGTAAATGCTATATAATTCTAATAACTATAATTGTAACATTATGTTAAATACATAACATTAACATTATTTTGTTGACATCAATGTATACATTCTGTAAAAACTTTATTATAACCGTTATATATAGTTATAATAACGAAATTGCAATATCTTTTTTATTTAATGTGACATCGCAATTTCGTATATTATAATTATATATAGTTATAATAAGGTTTTACAGAATATATACATTGATATCAACAAAATAATATTAATGTTACATATTTAACATAACGTTACAATTATGTCATTAGAGTTATATAGCATTAATAAAATTTTTTAAATATACACATTTACATTTTCCAATATACGTGAATGTTACGTATTTAACATAACGTTACAATTATGTCATTAAAATTACGTAGTATATTCAAAAATTTTAGAATATGTGCATTTACATTTATCAAAATACATAAATATTACGTATTTAATATAACATTACAATTATGTCATTAAAATTACGTAGCATTTACGAAAATTTTAGAGTATGCACATTTACATGTATCAAACTACATAAATATTACGTATTTAACATAACGTTACCATTACGTAATTAGAGTTATGTTGTATTTATGAAACTTTTAGAGTATACAATTTACATTCACCAAAATACATAAATGTTACGTATTTAACATAACGTTACTATTATATCATTAAAATTACGTAGCATTTACGAAAATTTTAGAGTATGCACATTTACATTCACAAAGAAACATAAATGTTACGTATTTAACATAACGTTACAATTATGTCATTAAAATTACGTAGCATTTACGAAACTTTTAGAGAATGCACATTTACATTCACCAAATTTCATAAATGTTACATAACAAAGTAACGTTAAAATTATATAACAATTCTATGTAACAATTATAGATTCATTATGTTATTGACATAAACGATACGTCACAGTTTCGTTATGATGATCTGTAATATATACATATAAAACATTATGTAATTATTACGTAAATGATCCCTGCGTGTTTACTGGGTGCATCCTATACGTATATCGTTTACATACTTTTAAAATGTCCAGAAAACGTTCCAAGCGAGCCAACTTCTCCTAGAGTATTCATACAATTGAGAATAGACTGGACGAGAGAAGCGGCATTATTGTGAGATACAGGTAAAGAATCTAAATTACTAACTTTTACTCTTCATTCTTTAAAGTTTAATGATAGAAGTTGTATATTAAATATACTTTAAAAAGTATATGTATGTATATATACACATATTCTAACTTTATTAAAAATTCGTAAAAAGTAAAAGATATAAAATATATTTCTATACTTTCCAGATGGGAAGAACCTAAATCCATAAATGGTAAAATACAAAAATACACAGTCCGGATTTGGTACATAAACCAGAAAAAGTTTATAAACTTTATTCATAATATCTTATCTACGGAAGTACACTTTAAAGTGACCAATTTACCTCCTTCTATGATGTATTTTCAAGTACAAGCGCATAACGAAAATGGCGCAGGTCCTTATACAAAGTGCATAAATGTATTGTCACCGCACGAAAATCCAGTACCTTTATTATTAATTAAATCATCGCATAATATATTAGTATCAGGTATAGATTTATTAAAAAACCTATGACCTTAATCAATATAGAACAAAAGAAATTATTTATTCGGCATTGGAACATAAAACTTTATTGGATTAATGAAGTGTCGGAGCTAATTTCTTGCGATTTTAATGTAAACGCAATGAAAATAAATCACATTTACACGAAAATAGTTGATCTCGACTCTTCTGCGCACAATCTCTGTATCGATTGGATAGCAAGAAATCTTATTGGATACAAGATGCCAACCACACCAAAAATATTATGAAGCTAGATTTAACATTGTGGGAACAAACTGGCTTAGCCAAATATGATAGTATCCTACAGATAAATGAGTCTAAATTTTTAAATATAGTGCCACTTAAAGGGTAAATATTATGTATGTGAATCAAATTAACAAATTTGTCTTTTAATTAGAAATTTCGTATAATTATTTCACATTTTACAATTAGTCAATAACTTAATAAAATTATTTATTTAAAATTATAAGTTATTGAATAAATTGACACAAATTGTAAACATATGTAACAATGATTATTGATTTCCGACATACAATTAATATATATACAATAATGTAATAAGTAGAGAATATTTTGTACATTTACAGATACATTTACTGGATGGAATTAAATTCAAATAATCAATATGTAATAAGGCAATCGGATCTCGATGGAAAAAATAAAAAATCTTTATTTGAAGAGAAAGATAATAAATGCTTCTGCCCATACAAATTACAAGAACCATCCACCATGCAGATTGACAACACAAATATTGACCAACCGTTAATGTATTGGACATCGAAAGATCATTTAATCGCAGGGGACATTTATGGTTGTAAGTGCCGTTTGGTTCTCAGCGCTGGAAATCAAAAATTTTTCAATTACTTAACAATTGACAAGACAAACATTTACTTATTTAGTAGAGACGAACTCCAATCCATAGTTTATCTCTATATGTTAAATAAAAAATATGCTCTTATCGAAAGCAACGAAAATGCTTTTAAACATGAATTTAACATATATAAGATAGGCAATAAGAGCCAAATCGCTTTTAAACATGTCCCAAAAGATATTGGTTTTGTAGAACCCATAAATTCAGTCATAGCTCTTGATGTATCTTCGCAACCATATCCGCCAACAACGTGTCTGACACCTAAAGTAAAAAATTATGCTATTAAAGTAACAAACATAACCGCGAATAGCATCATTGTAAATCTCCCGGAACCGGATCCCAATGACGGCTGCGAAAAGTATAACTTACCCACTACTATATATATCATTTCTGTAAGCCATTGTTTGGACAATGATCATAACAAGTTCAAAAAAAGGAACGAGCAAACGCACAAAAGTCATTACGAAATAAAGAATTTAACGCCATTCACAGAGTACAGATTAAAGCTGGCACTAAGCAATTTTTATGTTGACAAATTCTCTATGGACTTGCAATTCGGCGAGGATGTGATACAGAAAACTAATCCAGGCAAATTCAATGCGCCGGAAAATGTAACTGTTCAAGTTCTAACTCCTACTTTAGCGAAGATCTATTGGATGCCACCGCAGAATCTAAACTGCGCGCAGCAAGTAAATTACGAGGTGCATTGGAAATCAATTCTTTTTTCAAATGGCACACGAAAAATAACTCATCAAGTGCCACACATCGAACAACTTTTTAAGCTCGAACGTACTGTAGATGGCAAGTTTTTCACAATAATCCAATCCCCGCTGCCAGGACAAGAATACTCGATATACGTACGTGTGTATCCTGCAAATTTCAGTAATTTCTTCACTGACAGCGTAGACATAAGCGCCCATATGTACTCGGAACCTAATAATTTGACTTTAAGCGGAATCAGTACAAACAGTATGGCTATTTCATGGATTCCAAGCCATAACTTGATCAATTATAAACTGGAATACAAAAATGTTACGATGCAGGTGTGGAAAATCGCGGACGATATTGAGAAAAATAATGACAAAGTAATATATTATATAAAAAATTTACAGCCGGGAACTTTCTACAATTTTCGTTTGATCTTGAAATATCCCGAGCATATGGAAGATTTTATATGGCCGCTTGATGAAAGATTTTATACTTTTAAAACACTTGGTAAGCAAATGAAGAGATTAAAATATCATTTGTTTACTTTTTAAAAATATCTTAAAAGTTATAATTTTACGAATAAGAAAATTTAAAAAATTAATTCAAATTATACTCTTGTGTAACATAGCTGATATTCCGAGTGCTCCTGGGATACCTATGATAACGAGACTTCCAAATTCCACGTATCAGTTAAAATGGAAGCCTGCACAAGTTCACGATTCACAAGTGAGTTTGTATCGACTGGAAGGTTTAATTGTCGAAAATAATTATAAAGAAGATAATCAGGCAAATAAACACTGGAATTTATATTACAACGGAACACATAACCACTGGGTAATGACGAAAGGCATGAATCAGAAATACCGATTCCGCGTGCGGGCTGGAAACGCTTATGGTTTTGGAGAATGGAGTGAAACAAGCGCAGAAGTTGATTTGACAGATTCTATCGAAATATTGGCTGCGCATTATTATTATTATTTACTATTACCATTTGTATTAAGCCTTATCGTAACCCTTGCAGTCTATAATGTTTATTACTTTTATTGTTGTAAGTATCTTGCTTTAATTTTGGACTTTGATGGCAAATTATTTTATTGAATTTGACGTATATAAAAAAATTCTGAAATATTATTTTACTTGTTAAAATTAATTTATATCTTGCAATGTATTAACATTTTATAATATTATTTATTAGCATATGGACAATGCAAAGAAATTAACGATCCAGTTTTGCCTGCGATAATGACCGACATTGAATTAGTAACTCAAAGTGAATTGTCACACGAGTGTGTTCAGCTCAACAAGCTGTACAATTCTAAATTGCAACATAATTTAGATAAATGTAATTTAAGAATAATAAAAAAAGAGCAAATTATTCGAACAAAGCTTCTAGGCAGTGGCCAATTTGGAGATGTAAAAAACCTTTTTTCTATTATTCTTAAAGATATATCCTTGACGACTTTTCTTAATTTTTTAATCAAAAAAAATTTGAAATAAAGACACATTTTTAATAAAAATAATTCTAAGAATCAAAATTTTTTATAAAAATAAATAATACAAACATTTTTAGTTTGCACATTATTGATTTGTATTAATTATGAAATACTTCGCAGGTATTTAAAGGAACTGTGAAGAATTTAGAAGGATTAGACACAATGCCTGTCGCAATAAAGATGCCACGAGAAAATGCTTCCTCGCAAGATAAAGAAAAATTCTTGCAAGAGGCTAAACTTATGAGCCATTTTCGCCACAAACATGTGTTAAGATTGTTGTGCATCTGTTTGGACACTGATTCACCAATGCTCATATTAGAATTAATGACAGCAAACTTACTAAAATATTTGAGAGAGAGTCAAACATTGCAATTGTCAGATCCACACTCTTTGCGTCTGCAAGACTTATTTGCTATGTGCGAAGATGTAGCACGAGGTTGTTGCTATTTAGAAAAACTGCACTTTGTGCATAGAGATCTCGCATGTCGTAATTGTTTAATATCAACCAGAAATCGTGAAAATCGTATTGTAAAAATCAGCGACTTTGGACTAGCTAGAGATCTTTACAAGAATGCTTGTTACCATATGGTAAATGCTTTGAATTATTTGAAACAGATAAATTGTTTTTTAGTTTTATATTTAATAACTTTATATACAAGTTTAAGTGAATTAAAAAAGTAAAAAAATAAACTATTTTTATTTTTTTATTTTTATATTAAAAGAAACTACTTTATGTGCATATAACGTTTACTTTAAAAAACGAGAATAATTTTTCAAAGAAATTTAACTGTGCTAAAATTATGCTTTAGAAAGGAGAAGGTCCGCTTCCTTTTCGCTGGATGGCACCGGAATCTCTGAAGTACCAAAAATTTACATCGCAAAGCGATGTTTGGTCATTCGGGGTGCTTATGTGGGAAATTACGTCATTGGGTCAACACCCTTATTCTGCCAAAAATGATACTGAAGTATCGCAATATGTGTGTACGGGGGGCAAACTGCCGAAACCTCTTAACTGTCCATTGGGGTTGTATCAACTTATGCAACAATGCTGGAGTGCGGTAGACAATAGACCGAATTTTATAGAGTGCCTCAAAAATATTACAATTCTAAGAGACAATATAGAAGACGCAGGACTGATATTATCAAATGATTTTATCAAATATGCAGAGGTATTGATCGTAAATTTTTCATGATCATATCATAGCATAAATCATTGAACTTTTGCAATGCATTCGAGTTATATTCTATTTTTCTCGAGCTTTGATTATATCATCGAAAAATGACTCACTATTGTTAGTCACGTCTTTTCAATCAAAGTTAAGCTTGAAATTGTTGCATATTACTTGTATATATTTTTTAATGCGCACCTCTTTCTCTCTCTTCATTTTTTCTTTTCAATTCTTAGTAAAATGCAGTTTTTTTCTGTCTTAGTTGCCGTCGTCTGGACAGTTAGAAGATTTTGTCGAAAGCACAACATAACGTACCTCTGAATCTTTAACTACCAATGATGTGTCAAATGATCAAAACAGAATCTTTTACGTAATCGTTTCCTTGACAGAGCGATTTATAAAAGCTTTGGCTGAGGATTATTTCATTCACGTATTCCCATATTTTGAAGCCCGCTCTTGCATTTATTAATTAGTTTCGGTCATTAAAGCATTAATTAATTTTTTCCAAATTTTAGATTTTCATTTATTACGTATCATTATGTAAGATATAATGACACCTGTGTTTTCAAAATTTTTATTATTAAACTGAGGAACATTTTAGTGACGTATTCCCATATTTTAAAGCTTGCTCCTGTATTTTTTAATTAGATTCAGCCAATAAAGCGGTAATTAATTATGTCCAAATTTTAGGTCCCCATTTACGAATCATTATATTATGTATCGATTGAGTGTTTTTTTGGAATTTTTTAATATCAAACTGGGAATTATTTCATATATGTTATTTCACATTTTAAAGCCCGCTCTTGCATTTTTTATTTATTTTTAGTCATTAAAAATGATAATTAATTTTTTCCAAATTTATTAATTTTTTTATTAATGAAGTTCTCGGTCTTATAGCATTACGATAGATCAAAACACATTTTTAAAATGTTTTTATTATCAAACGCAGAATTATTTTATTCATGTTTTTTTCATTTTTTGAAACACGCTCTTGCATTTTATAATTAATTTCAGTCATTAAAAGCTATAATTTTATTTTATAATTTAATGGTTTCTATTATATATCTAAGGTTAGCAATTAAAATGTTATTACATTTAAATATTATATGTATGTATATCGCAATGCTAAATAGCAACACGTCCCATATAGCAAAATATATGCATTCTGTATTCATATTGTACTCATATTTCTTAAAACATGATTACAAAAATAGACATAGATGCAGACTCATATGCTACTCAAAACACGGACATATTATGATATCTTAAAAATGTTTGCAAAAAATGTCATTAAGAGTACATAAATATGTTCAAATTTTGCAAATTTTTCAGGGAGTGTGATGATGTAGTTTTTTCTTAAGTTTTCACTTACCCACGCATTTACAAATTTATTGATCGATGTTTTAGAAATTGATAGTAAAATTTTCAAAATTTTTTAAACCCACGCACTTACCCACGCAATCGCATATTTATGTGAATTTTTCTACGCATTCATACATTTCTTCACCGATTTTCTTGAAATCGGTCTCACAGAGATAATCGTTAAGGGGGTTGTTTATTAACAATCGGCGCTATATTCAGCGATCAGCGGTGGGAACATCAGCAAAAAATAAAAAAAATTAATAATAAAAGATAAAAAAATATTTTGGTACATGTTTCACGAAAATCGGTTCATAAATATGTAAATAGTTTGCGATCAGACAGACAGACATACAGACAGACTTAAAAAATTTAAAGAGTACTTAAAAACCACATCGTCGCACACCCCGAAAAATTTACAACATTAAAGAAAATTCAAAATTTTTTACAACAAATGTTGTATACAAAAAAGTTTTGTAAAATGAAAAATTGTGTGAAAACTAATAATAACGGAGTCAATGTTGGGAAACTAGGCTTTGAGGCCCGCACTTCGCGCGGGCCGAAAAGGCTAGTATATATATAAGTTATTATTTATGTGTATACACACAGACGAACGCACACAAACTCGGCGTATTAAAATCTATCAAGAGACATCGATTAACACAAGACATCGTATAAAGTATCTAAATCATTACCAATAAAACATTGTGTTGTGAGTTACCAGTCGAATCGTATAGAATCGTATAGAAGCATCGAGTGCAACATTTTCAAAAAAAAAAGTTATTATGTTAAGAATATTATGTGTTTTACTAAAGGTGTTAATACTAATGACAGCGCACATTGCGTTTTCGTCGGAAGATTTGGAGGAACCTGTAAGTCTTGAGGAAAAATCTTTTCATGTGCTTTGATCTAAACTTCTCATGATAGTTCCATGATTTTTTTATATTTTCAAATGTCAGCAGGAGAAACATGTTATGCTAAAGTTTTATAATTATGTCTTTATTGTTGTAAAATAATAATAGAATATTATATTCGTAGCATTACAATCATAAATACATCGTGATTCATATATAACTTTAAAAATTAATTTCTCATTTCTTCGTTGAAGATAATTCAAAACATACATAATATATAACATTTTAAAATAATTTGTTAAATACATAATATGTTGAACACATAGTAATGCGAATGCGAGTATATATATGTATATAAAGAACGAATCGATATAAATAAAACAATGAAAAAGCCCTTGGGTCAACTGAATCATATACAAGTTTAAAGCGATCCATTTCTAGCAAAGCTGAAAATTTTCAACCGTTAACAAGTAAATATTTACGTATATTTATTAATCTCGCTATTTGAAACTGTGCTTTTACAAAAACTTATATTTACCACATAATTTACAAAATAAGTTTCTATCTAATTGCACATGTATTTTTCATTAACCGATTTAATAAGATAGAATTGATAAAACATTTACAAGCTTTATGTAATATATATTTATCAACAGGATGGCATAGCTCACTACATATATGATCAGTCCTCAAACCTCATACCTGTTGAGAATTATATTGATAACGTTACTGTGAAAAATGAAGTCGGTAAGAGTTAAATTGTCTACAATCCCAAAACTGACTTGATTAGTTAATTATGTTATAAGAAATAAGAGAGACAGTTTAAGATATAGTCAATCTCATTATTTTGTTATACATATATAGTTTCTCAGCAGTCGCAAATCTTATATTTTTAAATTCTTAAGCAATAATAGAAAATTTTGAAACGCTATAAACGTAACTGGCTGTAAAGGCTCGTCTACAACGACAGTAGCAGTAGATCGTAGCCGTCGTAAGCGAAATGAAAAAAATCCATTTCCTATACGACTACGACGTACGTTCTACAGCGGACGCGCAGTCAGAATTAAGAACGCCAGAATTCTTTCGTGATTGCGTATACGCGTCTACCGTAGAACGCACGAAATCTGCAGGAAATAAATTTTATTCATTTCGCTTACGGTCTTTACAATCTTATGCTACAGCTATTGTAGACGCCCTTAATTGTTGACAGATTTTATTTATTATAAGATATTCGTTCCTGCTCAGAAAGTGACCAATTTACCTCCTTCTATGATGTATTTTCAAGTACAAGCGTATAACGAAAATGGCGCAGGTCCTTACACAAAGTTCAGAAAAGTATCGTCAACGCACGAAAATCCAGTACCTTTATTATTAATCAGCGCATCGCATAAATATTAGTAGCAGATATGGATTTACAAAAAATCTATGAACTTAATAAATATAGAACAAAAGAAATTATTTATTCGGCATTGGAACATAAACTTTATTGGATTAATGAAGTGTCGGAGCTAATTTCATACGATTTTAATGCAAACACAATGAAAACAAATCACATTTACACAAAAATAGTTGATCTCGACTCTTCTGCGCACAATCTCTGTATCGATTGGATAGCAAGAAATCTTTATTGGATACAAGATGCCAACCACACCAAAAATATTATGAAGCTAGATTTAACATTGTGGGAACAAACTGGCTTAGCCAAATATGATAGTATCCTACAGATAAATGAGTCTAAATTTTTAAATATAGTGCCACTTAAAGGGTAAATATTATGTATGTGAATCAAATTAACAAATTTGTCTTTTAATTAATAATTTTGTATAATTATTTCACATTTTATAATTAGTCAATAACTTAATAAAATTATTTATTGAAAATCATAAGTTATTGAATAAATTGACACAGAATTGTAAACATATTTAACAATGATTATTGATTTCCGACATACAATTAATATATATACAATAATGTTTTTAAATAGAGAATATTTTGTACATTTACAGATACATTTACTGGATGGAATTAAATTCAAATAATCAATATGTAATAAAGCAATCGGATCTCGATGGAAAAAATAAAAAATCTTTTTTGGAAGACAAAGATAATGAATGCTTATGCCCATACAAATTACAAGAAGCATCCACCATGCACATTGACAACACAAATATTGACGAACCGTTAATGTATTGGACATCGAAAGATCATTTAATCGCAGGGCGGGACATTTATGGTTGTAGGTGCCGTTTGGTTCTCAGCGCTGGAAATCAAAAATTTTTCAATTACTTAACAATTGACAAGACAAACATTTACTTGTTTAGTAGAGACGAACTCCAATCCATAGTTTATCTCTATATGTTAAATAAAAAATATGCTCTTATCGAAAGCAACGAAAATGCTTTTAAACATGTCCCAAAAAATCATGGTTTTGTAGAACCCATAAATTCAGTCATAGCTCTTGATGTATCTTCGCAACCATATCCGCCAACAACGTGTCTGATACCTAAAGTAAAAAATTATGCTATTAAAGTAACAAACATAACCGCGAATAGCATCATTGTAAATCTTCCGGAACCGGATCCCAATGACGGCTGCGAAAAGTATAACTTACCCACTACTATATATATCATTTCTGTAAGCCATTGTTTGGACAATGATCGTAACAAGTTCAAAAAAAGGAACGAGCAAACGCACAAAAGTCATTACGAAATAAAGAATTTAACGCCATTCACAGAGTACAGATTAAAGCTGGCACTAAGCAATTTTTATGTTGACAAATTCTCTATGGACTTGCAATTCGGCGAGGATGTGATACAGAAAACTAATTCAGGCAAATTCAATGCGCCGGAAAATGTAACTGTTCAAGTTCTAACTCCTACTTTAGCGAAGATCTATTGGATGCCACCGCAGAATCTAAACTGCGCGCAGCAAGTAAATTACGAGGTGCATTGGAAATCAATTCTTTTTTCAAATGGCACACGAAAAATAACTCATCAAGTGCCACACATCGAACAACTTTTTAAGCTCGAACGTACTGTAGATGGCAAGTTTTTCACAATAATCCAATCCCCGCTGCCAGGACAAGAATACTCGATATACGTACGTGTGTATCCTGCAAATTTCAGTAATTTCTTCACTGACAGCGTAGACATAAGCGCCCATATGTACTCGGAACCTAATAATTTGACTTTAAGCGGAATCAGTACAAACAGTATGGCTATTTCATGGATTCCAAGCCATAACTTGATCAATTATAAACTGGAATACAAAAATGTTACGATGCAGGTGTGGAAAATCGCGGACGATATTGAGAAAAATAATGACAAAGTAATATATTATATAAAAAATTTACAGCCGGGAACTTTCTACAATTTTCGTTTGATCTTGAAATATCCCGAGCATATGGAAGATTTTATATGGCCGCTTGATGAAAGATTTTATACTTTTAAAACACTTGGTAAGCAAATGAAGAGATTAAAATATCATTTGTTTACTTTTTAAAAATATCTTAAAAGTTATAATTTTACGAATAAGAAAATTTAAAAAATTAATTCAAATTATACTCTTGTGTAACATAGCTGATATTCCGAGTGCTCCTGGGATACCTATGATAACGAGACTTCCAAATTCCACGTATCAGTTAAAATGGAAGCCTGCACAAGTTCACGATTCACAAGTGAGTTTGTATCGACTGGAAGGTTTAATTGTCGAAAATAATTATAAAGAAGATAATCAGGCAAATAAACACTGGAATTTATATTACAACGGAACACATAACCACTGGATAATGACGAAAAGCATGAATCAGAAATACCGATTCCGCGTGCAGGCTGGAAACGCTTATGGTTTTGGAGAATGGAGTGAAACAAGCGCAGAAGTTGATTTGACAGATTCTATCGAAATATTGGCTGCGCATTATTATTATTATTTACTATTACCATTTGTATTAAGCCTTATCGTAACCCTTGCAGTCTATAATGTTTATTACTTTTATTGTTGTAAGTGTACTTCATAATTTCAGAGTTAGGTTGCAAATTATTTTATTTGATATATGATTTCATACATAAAATATAATTCGTACATACAAATTCATATATAAAAATTATTCTAAAATATTTGTTTACTTGTTGAAAATGATTTATACTTTGCAATGTATTAATATTTTATAACATTATTTATCAGCGTATAGACAACGCGAAGGAGTTAACGATCCAGTTCTGCCTGCGATTATGACCGACATTGAATTAGTAACTCAAAGTGAATTGTCACACGAGTGTGTTCAGCTCAACAAGCTGTACGATTTTAAATTGCAACATAATTTAGATAAATGTAATTTGAGAATAATCAAAAAAGAGCAAATTACTCGAACAAAGCTTCTAGGCAGTGGCCAATTTGGAAAAGTAAAAAGCTAATTTTCTATTAGTCTTAAAGATATATCCTCGAAGACTTTTCTTAATTTTTTAATAAAAAAAATTTTGAGATAATGACTTTTTAATAAAAAGAATTTAAAAAATCAAAATTTTTCATAAAAATAAATAATACAAACATTTTTAGTTTGCACATTATTAATTTGTATTAATTATGAATTATTTTGCAGGTATTTCAGGGAACTGTCGAGATTTTAGAAGGAGTAAACACAATGCCTGTCGCAATAAAGATACTACGAGAAAATGCTTCCTCGGATGACAAAGACAACATTTTGAAAGAGGCTAAACTTATGAGCTATTTTCACCACAAACATGTGGTAAAATTGTTGTTCGTCTGTTCGGACATTGATTCACCAATGCTCATATCAGAATTAATGGAAGGTGGTGACTTACTGAAATATTTGCAAGAGTGTCAAAAATTGCAATCGTCAGATCCACGTTTTTTGCGTCTGCAAGACTTGCTTGCCATGTGCGAAGATGTAGCACGCGGTTGTTGCTATTTAGAAAAACTACACTTCGTGCATAGAGATCTCGCATGTCGTAATTGTTTAATATCGTCAAGAAATCGCGAAAATCGTATTGTAAAAATCAGCGATTTTGGACTAGCTAGAAATCTCTACAAGAATGCATACTATCGTACGGTAAATACTATTATTTGGAAGAGATAAATTGTTTTTTATTATTACATGTAATGACATTGTACAATACAAATTTAAGTGAATTTAAATGTACAAAAGTTAAGTATTTTTAGTTTTTATAATAATAGAGGAAAATAGTGATAAATTAACTTTATGTGCACACACGTAACGCTTCTTCAAAAAATGATGGTTGTTAAGTTGTGGGATGGCTTTGTTAAGAAATTTAACTGTGCTAAAATTATGCTTTAGAAAGGAGAAGGTCCACTTCCTCTTCGCTGGATGGCACTGGAATCTTTGATGTACCGAAAATTTACTTCGCAAAGCGATGTTTGGTCGTTCGGGGTACTTATATGGGAAATTATGACATTAGGTGAACACCCCTATTCTACCAAAAATGATTCTGAAGTATGGCAATATGTGTGTGCGGGAGGCAAGCTGCCAAAACCTCTCAACTGTCCATTGATGTTATACGAATTGATGCACCGTTGCTGGAGTCCAATAAATGCTAGACCGAATTTTACAATTTGTTTAGAAAATATTATAACTCTGAGAAACAATATAGAAGACACGATACCGAGTTCGGCTGATAGTATCAGATATGTAGAGGTGAATCTATCATAATTTTATTTTATCATTATTTTATGTATATGTCATAGCATAGATTATTGAACTTTAGAAGGTCGATTAGAAAATTTATTGATTAAAATATTTCTTGTTTCTCGCTTATATTTAAAATATTTTTAATATTTATTTAATTATTTGTGTTTGTATTGCTGACTTTTGATAAATATTAACGTTTGCGAAAAAAGCTTGAAAATCCTTTACAAATTTTGTTTGTATGCGCTCGAGCTATATTCAATTTTGTGAAGTTTTGCTATATATGCGTGTCATCAAAAAATTACTTACAATCAGCCAGTTAAGCTTAAAATTGTGATTTTACGAATATATTTTTACTGAATATTAAAGCGCACAACATATTTATATATCTCTCTTCATTAGTTTTTTAATTTTTTCGATATATATTTTTTCTGTTTTAGCTTCCGTCTTCTGGAAAATTAGAAGGTTCTGTCGAAAGTATAGCACATCCTACATCCGAACGTTTAACTACCAATGATGCTCCAAATATCATAGAATATTCGACGTTATCGCATTCTTGAATGAGTGATTTTTGAAAGCTCCTGTTAACACTTATAATTGATTTTACCATTTTTTATTCTAACCATCGATATATTATATTATATACAATAGCCATAATGTAACTAAATACAATAATGTGAAAATCTCTTTTTAATATTTTTATATTTTATTTTTTTCATACTTTTTATATCACTAATAATGTTTGTCTAATCGAAAAAGTTCATGCCATAAATTTCACTATCGAGCTCGGCGAAATTGATGCTTCAAAAAAGGCGACAGAGAAGCAAAAGGAGAAGTAAGATTGTTTATACGCAAAAAATAAAAGAATTTTAAAGAAATACAGAAAATTTAAAATTTTCTGTATTTCAAGCACGCGAAGCGCGCCCTTATGTTGTCTGATACATAACAAAAATTCAGAAATTAAAATTATATACATAACTAAAATTCAGCAAATTAAAATTATGTACGTAATAGACATTTGAGTATTAAAATTAAAATATAAAATACACATATAATAAAATATAAAATTAAAATATATGGTAATATAATATACTGTAGTTTCATTTATATCTATTATTTTTTAACGAAAGTTATTGAATTGTATTTCTCAAATTTGTATTAGTATTCTACTATAATTAAACTTGATAACAAAACTGATTTTGACTTATGAGTCGACACAATTACTTTTACTTGTAACTTCCTACTGTGTTAACAAATCTGCTTATAAATGCTAAATTTATGTAGCATATATATATATATATATATATATATATAATTTTGTTTAGTTTAATCAAATATAATTACGCACGCAAAGCGAAGTTATATTAGTCTTTGATAATAAAATCTCAAAAATTGCGTCGCATGCTTGCAAAATTATTATTACAAACCATGCATAAAAAATATATTAATTAATTATGTAACGCATAAAATTCAATATTTAAATCTTTAACAGAAAATACGAACAAAGAAATAAAATTTTCTACAAAAATCTTTTGTGATCAAATATCTACGCTTTTATTAAATTCGCGCAGCGTAACAGACGTATGGGATGTATTATCAAAGATTATTTGTATTATCAATAAAATTTTTTATTAAAAATTATAAGTTACCGAATCATATTTAACTGATTCAATTTAACTGATTAATATGTAATAAGACAAGTGAATCTTGATGAAAAAAACATAACATCTTTTTCAGAAGAAAAAAACAATTAAGCTTTAAAATCCTTTTTAAAATTTAAATTATCATTTTTCGAAACAAAGTTACAACTATTTAAAATTTGCCTATTTCTTAATCCTTTAATTATTTTGAGGAGTGTGTATATTCTAATTATAAGAACAATTAGAAAGTATGTGCAATTTGCGATTCAAGACTCATGGCAATGCTTTTACAGCATTATATATTTTTGTAATATGGTAAGTAATTTATTTTATAATTTAAAGATTATAATTATATCGCATTTTAACATAAGTGAATAAATATACAAATTAAAATTAAAGATACATATTTCCGTGTATTATAATATTCGAGAACATGATTACTTCAAAAATTAGGTTGAAAAATGTTTGGAAAAAATTTTTTTAATTATCGCGATCGAAAAGATTTTACTTTTTTAGCGAAAACTGTCGGATAGTATATTGAAATATTGTGATATCAAGAAAAAGACAGATCTAAATCACTTAAGAACTGGTTCACTATTAAGAATAATGTCTATAATGTTGCTCCAATATTCGATCTAATCGTAAGACAATATATGGATACTTGATCTTGCGTCAATAATTAATCGTAAATATATCGAAATAACCGGAATCGCAATCGGATATATAATTTACGCGTCTAATTAAAATACTATGATTAGACAAAACTTATCAACAAAATAAGATGCTTCAAGGGTTTTGATAAATCGAGAAAGAAGAGGGATATAGAAGCCGGTACTTAATATTATACAAATATATATAACTGAAGTTGATGATATATAGTAAAAATATTAAAAATATTTAAACTATATATTCTATATATTTGTTTGATGAGATGTGAGCCACATATTTAGAAGATATAGTTTATTTCACGCCATAGATACAACATCGTGTGTGTATGTAATACGTAGTCGTGTTTTCCTAAATTTACAATATTTATCGCAACGATCGAAATTGTTGCGGCAAATACAGATATATTTCTTCATACGCACCGCGTCTCGCAGATAATATGCAATATATATATATGATAACGTCGCGATAATTCAACGTCTCGGGGAGAGAAAAAAGAGAGAAAAATAAATATCTATATATATACATATATTAGAGTAACAATATATGTATATAATACTATACATACGTATGCTGTGGTTAGAGGATGTAAATTCATTGATCAACAATGAGTCGAAAATATAATATCTCTGAGATGTTTAAAAATAAAATATATCTCTCTCATTCTCTTATTACACCCTTATTACGTGACGGGCAGCTAACAGCTTGACATTATATGCAAATACACTATTTGTACATTTCTGCTTACATAACTCTACGTAGAGATTTATATAGAGCACTCGGTAATTCTATGTACATATATATCTTGACCAATGCACGAGTGCAAATTAAATATATCTCACATATACGAATATCAAATATGATATTAAATATCAACGTAATTTTTCTTTGTATATATTAGCACAAGTTCGACATATTTTATCTAATTTGAATATCGAATACTTCTAATCAGATATATCTGGCGTATATTCCGATCCGATATTATTTATATATTAAAACACAAAAGAGATGTTTAAAAATTGTTTATATATATATATATATATATAGGATTGTCAAATAATCGTTTTAAAATAAAAGTGTCTATCAAAGAGGTACAGAAAATAATCTGTATCAATAGTATGTAGATGACAATAAAAATACAATTTTATGCATAGATAATTGACGAAGGCTTTCGCATATTTTCGTTAGTTTGATAAGTTTAGCCTCTCTTGGTAGAATATTAAATAAACAAAATTTCTACGTGCATTTAAACAGGTGCCGTATTAATGTTATTATTCGAGTTGCCTTTCAACAAGTATTTTATCTATCGTACGCTATTAATAGATCATATACATACTCTGTAACGACTTTCAACAAGCACGATCTGTCGAATATATATAACTTCTTTTACATATACAATATTTTATATATAGCTACATTAATATTCTAATTCGAGTAAATCATAAAGCGCATATCATTGCGCGTATCATTGTACTTTCAAAGTTTTATCATTCATTTTTTTTATGCAGCGCATGCATCGAATATCGATATCTACTAAAAGCCAAGTCTTAAAATTATATCATGTCGCATTGCGAGTGCTAAGCAGCATCTCCGTAATGAAAGTCATTTGCTCCACAATTTTGACGCGTGAATATCACGAGTTGAAAAAATTATGACGTAATCAGATTATCACGCACAAGTTTTTTTCTTTTTTTTTGTTTGATTCTTGTTTCGCGTATTTTTCATTAAAATAACGCGAGTCGGTAATTTTTTTTATCTCGACGCTTAAGTAAAATTCACGAATATGTAGAAGAAGAGTTTGCACAAGACATAATTTTCAGCGGTTACACCAGAAAATGCAGTTATCTGGTTCTAGAGTCTGGAACACGTAGTGACTACATTATACGCCGAAAAAAAAAACAATTACGAGATTAATACTTGCACGATTCTCTCGAAAGATAAATATACGAGTATAGAGAGAGAGAGAGAGAGAGAGAGAGAGAGAGAGAGAGAGAGAGAAGGAGAAAGAGAGACAGAGAGAAAAAGAATTAAATCTAAATACCTTTGTGGTCACACAAATCTTAAATTTTAGAAAATTTTTTCTTTTAACGTTACGTGCAACACTTTAACGCGCGACTCGGATGAATTTCTCTCTGGCGAGTCGTTTGTTCACCGTTGCAAAATTATGTTTTGAGGTAGACAGGTATATTCTCCAATAGCTTTTTATAGCTTCGCGAGTAACGCTAAACCGAAGGATTAAAACACTTTCACCGACGCAAAATATCGCATTACTTTTTTTTAATCCTATATCTTAGTAGACCACAAGTACGGTTCAGAATATTTAATCTGTGTGAAACTCTTTGAAACATTTCTGAAATCTGATTTACTTCTCGATCCAGTACTACAATTGAAAATTATATTTATTAAGCGTTTCATATCGCGCGATTATATTTAAAAAAAATCAGACAGAAAAAGGGATATCGAAACACAAGATTTGCTGTTAGTCTGTCACAATGTCTAAAACATCGAAAATGTATAAATAATATCACTATTCGCTAAATATGCTAATATAAATCTATTTAGTTGTTCAATCTATGATAATAAAAATATATGTGCAAAACTTGTTCATGTAATATTAGGTTCGAGTAGCATATCAAATGTAAATTTTGCACGTCGTTAGTTTCCAATTTATAGTTGTGTGTTTTCTGCATATTTTTCGTAAAAATAATTTTCCCGTTATTTAGCACTTGAACTTTGTTATTATTTTACTACGCTAAAATTTTATATATATATATATAATATATATCTCGATTCTAATTTATCTTTGATACTATACATCAATGTTACGCAACGCGATTTTTTAACATTATTATAAGATACTGTAACAATACCATATCGTTGCCAACCGCTTTTATATTTTTTTCTCAAACGTTTAAAGTATACCTTACCTTTGCACTTTGCACAGATACCGCCTTTGTACCTATTTCTCACCTGAGTTGGAAAACATTCAAGACACAAATATGATTTCCGAGCAAAAAGAAAAAGTACGTTCCTATATATATTCTCGATCACATCTATTATCCGAATTATTTATATTTAAAAAATGTTTGCGTGCGAATCTTAAATAAATAACGTACGTGGCACACAAACGCTACTAAGAACCAATAATGTACACAATCAAATTTTTTCAAAGATATACATGATCTAATAAATATATATGCATATAAGATTCTCGTTTCTCTCGTCGAGCAGCGATAAAATTATCATGTCATACAATACTGTGTGATTACTCTGAATCATCAACACCTACTACTTTCCACACGATTAATAATAATATCCATTTCCAATGCCGCATTACCTCTCGCGGCGTTTTAAACAATCGATTTCGCCATTATACGAGAGGCGGATCCTTCTGTTCGTCCATCTCTTCGACAGTTATGTAAAGGCCTTCCTCCTCATACGTCGACTCGTGCTTCGCCAGCACTTTCAGCAGTGGACGCAGCTTCATCCACCATTGATACGTCGGAATACGATGTCTGTAATAAATTTTTAATTATTATTACATTACGCAAGAAATTAAAGCGACTCGGCAGAAAGTGCGAAACAGAATACGTACTCAAAGTCCGTAACTTCGATAAGATCCGTGAATGGCGTAAATCTATATTGACGTCTGATAATACCAAGCATCACTGCACTGTCAGCTGCTGTAGTGACCGTTTTGCCATCAGGGCCAGTGCATTTTCTCAGCTGATCGCTGAACCATTCAACTGCCTTAGAACCCATCTTCGTTCCCAAGTTACGATCGAAGGGAGTCGGCGAGCCACCTTGTTGCATATGACCTAAAATATAGAAAAATATTAATTAATTAAATATTTACTTTTGTATTATAAATGCGTCTGAATATTGGAAAGTCGATTAAAGAGATAAAGAAGAAGTACATACCGAGAATGTTTCTTCTACAACTGAATAAACCTTTGCCTTCCTCGCTGAAAAGTCTGAACATAAACTCCGTATTGTAATTCTCGTTGGCGTTTTCGTTTCTGATAATAAGGCCCCTCTCGACACCCTCCGACATTTTCGCTGCCATCGCGATGACATCGTGATTCAAATCTTTAATATTGAATTTCTCTTCGTAGATATAAGCCGCGTCAGCACCGCCGGCTAGACCCGCGATGGTCGCTAGATATCCGCAAAAACCACCCATCGTCTCGATAATAAATACACGACGTTTGGTACCTTGCGCCGATTGTCGAATGCGATCGCAGATCTATCGGAGATAAGACAATATATTAAGGATTATATATAATCAAATATTAAATCACTTTCTTTATCTTTTTGCGAGTGTCGAATCTACAAGCATATCGCAGAACTTACTTCTGTAATTTCATTCGAAGCTGTATCGCAGCCCAATGAAAATTCAGTGCCTGGTACATTGTTGCTAATGGTCGCGGGAATCATAGCAATAGGGATCCTGAACTCCTCGTATTTATCTCTGGCTTTGTAAAATGTGAGACAGGTTTGATAACCCTGGAAAATAAAATGCGCGCTTTATCGACGCTGACCTCTCGAGAGCAGAATCCAAGAACGGTGCAACGTTCGCGGAGCAATTCTCGTTACCTCGAATCCACCTATGATGAGCAGCGCCTGTATTCCAAATTCTTTCAATTTTTGAGCAATTGCGGGCAACTGATCCTCCTGAGGCGGTGAACGCTTCGTTCCCAGCTTCGCGCCGCCTTCCGAGACCCAGCCGGTGACAGAAGGCCAATCCATCAATTTTAATCTACCAGCCATGAGACCTAACACTCCGTCACAGATACCGTATACCTGTAACACACCGTGATAAATATACAGGGTCCCAATCTTACCGTACCATACATTTATGGAAGGCTCCTAAGGTTATTTGGAGACGATTTTTCCTCAGCAAAAATGTCGAGGAAGGTCATCATTTTTTTAATGTTCCCAATTTTTAAAATCATGTATCTTTGTAATTAAATTTTAAATTAAAATTCTATTAAAGTAAAGTTGACCTGAAATTAACTAAAAAATATAGTTTTGTTAATAATTTATTTTCACAAGGTTTAGTTTACAAAAAAGCTTTTATTTTCGATCGTTTATAACTCGAGAAAAAATCATCTCCAAATCACCGCAAGAATCTTTCATTAACAAGTGGCACGGTAAGTCTGGGATGTACTGTATACGAAATTGAAAGCGCAAAAAAATATATGTAAATATTTATAACGCACCTTATCACCCCGGTAGATGCAATTTCTCACGAAAGAGCGAACCGCTGCGTTCATACCGCAGGACGGTGATCCTATATGCATGACTCCTACTGTGTAATGATCCTGTAACAAAACCGCAGTTTACTAACGAGATGAAAATCGATACGCGATGTGTCATGCAGCGTGCATGGAAAACTAAACGACTGCTTTTAATATATATTATGATGTAGCACGTTAAATAGCGCATAATGCTGTCGCTATACATCTGCCTATAGGAACGATCATGAAAATGATGATACATCTCTAATATAAGGTACACATTCTCTACTCCAAAGGAGGGTTGTGTGTTAACTCACTTGTCCGCATAAAGTGTATTGCTAAGGAAAGGAAAAAGGTGCGTTAGGGACATTGCGTTCACATTTATTGATATTATAAATGAGATATTTGCGACTCTTATAGGCTTTTAACTGATTTACCTTCGATAACGCGCGGCCACTAATTTCCTGAAGCAGTATCAAATATAACATATATGTAATAATCTATTTTCTTATTATTCTTCATTATTATTTTATACGTTAAAGACCCAATTTTTTTCTTGGACAATATACATTTCTATCTTTCTCTAATGTTTAAGATTTAAAAATGCTACCTTTTATAATACTCCTGTGTAACACACATAGCTTTTGGGTCATCAGAATATAAACTAATTGTATAAATAGAATATAAATGAAAAATGATCGTACCTTATTGAGTGCATCGTGATCTAAATCCGGAGCTTTCAAACGAGTCAGCATCTTGTAAGTTTCCAAGTTGCGTTCAAAACCCCTATATAGAAAAAATTGTGAGTAAATTTACATATACATTTATCGATATACTGCATATTTTCATATTCGTAAATATACGACATATTTTTTAGGAATACTTACTTTCCGCGAAGTTGAACAGCAAGATCCCAGTTTTTCTTCGCCATAGCTTCCGCCACAGCTTTCGTACGACGAACACATTCCATGAGTGGTAATCTCACCGCTTGATTACCGTCTAAAGTGACAACACACGCTTCTGTCTCGGGTGTTGCCTCCATTAAAGCCATCACAGCTTCCGCTCCCATCCGGCATCCCTGTAACACGCGTAATAATTATTTCAGAGAAGATCTAATTCATTTAAAAATGTGTATCATTAAACACTTGCTCGATATTTTAGACAAAATAAAATTAGTTTTTAATTAAAAAATTTTTCATTATAGCATCTTACCAAAACTCTATCGAAGGCTGAAGGATTGCCACCTCTTTGTACATGACCCAGAACGGTGATTCTTGTATCCTGCTGTAATTTGTCTACGACTACTTTATGCACCTTTTCAGCTGTAATCGGATCACCATTTCTGTCAACAGCCCCTTCAGCCACGATAATAATATTAAGTCGTTGACCGGTGAGTCTTTCCTGAAAAGAAAATTGTATAGTAATGGAAATCCTTCCCTGGATGCTGAAATTAAGATTTTATTTTCATACGTGTAAAAGCACAAGCTATAAAAAAAAATAGAAGACTGAAGCTAATTAAAGATTATAGCATAATACGCAGATGCAGTGTATGTTGTATTAATAACAAGAATACAAAGAAACTATATAATTCTGAAAATTCTTGCCTTACTTTTTTGCTTTGTATTAACACCATTTCACATATTTCATTTTGTGTAAATGTATTTTATCATACATAGTGCTACATATACACACATAGCATTAAAAAGATGTTATAAGTTTAGCACAGCATGCATTCGATTGACTTTACAGAATAATATCATTGATTCTTCTATATTAAAGTGTGCAAAATGCCCCAAAGAAAGAATACTGAAAATAATCTATAATCATAAAAAAGAAGTAAATTGAATAACAAAATAAGCTATGTATTAAAATATAGTATATAGTTATAACAGAGCTTGAAATTGTTTAAAGAAACAGAGTATAAATTGCAGGAAGCAAATGCGCTGTTAACTTTGCAGGTTGATCGAGAGTCAGAAGATATTTAAATAAATATACTTGTCTTAAAAAATTAAAAAAAAAAATAAATTATCGAACCTGCAATAATTTTTTGCACAGCTTGTTGGGCCACCCCTGCTCGGGTGGCCATTCTGGGATGAAAACATAATCAGCCTCGCAACATATAGCTGTCACCAGAGCCAGATAACTGTAACGGTATATTGTAAACCTAACTAAAATTCTATCTCAATGCAATATTTAAAAATATCGTATAAAATATAATGTACGCGTCATTAATCAATCATGACATATTTATGTAATTCATAATCAATGTAGTTGCGATATAAACTTTTGAGCAATCTAAGTGTTAGCAATATAAAAATAAGGTAAAAAGAAAATATTTTACATGTATAAAAATGTAATCTGGCTGTAATCGAGTCTTAGTCTCAAAGAAATAATATTGCATTTCAAAGTGCAAAAATAAATGTGGCGATCTTTTTTTTTTTTTTACATGTCTGTATAATTTCGGATATACATTGAATGATATATGTTTTAAAGTAACGACTGGTTGAGAAACGTGCCTGTCGCACAGCTTGACAAAGCTCCTCGATCCAGTCACCACTTGTCGGAGATTCAGGAATAAAGGAATAGGTGGCTTCTGTAGACATACTTGACGCTAATGTCAGGTACCTGAAAGACTCTGTGTCATCTAATTCATCTTCAGTATCAGTCGAAGACGTAATAACTCTCTATGTAGCAATATATATATATATTTAGCTTTATATTAATTAATGCGCGTCAATAAAGTGTGAGTAAATCTCTCTCGTTCGCATTCCTCTTTACGTCAATATTCAGAAGAGGAATATACATTATTTAGAATGTCGTATACGATCGAGTATTAATTCAAAACACTTAGCAGCCCAAAAACTGACATGTACAGAAATAAAAAATCATTCTTTATGTTGGGTCGAGTTAGTGAAAAATTAGCAACGCAATCTATATAGAATTTCGAAAAATCTATTAGACGTGCCTGCTCCAATTTTCTACATAATTTTTCAGGCCAATCGACGGGAGGCGGACATTCTGGGAAGAAAACATAGTCAGCCTCCGCAGCTAAAGCGCCCACGATAGCCAGATACCTAGCCGAAAATAGCCCATTTATCTATATCTTACATCAATTTCGACGCGATAACGATTACAAATATTATTTTCGTATATTGTAACCTATCGTTGAGATTTATCGTAAATCATGTGTGATATTTTTTTACATTCTCGGAGACTAATGTTCTGCTCAATAATATATATAAAATTGTTCAATATTAATAAAATTATTTTCTCAATAAGAAAAGGTGCACTTACCCACAATGACGACCCATAACTTCCATTATAAACGTTCTCTGATGAGAGTAAGCCGTGCTAACTATAGCGTCTATGCTTTCAATGATACGATGCAACGCGGAATCGGTACCAATGGTCATGTCTGTGCCACAGAAATCGTTATCGATGGAACCTACTAGTCCAACAATGTGTAGTTGTTTGTACTTCTCGCTTTGCTCGGCAGTTATTTCTCCTATGGGTGAAAAGTAACGTTAGCTTCGAATAGACGTATATGATATGTATTTTTTAAACAATTCTTTCTCTATTTACCAGACGCAACGAGTTCCTTCAGAAGATCTGACCACTCTTCCCTGAACAGATTGGCACCTGTGAGAGAGCCATCTCCGCCGATCACCACTAGATTGGTTATACCCAGATTAACCAAGTTCTTAGCGGCTTTTCGGCGACCTGGACGCTCTCTGAAATCTTGAGATCGAGCGGAGCCTATCACTGTACCGCCCTGAAGAAGAAAAATACAACGTGTAAATAACGCGTGGACGAGTCATATGACGCAACGTTCTCCAATATGTACCCTGTGGATGATGCAAGACACGGCCGACCATGTGGCTTCTTCGATGTTCTTTCCGCCATCCACCATACCCTGATAGCCTTCTCTAATGAAGTATACCCTGCACCCGAGATAAATGCCCATCCTTACAACGGCTCGTACAGCAGCATTCATTCCTAATCGAGAAAATTTGTATAATTAGAATATACTGTTGCGTTTGTTTCAAATACAATTATTTATTTTTCACTATATTGATTACCCTGAGAGTCACCACCGCTGGTGAACACGGCGATGCCTTTGCCCTTATGACTCCCAGGTTTGATAAACTTTTGAGTTGACGTTTCCTCAGCCATGATTGCAGCGCAATATTCCTTATAACTCTGTAGTAAAAAACATCGCACAACGTTAAAATGAATATTTTTGAGAAATTAGATTTTCTCCCTCTTCGTCTCAAAAACATGACAATTTTCCCGCTTAATTAGCATTTTTTTATAATAAACAGAGAGACACAAATACAAGAGTTACAAAGGAGTCTCGTAACTTTTTGTCCCTTAAGCTGTGAAAAACGCAGACTTCTGGCATATTCTTCCTCGAGCGTGTCAAATTTTATCTCAAACGAAGAGCCAGTTGGTGAATGTTCAACTGATTCAAAATTACCCCTCCAGAACATCTAAATTTGAAATTAAATTTTTCGAAATAAATTTATTTTATATAAATATTTAAAAAAAAGAAATATATATATATAATATTGCAATTAACAAGCATAAGCTTGCCTTAGGAAATGTCAAAGAAAGTCTTAAATTTTGCATTTTGATCTTGTTCATTCTGTCAGCGTCGATTTTCTTTAAAACTTGAACAGCGATAGATTTTTCTGAAGGATCTCTGGATGTGGCGCATCTCATTGAGGACATAGTTTTGATAGAGTCGACAAAACTTTCCTGTGCATCTACTTTTTGCACTTCTGAAATGCCTTTATGTGTTTCCGAAACATCATCGTTATCACTTTCCGCGCTTTCCGAACAATTTTCATCTGCGCAACAACACTGAGTATGAACTCTGTGATCCTTAAACATTTTTCTCCGCCAGACAATTCACCAGTTATTAAAATAATTTTTATGTCAATCCATCAAAATTTTAACCTTATTTCAATAAAACCAAACTATATACATTGTTTCAAATTAATTTTGTAAATAAAAGAAAACAATGAAATGCACTTCAAAATGTTTCTTTATCAATTACTTTTTTTTTAAATTAATGATGAATTAATTTATTCAATGGTGAATCAATTTCTTTAGAAATTTATCATGCTCTGTATATTCCTTCAATCTTTTGCATAATGATAAAAAATAATAATGACAATGAAAAAAGCGTATTATATTTCAATCGAAAATTTTAAATCCTCACAGTTCGATTAAATTCGGAAGCACGCAAATTCCGAAAACAAAAACACATGAGATAATATACGATTCGGAATAATTATTATTTTGAAAAGCTTCTCTCTCTTTTACAGTCTCTCTCTAGCGTTACGACACGCGAGTCTTCGCGTCTTAAAATTTAAAATTAAAATTGACGAATGACATATGCGAGTACTATAGAAACCTGGCTGCGTTTCAAAAAATGCGCAGAAGCGTCAACAACTCGGAGTCTCGCTTTTGTACAACGTACAATTATATATTACTTGCATTATTCTCACAAAAAATTATTACGAAGTAACCTCGCGTCGTCTCGTGACCAGATGTTCCAATAATTTACGATCGACGATATGCAGCCTCGTAACTTTATCCGCGGCCTTTCCGCGAAAAAATTCGTGTCGCATGATCGAACACGTAACCGAGAGAGGAACTCTTGACTTTGTATTTCCTTAATTTTCCATTCTCATAATATTCCACCTTCGAGGAAACGATAAAATATGATGCAACTGCAGTTGCATCCTCTCTCGAGCGAAGAGATGCAATTGTCACAACAATTAAACAAACACACTGATATATACATACATATATATATATAGATATTCCACAGAAGAATTAACGATAATTGACGATAATTAATATGTTTTCCCGTACAATGTTTTAAATGATGACACAGAAACCTTGAGCGGGAATAATCGATCGTTATTGGAAGATAGCCGCGACTGTATTGCGACTATTGTTATTCGTTCGAATTCTAAAAGCCCGTTCTATTAACAGAACATCACGTGAACCAGAGTCTCCGAATCGAACGACCCTGATCGCTCCGCGAGACGCAACAAGGACGCGGCGATCTCCCTCTTATAGGGTTCCTAGGTTTAACCTAAACGCACCTCTTCGACCCTTCATCTCGAGGCAAATTGGAGCAAATGTCATCCACGATTAGGCGGACGAAAGTATTGGCCGAACGTGACGCGAATGGATTCGGAGACGACGCTGTTCGCGGCAAGGATCATTTGACAGTTGCGTGCAAGTGACAGGTGATAATGGGCGACGTCGCGTGCTCCGAAAAGAACATTTGATCAATGAGCGCGATCGGGCGGCTCGAGGGACTCACCAGAGAAAAACGTGACTGACAATCGCGACGCTAATGCTGCTCCTCCGCTGCTCCGATCAACGCCGACGTTTCTCTGACCAACGTCGCCCGCCACTATCACGACGTTTGGCCGACTGAAGGTGACCTTTGGGCTGGCCCACGCGCCACCCCCACCCTCCCATCTCCCCGATGTCACCCGCCGTCCGGGACTATCACGCGACTCGAAATTCGAGTCATCGTTCGAATGCGATATATCGCATATCGATATATCGCATATCGATGTATCGCATATCGATGTATCGCGCGGGAGATTCAAAAGATGGAGCATTAATGGGGTTCGCCAAGAAGACTTGTTAGAGTTAAATTTCAGAAGCAGAGATATTCTTAATCGTCCATAAACTTTCAGGGAGGTACTCTTCTAAATTTTATGCATAGTTTACCTGGCCTATCTTCCATTGAAAATCGTTAAATGATGAAGAGTCTTGTTGTCGTTCTATCGAAGAGTCCATACTTTTAATTCGATGTGAGTAAAATTTAATATTTTCTTCAAAATTCGTTTTTACATCGACTGTGTAAAGCTGCGGTGAATAAAAATAATTTGTGCGTTAGAATTGCTTATTGCAATTGATAGTGATTTCGTAATAAGATAGAAAGCAATAGAGATCAATGTTGACTGTAGAATTTTACTGCCGAGTATAAAGAAAAACAATTAAGACAAAAAATAAAGAATAAAAATCATCTTTCTTGTAACAAAGTTGATCTCTTTTATTTTGTATTTTGTTTTCAATCTTTTATTTATTAAGAAAAAGATAAACTTACCTGGTGATAATCTGTAAATCTGGAAAAAATTCAAATTCGCAATGTCACTCGAATCTATACAATTCGAAGGTGTTATATTCACTTTAAAAATGACTGATTATTTTCTCTCGTTTATATCATTATAAAAACTATTTTTAAAAAATAATATTAACTTTATGATTGCTCGATTATAATCCCCTGGACGAGTACAGGCAAGTTCTTTGAGATGAGCACAGCACTTCTATCTTCAATTAGAACTGTCTTGATTGATCGTCGACGTTCTTCTTCTTTGAAGAGATGGTTTCGTGTAGCAAAATGAAGAACAAACAGTTTATGTTTCTCAAGACTCGTATACCTTTCGATTAATGGATTGTTTGAAAAGTTGTGCACCTCTTTTCCCATTGGAAGAATTGCTTTTTCTTTATAGAAAACTTTCAACAAAGCTTTCCGAAAAATCACAAAAGAACAAAAGATTCAGGAACAATATTTCAGAAAAAAATGTAATATATCAACATGGAAAAATAAAAAAAGGAAGATTAAATCTCTCGTACATCTTCCAAGACTTGAAAATAGATTGTGAAAGATACAAATAATGCAATATGCTCATTTCAGCCAACTCATCGATAAAAAACAATCTGACGTGTAGTCCTCTGAGCGAAGTTTAATGGGTGCAAGGATCTTTGCCTTGTCATTTATAAAGATTTACAAACGCTGCGAATATATATTTTATTTACAATCTGTTAAAAATAGAAAATACTTGTCACTTCTCTTTATTTTTCGAGATTTATAAAAACTCGATTTAATAGATTTTTTTACGACGTAAAGCGAGCCGCGCAAAATAAATTATATAAAACCATTTAATATCCAGGAAGGTAATCAGTTGAAATTAGTTCCACTACTTTCGAGATTAATGATTTTCGAATAAATCGAGGTCTTGCAAATGTCAAGTATGTTTTTAAATTTGCTTGAAATATTTCTGAAAGATATTCAGTATCGGACAAGAAAATCTATTTCTAAAAAAAATGTTTTATATATATTCTATTTCTACACCGATGCAGCGATTGATGCAAGGTGAAATGATTGCACCGTTTCATCGCTTTTACAGCTTTATTTACAAATACCACCCCACCAAATCATCTTTTTTTGTTTGTTGATCCATTTAACGTGTAATATATTCGATTGAAACGGCATTGATCTATATCGATTTAAGGAAGGGGTAGGGAAGCGGGTGAGGGGCGAAGATCTCGGGTCGACAGCTAAAAACAGGCTACAATTGTAGAAGAGCAAAACCGAGGAAAACCTTCGTTCTAGCGAGAGGTTTTACGCGGTGACAAAATCGAAGGCCATTTATACTTAGCGGTTCAATATCGAGAAAAAAATTGCTTAATTGTGTTATAGAATCATCAATTTTGCTCGACGAAAAATGGAGATTGATGCAATATTGCATCAAATATATACCTGATGCAATACGTCATCATCCAGTGCACTCTGATTTGAAAAAATAATGATTGAAATGAGATGTTGAATAAAAGTGTCTTATAATTAATGATACATATAAATGAAAGTGATATTAATTATATCGCAATAAAATGTATAAACCAGGCACCAATTTGCTCTTTCTCTCTTATCTGCCGAATAAAAAGGTAACATTCCAAAGTAAAATAGAGACAATTCAAATCGCGAAGAGCTGGCGAGTTTCCGAAATTAAAATCCTACAATTCCAAGTCTCTGAAAAAAAAATAAATAAATAAAAAATTGCAATTCCCTTCGAATTTTGTCGCCGGTATCCATAGGAATGTCGTCTCTACCCGGGAACTCTACCGTACGAAAATGGTAATCTACACCTAACGCGAAGATATTCTCAACCTCATTCCTGAACGCGGCCGAGTGTTTCGTTCTTTCGAGACGAGAAAAGCTTCTCTCTGTCGAATTTTATTCGCTCCTTCTCGAAAACCTCGACCGATTCCATTGTCTGTCGCAGGTTGAGCTCTCGCGGTCTCTATCTAGGTCTCGACAAGAGGCTGCTCAAGAGCGATTCGCGCGAGAGTATCGGTGGGAACAATCGGCTCGTTCGCTCATATTTTTGTCCTTTTTTTTTTTAATCTTCCTCAGCTTCCGCGTGACACTTCTCGCGTCTCGTCGCTCGCATTATGTAGTAGTTCGGCTACTCTCTCGTTAGCAAAAAACCGTATTTCGTATCGGCTACACGTATAAATTGTGCAAAAAATTTTTAGCATGATTAATCGTATAGGTAGGCCTTTCTTGTCGGAAAAGGCACGCGTACATATACATATATATACCTCGCGTCGCGTATTTACCGTCTCTTCGTGATGTATGCATATATATATGTATGTATGTATATATGTATACATAATGCATAATTCGTGTATACAAATACATGTGTAGATATATATACCATCGACAAGAAAAATGTGGGCGAGGAGGATTTAGGGGATAAGGATCGGGTGGAAGGAAAGGGCAAAGGAGATTAAAGAGCGGATGAGGGAATTATACATCTAGTACAATGATACCCATAATAATAGCGATCGTAATAAATATCCTTTTGCATTTTTTAAGTACATGAAAAAATCTCTGTGGCTCCTGCTTGCGCTCTCGCTCTCTCGATATATTGCTAAACTTCGATTATGCCAAACAATACGTCCTCGCGCGAATAATTTTTTTTTCATTGGACTTTAATTTTTCTTTCCTTCTCTTTCTTTCTTTCTTTTTTTTTTTAATCCATGCGATTGCAACTTTGTCATCGCCTGGGCTGTCCTGAAAGAACCAGCTGGTCAAACTAGTAGTAAAGTTATAAAAGATTAATGCTGAAACTTTATTTGATATCATTTGATACCATATAAAATGGAGAGAGAAGAGAAAAAGAGAAAGAGAGAGTGAGAGAGAATAACAGATGTTTTATAAAATAAAAAAAATCGAATAGTCTCCATAATGCAAAATTAAATCAGAACCCTCTGGACATTTAAACATATAATGGATCGTTTTCGAAAATACTCCCTATAAAATTTATCTAAAGTGTTTAGACATCTATACATATATGACGTTCAGTGTATATGTATATATAAAAGTCAACGAGTAGTTTTTTTTTATCTTATATAAATAATGTTATCAGAATGTTGCGTGTTCCAAGTATACTCGGAAGATCATTCGATTTTCCGCGAATTATTATCTTCATTAAAAAAAAAAAAAAAAAAAAAAAAAAAAAAGAACGATGCTCGTCTCGAAGTGTCGCGAACCATAGATCCCGAAGAGGTAGTAGTCATTCCAATCCAATAAGATATTTTGTTGATAAGACACAGACGCAGGAATCCGCTGCGATTCGCGATCAAGAATTCCGCGTATTTATGTGCAAAGTATAATCTCTCGCCTTCTGTCCTTCAGGTCTCGACTTCTGCGAATCGTAAAACACACACATCGTGCGAAAAAAATACCTCCTCCGAGAAACAATGGCATTTTATCGGCGCAAAGCAAGATACAACCGTGTGGGTTATGGTTTTTTTCTCAGACATTTTATCAGAATTTATTATTATTTCGTGTAAACGTTTATAATAATTATAATTTACAATTACGATGGGTTGATGATAAATACAAATAGAACAACGTAATTTGGGACCGAGGGAGAGGGAGGGCGAGGAAGGGTAGAAGAAGGAAAAGGGGAGAGAGAAGAATGAATGACTGGAGGAAAACAGACGCACATGGATAGGGTGGATGAATGGCAAAGATTCGTTTTTTTTTTTTTTTACGTGCAAAAGATTAAGGGGAAAAGTCGCATGAATTCGCGTGACCGAACACGTCGTATCTGGAATGAAGAGACACGTCGTCGTCGCTTTCCTCGCGATCGTCGACGTACGCGTTCGCACGTAAGAATTAATTATCTCAAGACACGTGATTCGAGATAACCGAATTATGAAAAAAAAAATAATAAAATAAAAATAAAGAAAGAGAAAAAGGAGGAGACCCGGATAGTAGATTGCGGAGAGGAATTTTATGCGTCAAGGCGCATAAAATACCATAACGATGATATCGATGATGATGATGATGAATACGACGACGATGATGATGATGATGATGATAATGAAGATGAAGATGATGATGATGTCTCATGACCGAGTAAAATCACTGCTAGGATTATTAAAAAAACATAACGTTTATTTTAGAAAATTCATAATATCCAGAAAATGAAAAGAACACAAGAGTTAACGTTTGGTTTGTTGAATCGGGAAAGGAGGATGAGCGATTGGGCTAATGGATCGACGTTAGGGGAAAACAAAGTAGATCCAAGAGAAAAGAGCGAAGGGAGGAATGGATAGAGAAGGATGTTACATTCGAGGAAGGTCCGCGAGATCGACGTTATTCCTTGATGCAATCGCGACGATTTTCGCATTCTGCCACTTTGAATCACACATGCACACACACGCCCGGTCCCCTAATTAGCTCTCTCGTTGAACATTCATCTTAAAACATTCTGAAGAAAGATAAAGGTAGGCTCGAGGAAAGGGGGATGAGAATGTGGGATGATCTACGAAGGACGCAAGTCGCAAGATGTTTCTGTCAGACTCGACTTCCAACTGCGATCGAGAAGCGACAACGATAAATTATTATAATTACTTCAATTACACACGCTACATTTTTTTCGCTCCCGTTTAAGGAGAGAAAGGGGATAAATAGAAGTCGCCGTTTAAATGTTGTCGCTACTCATGATGATCATGTCACATTCCTTTTGTTTTTCCTCTCTGTGTTTCTATTTCTTCCTTCGCAACGCATTAGAATGACGTTCCCGGCGAAATTTGTTTTGGACAGTCTTGTTGCGACAGAGACACCGATTATACATCGAGAAATATCAACACGACATTAGGGAAAACGTTTACCCATTCACGTGTAATTAGTGACTAACTTGTAGAAACTGTCTCCCATAGTGATATTACATAAGCGTGATGTACGCGTGTACGTCTTGAATGTGTGTGTGTGTGTGTGTGTATGCTAATATGATGTCAGCACGTGTGTATGTGTGTGTGTGTATATACATATACTTAATTATACATATATATACGAGAAGAGCGAGAATATTTAGCTCCTCGTTTCCTGTTTTCTTTATTTTTCTCTCTCTCTCCTCGCGTCGAACGATGACGAACGCAACACGGAGAGCGTGTTTGAATAGTCTTTGACCTCCCGTAAGAGAGTCTCTTGCAGTCTTCTCTTATAACGTGAAGAATATATCTTTTTTAGATCCGTTTAATATAACGATAGAGAAATACATCGCGCTTCAGATACATACTGCGTGATATAACATGGTACACGTCGAACGAAGTCTCGCGTCTCGCTCCGAATATATATATATATATTTCTAAGATATAAAGGCAATAATAATTTCAATACGTTCGATACATTGTTTTTTTTCGCGCCCGGAGTCCATCTTAGCCAGTCGACTAATTTGACATATAATATATATAGACATGTCTAAGTAACTTCCTTCGATGTGTACGTCTTGACGAAGGGGGCCAGGTGTCGCGAGCTTCTTCTTGGATATTTCTATTCGATGGTGATTCTCTCTCGCGAACCCTCGAAAATGAACATTGCACGAGACGAAAAGTAAATATGCGATTACCTATATTCGTGTGTATGTGTGCGTACAATTTGTTCTCTCTCCATTCTTCTCGATCGCGCAATACGAGTTTACTAAGTGATAAATATATTCTGTGTATATATTATAATCTCTCTCCCTCTCTCTCGTGTATATTATATAATAGAGAGAGAGAGACGAGAGGCAATGAAATAGAAGGTGCGAGAGGAAGTCGAAAGGTTCGGACACCAGGATATATACGATTTTAACATGTGTAATCTTCACGACGCTTGACGATGACAATAGAGCAAACTGAACGGCTCATCCTCCTTCTTCCGCATCTCATTCCACGATCACACAAAATTTAGGAAGCGTATGTGAACGATCGCGACGACGAGCAGGACGACGACCAGAAACGTGTTCTCCTTTTTTTTTTTTTTTTTTTTTTTGCGCGCGATTAATGAGAATAATTTGTACGCTACCGACAACGCTGATCGGTTCGTCTAAATTACAGATAGGATTGCAAACGTGATAAGAAGAAAATCAAAGGATCGACTTTTAAGGACTGTAGGACTTCAGTAAATTCGTGGAGATAACCGCCAAGTTTTTTCGGATTGTGACGAAGGGAAAAGAAAGAAATCTATGCGTAGGAAGATATCAAATTGCAAATTGTGTGGAAGATTGTGGTGGTTATGCTGCGGAGAGGAGAAAAAAAGAATAAAAAAGATTTTTAAAAAATAGCGAGAGCGAGTGAAAATCAAGTCACCACTGATGTCGTTTTGGAACTTAATAACTTAATGTATTTGTTTTTTTTTACTCTCCTTTCTCCTCCTGCGTTCTTCCCTTCGTATAATAATATTCGTACTTGCTAGACAATGTGAAATTTAATTTAAATGACAACTGGGTATAATGTAGTAGATTCATGCGTGCTTTTCATTTTCTCTTCGCTTCTTCTCGTACCTCCGCGTTACTTCTTTTTGCCTGTATTTCGTGTTTTCTTTCTAACGTTATACTCTTGTTTCTTTAAATGGTAAGTAGCGAACAGATTCTGGGAGTAATGATAGCATGTTGTCCGTCCTCTGCATTCCGTGTCTCGTCCAAACGTCGTGATTCATCTCTTAGTACTATATCACTTTTTCTACTCATGAAGCTGAATAATCTAGCGCATGCTTTTCTTCTGTAATGTGCGTTACCGATGATCACCCGAGGGATGCGCGCATCGACGAGACAAGGTATGTCGAGGAAAGGGAGAAATGTATATTTGTGTGAGTGTGTCTCCTCCTGTCCTTTCCTCTGTTCATCCACAATTCCTGTTCCTCCATACAAATGGGTCATAAACAAGGTTTTCTGTTTTTGTCTGAGAAACTTCGTACCAGAGAAAAACTAAATGATCCACGAGGCTCGATCGTTTCTCCTCTCGCCGATGATCGCCTCTTCGCGAGTTCTTGCACTTCATAATCGACAATTTCTAATCCCCTCCGAATATCGGCCAAGCTCCAATTCCGCGTTCTAGGTACGGTCTTTAAAAAGGTATCTTTTTTTTCTCAGCGTCAATCGCGAAAGGAACACGATCGAGTTTAAATGGATTATAGTGTTCTCTACGTTCGAGTTTGTCGAACCGGGCGTAGCAGCTGTGGCGATGGCATCGGCAGCAATGTGCGGTCATATCAGGACAAAGAGAAAGAGAGAGAGAAAGGGGGAGAAAAAGAGAGGAGCGAAAAAGGAATAAATTTGTTTTTCGAAAAGAGATTTAAGGAAGAGGGAGGCCTGCGATTAGAAGGAGGGAAGGAAACGAGGTACGCGCGAGGGACGAGAGGACATGGGTGGATGGATCCGGGTGGATGGACATATGGGTGAGCACTTCAGGGGGACGGGGGGACGATAGAGAATAGGATGTTCTTATTAGGTTTAGAAAGGACTTAAGCTTAGGAAGGTTAGTTGTCGCCGCCCTCTTGTGGCTCGTCCCCGTCGCCCTGCGTATCACTGGTCCACAGAGTGAGGTTATCACGCAGCAGTTGCATAATCAGCGTGGAATCTTTGTAGCTGTCCTCGTTAAGTGTGTCCAGCTCCGCGATCGCGTCGTCGAACGCCTGCAAAGGTAAAACTCGTGTCAGATATCTGTCATTTTCTTTATATATGTATATATATATTTATATATTTTTTTTTCTTTGTATATATATCTATTATTCTCAACTTCATTTTTTAATGCTAATTATTCAACTTTTAAATCTAATTGTGAAATTATAATTCAAATAAATATAATAAGTGTCTTAATTATTATTAATTCGCAAAAACGCCAAAATAGTTGATAAATACTAAAATTATAGAAATTTTAGCAAGTGTACAAATATTCTATATCCATGTAAAATTGTTATTTAGAAAACATTAAAATGCAAGAGAGCGATGTGTGGGGTGGTTAGTGCGGTACCAGTGGAGGCATCAATTTATGTCAACATGTATTAGTAGATTTAGAAAAAATAGATTAATAAAAGATCAAAGATTAAATGGCACACCATTCATACAAAAATTAGTCAACACTGCCAAAATAAAATCAAATTGGTGATTAAAGGATAAATGGGATAAATTCACACGCCACGAATTAATACACGAAAAAAAGTACCGACTTAATAAGGCTGCTGATCTCCGATTTAATATTTATTTCATTACTTAACATTTAAAAATTTATAAATATGTACTAAAAAATACAAATATTTGTTTTCCTCATTTTTTTCAATTTAATAATATAAAAATACAATTTACCATTTTTATTATTTAAGCCGCGAAGAGACTTGATTTTAGTAAGAATGTCTTCATTAGAATGCAATAGCCCTAATTCTCCCCGAGATTCCTTATCAGCAGTCTTATCGCGTACGCGATTTAATGTACAAAACAGCGGATTTATTAGAAGAAAACAAAACTTTCCGCGTTAAAGCGCAATTTTTCACAATCCTCCCTCTAACCTGCTTGGCCAGGTGACAGGCCCTAGCCGGGGAATTAATAATTTCGTAATAAAAAACGGAGAAGTTGAGGGCAAGGCCGAGCCTGATCGGATGCGTAGGCTGCATTTTCGCCTTCGCAATGTCAAACGCCTCCTGGTACGCCTTCTGCGAATCCTCGACTACCGCTGCAAAATGCAAATCAGCCTCTATTCAGATTACACCTTCCACGACCTCGTTTCTACGCCGTGACCGTCGTAGTAATAAATCGTTGTTGTCGTCAGGAAAAAGAACAGGAGGGAGAAAGGGCGCAAAAGGAAAAAAAAACAACGAAAGCCGAATAAAAGGAGGGAAAAACGTGAGCGAGTTTCAACGATTCTCCTCGCATCTGTCCTACAAAGACCGCGTGTGCCGTTTTGCTCATCGTCGACCTTGAATGAACCGTGTCCATAAATCGTCACTGATCTTGCACGACCGCCCGTGACGTGAAACCTCTGATCCTGAATTATTAATACGCGTGAGTCAATGAATAGTTCACGTAATTATTAAAATATTTCAATAAAAACGTTTATTTTTCATAACTCGATCAATGCTACTGCATGCAAATTATTCAGTTGCTGCGCATATTAATAAAAATAATTTTTTTTTATTTAAAAATATTTTTCTTATATAAAACTCTGACGCTTTATCTCACAATTATGCTGTCATTTTTTTAAAAATGCGTGCGCACCATTTTTTAAAATTGTAATGAAGAATATTCTACATCGCAAAATTATTAAAAAATAATCTTTAAATTCGTTTGCGTATGTCAGATTTTATCTCCAATCAAATATTTTGTAAGATTTCAGTTCTAACATGACTGTCCAAATGATTTCAACACATTTTAAGACTGTCATTGCGACAGTTTTCGACAAGACAGGTTTCGAATTAACGAATCAAAAAAATATCGATCTTTGTAGAACAGAGATAGGTAGGTAGATGAAGAGAAATGTGAATGAGCGAATCATATAACGCAATTTCTGTCACCACGGCACCATCACACCACCACCACCATCACCATCGAGCTTCTCTCTCCCATAGAAATTGCTAGAAAAAATGAACGATTAGTCCACTGGACGTGTACCTGTTTGGCCAGCTGACAGGCCTTGTCTGGTGAGTTGAGGATCTCGTAATAGAAGACAGAAAAGTTGAGGGCGAGACCTAGCCTGATCGGATGGGTGGGCTGCATCTTTGACTTGCTGATTTCGAACGCGTCTTGGTATGCCTTCTGGCTGTCGTCTACCACGGCTGGATATTACGTGGATTATCAGCGTGTCTCGTCTGTCTTATTTGCGTGAACTAGCACGCTTCGAGTAGTGTTTCGTATATCAAATCAATTTAAGAGCTGCTTAGAACTTGAGCGATGGGTAACTCTCATCAGATTTATCGCGTTTCGAGATAATATAATGAAAGAAATTTTTGCTATGTTATATAAGCAGCTTCTAAGAGATGCCAATTAATTAGCAAATCTGAACTATCTTTTTGCTTTTGTAGAAATTATTGACCGATTTCTCGAATCATTTATCGATTTGCCCTACTTATGTTCTATGCAGCTCAATTGCTCTTACGTGCTTCTAGGCAATCTAAATATTTCCCCGAAGTAGAATAAAGGGATATTGTGATATCTTCTCAGAATATAACTGTAATGTTTAATGATGGTACAGTGTACAATTTTAAAATTATGCAAAATTGTGATTTTTTTCTGAAAAATGTAATCCGAAAATTATTTGATTAGCATAGGAACACGTAAGAGCTTTTTTAATTCTCATGCTTGCATTCGTTTCAAAAGATTATCATTTTATCGAAATTTCTTAATATAAGTATCAACATTTTTCTGGACTTTGTAAACTCTCCCCTTAACGTATAATGCTCATAAAATATATTTAACTTTATTTAGACTCTTTCAAATGATATATTAAGCAAAAAATACGAACTCTGATAACGATTAATTTAAGGAAAAAAATTGCAAAAATTAATCGTTAATATTTATAATTATGAATTCGAGTAATGTCAAAAATACACTGTACAAAAAAAGCAAAGATATAAAAATAATGTCAATAAAAATATTTTGCAAATTCTTGAGATTAAAATTCGTACAGTTTCATTCGCAAACAACTTTCACTATAAATGACTGCGAATAAAACTGAGTCGACGATGCAAAGTCCAGGGATCCGCCCATACGTCAAACTGAAGCATCTGTCATACTACGTACAAATGTTGATTCGGGAGAAGTGCACTCAAACTCACGTATTTGCGTAATCGAGAACGCGATTAAAGTGAGAGGGCCGTCCGTGAGATTTTCGACAATTTTGCAGCTGTACGCGTTGCAAGATTTAATTTTAACCGAGTAAGTCATCCGTCAATTGTGCCGACACTCGCGTCGATATCGATCGCGAAAAGTCACGATCGCGCCTCGTCATGCAAAACGACGATCTCATATTTCGAAGAGCTCGATCTGTCTCACGAGAAGGCTCTCTCACGGATAAGCTTATGCGTTAATAAAAGATCGATACATACTATTTCTGGTCTCGCCAGTGGCGACTTCTGCGAGATACCTATAGTAGTCACCCTTCATCTTGAGGTAGAATACTTTGCTCTCGGCATTGCTAGCCTTGGGGATCAGGTACTTATCCAAGAGTCCCTGCAAAGACACAAATGTAAACGAATAAATAAATGCTAACGTGTATTATTTAAAAAAAAATTCTTCAATAAACGCGAGATGTACAAAATAAAAATTTCAGACGCTGAAATTAATCGAATTTTGCTGAAATCCAAGTAAATTTCTGCACTCTTTATATTTAACTAATTGATAAATAAATAACTTAAAATGTACATGAGAAAATAGTGTAAAACATAATACAGTAAAGCAAATAATGCAATAAAGGAAATGATCTAATCGTGGAAATTGTGTTGCAAATCTCGTTCATCTAGCTTGCTTCATTAATCAAAGCAATTTTCTTATCCGAACGAATCACCCTAGTGTGATTAGATTGTATTTCGTAATTGAATTAATTTATTCCGGCGACATCGCGCGTAATTTACGATTCGTTCGTCGTAGAATAATCAGATTGAAGTTCTGCAGAATTAATTGAAATAAAGGGGATAGATGTATAAAATTATTAAAAAAAATATACGTAAAATATTTTCAAAAATAGATTATACAATTATATTATTTAGATATATAATTGTAGATAAATCGGTTATTAATCATTACTGAATAATAAAGTGTCTAATAAAGTACGAGTTTTAATTCAGGTAATGCGTAGAATTGACGCAACGCTGCACCGGTCAATGACGAGCCACTCGACGCTACGCACATTCATACATCCTGCCTGCTTGAAATGACGTAAGAGAAAGAGAGAGAAAACACGACGTTGGCCGACTAACTTTACATGCGCGAAACCCGCGTGCAAATAGCGCCGAGATATTTATTGCGCTTTAACATAATGCATCAGCCAGAGATGATGAAAAGTGATATCAAAGTTCAATGTCTAGCGATGTGATAGTATAAAATATAAAATAATTTTTTTTATAGAATTCGATTTCTGTTAAGTATAATAAATTTACACAATAAATCCATTTTTTTTAAACATTTATTTAAAAGATTAACTTGTGCATTTTTTTACAAAATAAACGCAATGTACTCTTCAAATGCAAGAACCTCGCGATTCAATAGTTTTAATCTCGGATCTTATCGTTACCTGATATGAATCTCTAGCGCACAAATCGACTGCATTTAGATGCGTGAACGCACAGTCGTAAATTACGTCGCGTTGCAATAAAAAAAGTAATAAAAAAGATAACCGCATTTGTAATCAACGTCCTCGTCAGATTGTAATACTTCTCTTACGGATCGAGTTTGCGAGTGAGAAAAGACCGGTTTTGTAACTTATAATGGCAGTTATTATTTTTTTAATATCGATGATTTTATAATCCTTTAAGGGGAATCAATAAAATTGCAATTCTGTAAATTATGCTCGACGCAGAACAGCTGAAGAACCTTACGAGAAACAATATTAATTTCAATTCGAAATGTCATATTATATTTTATAAACCAATCATTTCTTCAATTTTTCAAAAAAATTTCTCACACATTACATTCGATCGTAATGCACTCCACTTATCTCTTTTCCCGCTTATTACGCGGCTTCCTGTCATCTATTTTTAAACCTATCGTTTTGCGAAGTCACGGCGGTCTCTGTTTAAGAACTGACAGAATGACGCGATCGACTTTTTTCACGTTCTCTCTCATCTCTCGGGGCCGAGAGCTAAAGATACCTCGGTTTTTTATTAAACCGCAGAGAGCTGATCTATGAAACCTGGGCTGCGTCAAGAGAGGTGCAAATACAATGGTGCCATCGCTTATCACAGCTGGAGCCTTGCTCCACTTTTACATGCATCTAGCGAGTCAAATCTGATCATCTTTCTCGCTTCTCACCCTACATCACTTCCGTTGCAATTGACATTCATCTTCAAGAGAACTTTTAATCTATCGAATAATGGATGTTTCTTGATTTTTATCATTTGAAGGAATAATATGAGATTGCGATAATTTATATGATTTATTCATAAATAAATAAATGTGCGAAAAAATTTAATATTTAAAAACTCTAGAGCTGTGTCAATTAAAAAAAATTATGCCATCAGGTATTATCAAATATCCTTTAGATATCTAAATATCTAAAGGAAAAGACAATGAATATTTTTTGTTTTCTTTGGACAAAACGTGATACGGCCTCGAGCGAATTTAACGTTCCCTTCAAGAAAGGACCGACTCCATTACGAAGCGGAACGTGCCATTTCCGGCGATTTGAGGTACGTCCGTCTGAGCAGGCGTGTCCCGTTTCCTCTTCCGCTTCCGTTTATTTCCGGATACTGGAAAATATGAACCCACGTGTGTAATGAGAACGGAGATCGAACAAAATCCCGAGGTTTGCGAGGAAAAAAGAAAAATAAACGGGCGGATTATAATTCGCCGAGTTTAATGAGTTTTTGTAATTTCCGAGTAACGTGAAGCTGGGAAAGGTCGTGCTTTAATATCTCGCCGTGGATGTTATGCAATAAGCGTCTCGAGAAAAAAGACAGATTAAAACTTGAAAGACGAGATTAAAGGAATTAAAGAACAATGTACAAAGTATTACTAAAAAGAAGATAAAAATAAATGATTTATAATGAAATTTTTTTAGACAATATAATCTAGAAAATATTAGAATAGGCTATTTTTGTAATAAACAAATAAACGCGGAAGATTCTTTGTATTAAAATTAAATACTAATGATTGAACACTAAAGAAAAAACGCAAAAATAATGAAATTACTTCAATGTTAGCATCGACGTTATCAGAGTAATACAAATTGTTCGGAGAAAAAGAAAAATGCGAAAACTGAGCGCTCTTGGAAGAAGAATCGTGAATAGGGGCTGTAATTGATCCGCCTTGAAATCCAATCCAGAGGATGATCTTCATCCTCCAGAGCAAGGAAAGCATGCGCGAGAAGTAGCGGAAGATTGTCAACTATGTAAGATGATCCTGTGGCGCGGAAGAGAAAACGGGTATATTGCTTGCAAACGGGTTTTGATGCTCGAGGCAAGATACCCCGGGACACACAATTCACTTTATCCTTTTCCATGTTGACACTTTGTTGTAACGCAGAATGCGCGACTGCCACCATTTCTTCCGAATTCTTTTGTCGTGAAAATTTTCAATTTATGTTTAACGAAGAATAGACCAAATCTCTTTCTGCAATTTATTTTAGCAGAATTTAGATGAAGAGAATTTTTAAATTAATATTACTGTTGAAAATCAGTTATTTTATATATACATATTTTTAAAAAATTAAACATCAGGACATTCCCAAGTTTTTTTTTAATTTTTTAATTAATATGATTGCTAATAATCAAAGTTATATTACATATACATATTTAAAAATAGAATATATTATGGTAGCCACTATCTACGAACCAATGAGAACCCAAGAGATATATATAAATACACGTTTCCGATAATTACTTTCTACTAAAGTCTGATTATTTTGTACGGCAATCGTCGTTTAGACAATGCAATTAAAACTTCGAACGAAGAACTCAACACAGTTCGCGCCAATATTCCCGACAGTGTGTAGTCATGCTAATGACTTCATAGTACATGAGGAGGATATTTTTGTAACTGCATTTCCTTGTTTCGTTATCGCGTCGAGACGATGTAGTAACAAATCGTTAACAAATACTCTGAGCGTTTGTTCAGACGCGTCCTATCTGAAATTAACATCTCTAATTATCTCGGAAGGAAAAGTCTCGAATTCTTTCGAAAGACGTCTCTCGTTAGAAAGTGAATACTTTTCGACAATTAGACGCCAGATCGATACGAGAAAACGAATTCTCATTATCGACTTTCTTTCTATAAAGCTGCCAGTATTTTTTATGTAAAAAAATATTTGTTTTTTGTTGTGTGTAATGTTGTTTTTATTGAAAAAAATTATAAATCCTATAAAAATTCATGCAATTCTTTCACTTTTAACATTTCTACTCCATTATAAAATATTCGTGAAAAAGATAAATCGCGTAAGAGAAGAATTGAGCACAGTATAATATTAATGTAACTGAATAAATATTTAAATGAGTGTATTCAAGAATTTTATGCAATGATTCACTCGTGTGAGAATGAAATCATCATTTTACGATTATACGAAATTGATTGTTTAACGTCTGTCGCAACTCTCGGAATGCGTCTCTATCTTTTACTTATTGTTAGATACGCTGGTTACTCAACGAAATTCTTCGACACCTTTTCGGAGCTAACTTATGTACGCAAGAGAATGGGAAATATCACGACGGCTGCAACGGTGCGGAAAAAGAAACGGAATGCACCGGGGCTGGTCTCGGGATACGTTTTTACGAGAGAAAAGAAGGCGGTGCCGGATTTGTCAATGCGGAAATCACGCGTTTCTCTCGTTTTTACCGATTCAATCGACGTGAAAAATTCTGAGAAATTTTTATATTTAAATTCAATTGAATTAAAAATTAAATTAAATTAATCGAGTAATTAATTAATATATCATGTAAATAATTTTTAATGTAATTTTTAATTATACATATAAAACATTACAATAGAAAAAAACTTTCAAAAATACTGTAAGGACGATAAATATTTCGATATCAATATCAGTGAATATCTCTGTAATATCACGCACGTGTGTGGAATGTTGACTAGATATACTTGTTTTATTGTTAAATAAGAATTAATTAGCTACATGATAAGAATTAATTAGCTACATAAACTCGATCATTAAATATTAAATTATCAAATTTCGTCTAATTATTTAGACTTCAATTTGACATAGTATTTTAACAGAAATAAATCAATAAAATTTACTCAATAAAAATCTAGTAAAATAACATATATTTTTATATATAAAGTTTATTTTTTGCGTCACACAAAAAAAACTAAACTAAAAATACGAAATCTAAAACTGAACGTACATTTTTCATGACTACATTGGCAAATATATAAATATGTGAAAGGTACGGCACTGTTGTGTATGTATATACTAATTCCCGCGATTTCACAGACTTTGGGGATTGATTTATTGCTGTTAGCCATAACGCAAGAATACGCAATAAAACAGACATATATTGCTCCAATATAAAGTCCGTACTGTGTGTCCGGTGCGAAAACTCGTGATAGTGCCAACTATTTGTAACACGATATCTCGCGAATCCGAGTGTGAGAAACGTCACGTGTGCGCGAGACGGAAAATTAATTTCGACCAGCGGGGATCCCATTCTTTTTGGACGTAAATTAACATCCCGGACGGCGAACAAATATGCCGACGAGTTCACCGACCGGCCTTTATCACGAATACATCATTGGCACGTTAACGGATCATTTATTATTGTAGAGTCAGATCTCGAAGGGAATCAAAAATCGGCGGCGTATAATTAATATGCATACAACTGATTCAAATATATAGTGGAAGAAATGTCAAAAAGATAGACCAAACATGAAAGCAAGACAAAATAAAAAAATATACATAAATTACTATAATATAAATATCTACTACAAAAAGCTAATATTAAAATTTATTAAATACTTTTTTTCCATAAATTATTAAACCAATTTTTTTCTATTATTTTGTTTGATATAAAAGAAATAAAACTAGAAAATTAATACGCAAAAGAAAAATATCAAAAGTTTAGAAAATTTTGTCGTCAACAAGCTATTTTAGCAAATCGTGTTATATTATACAGTTCACAGAAAAAGATTCACTTCCAAATAATTCATATATTTAGTTCATTTCATCAAGATCCACAGAATCTATCTCAATTATGTGTAATCTTATTATGGCTTAATTGCTCGCGTCAATATATTGCCTAAAAATAACTCTCGCCAATTTTCTCGCTTCATATAGCGACAAAATAGCGGAAGTCGGCATTGTGTTCCCCAATGTGCAATGGATGCAATCTCGAATTACACGAAAATAAAATTGTGAAAATAAAACAATAAAATCCAGCATTAATTCTTTTAACGTGGAAAATAATTAAACAAATTTTGTATTTCTCTATTTACGTGCCCTACAAATTAAATTGCTGATTTATCGTGGAATTACATGACAAGACGCGGCTAGAAGCATTTAAAAGCCCGTGTCTTCTATCATCTAGGTCGCGCCAAGACATTTGTTCAAACACATTTATTCCTCGACAAATATACAGCTCGCGTTTTTTTCTTTTTTTTCTCACTTTCCGAGCGAGGCTTTTTCCCCTATATTTCAATGCCGCTTCGGGCTTTTCTCGTCCAGAGCGACTACGATCAATAGCGGCCAGGCGCTGGAGACACAATGAGCCTCTGACCGCCAGGCAAACATATGCGCGAATTAAATATACGATGAAAAAACGAGAGCAGAGCAAAGACAAAAGTAATAAATTGTTTTCTATAGTCATCGCTGTTTTATTTTAATATACGCATTTCATCCGTATCCGTATGTCATGTCATATAGAAATGAATTCGCCGGAAACGCAAATATTAAATTCGTCGGCATGTAAATAGAAACGTATCACTTTTACGGGAAAAAAATTTCGCTAAAATTAACCAACGGAATAATTAACAAAATCTGTCAACGCGAAAAATAAATATTACTGTCCACTGGCTATATTTTTTTAAACGAATACATCATCTCGAAATAAGCTCGAGTGGCGTTCCTCCAATTTATTTTTAGGCGAACAGCAAAAGTTTCGTTCGCCTGTAAAAGAAGGCGGCCGACACCTGCAAAGTCTACTTATAGGAAAAAAAAAAGAAAAGAAAAAGGTGTCACTCACCAATACGTCGTAGCAGATCTCGCGCAATTCCTTCTCGACCTTTTCCCGGTATTCCTTGGCCATCTGCTGTTTGCGCTCGGAGCCCTCGGTCTTCTGCTCGATAGAGGAGATTACCCGCCACGAGCTGCGTCTCGCCCCTACGACATTCTTGTACGCCACCGAAAGCAGGTTCCTTTCCTCGTTTGACAGCTCGACTCCCGTCTCGGTGACCGCCTTCATCGCGGACGCCATATCGTCGTACCTTTCCGCCTGCTCGGCAAGCTTCGCACGCTGCACCAATTCCTCCTTATCCACAGACATTTTGTCGACTGGAATCAGAGAAAAAAACGATGCGACGTTTCAACGAACTGTCAACTTTTCCGAAGACGTCAATTGCGCGCGGTTTCCAAAATTATTACACTTATCAAAAATTCAGCGAGGGTTTTTGGAGTGAGGGAGTTGCGGAAATAGAGACAAATATTTTATTTTAAAAAAATTCAAAGAAATAAAGACACTTGTAAAATTGTAAAGTCTTGAAAAGAAACGAAAGTTACGAGGAGTTTTTTTACGACGCACTTAGAAAGTTATAAAAATTCACAAAGTTTGAAAAATGCTAAAATTCCAAGGATTATTGTGTAATGTATATATTTTAAAATTTTAAATTTTCAAAGGTATATTTCCTCAAGAATGTAACGAATATGTTTCTTGTTCTCGAAATGGTAAAGATCCCTCCAGGAAAAGAATTAAAGAATTATATGCTAATAAGTCAGCCAGATGTTTTTCAATCCTAATACGTTGTAAAAAAACATACGCTTTTGTTTTTCTCTTCGAGCTCTGTCCTGCTTAGCCATACGTTCGTAATTTAAAATATGTATCATATAATATAATGGTTTTATATCCATGATTTCAGAATTTCCCAACAAATTATAATTTCTGCAGAAATTCTCGTCACTCTTCTCGTTCACACTAATATATTAGATTATATTATATTATTATTAAAGATCTTTTTTATATATATTAAGATTTCTATTATTTATAAATAAAATCTTTGCTGCCTCGATATTGTTGAAAGTCTCGCAGAAAACTGTTGAACACAGAGGTATGTTGACGTGACACCGCGCGGGGGATGCACAAAACGTATCAATACAAAAGTAGAACTGATCGCGGCTGAACGCGTTACAATGTCGCGGAGTTCTTTTGTACGCGAAAAGATCGGAAAAAAATAGAATCTCGCTCGCGCGTGCAAATACAACTGATGCGTTAGAAGCCGGAGACTAACTGAACGATGTTGCACTTCTGCTGGACGAAATTCGTTTGGTTCGTCTGCCAAACTAACAGTCTACCAACACGCCTTCTTCTTTTTTTACAAAAAGAATTTTTCTTTTTATGTATAAGGTATCTACAACAATGAAAACGAATTCTCTTATTTATGGGATGTTTCGACTAGCATAGCGTCTTGTGTCTTCTTTCTTTTCTCTATTGAATAACAAAAGAACTTTCCCTGATGAAAAAAATTATTTTTTATTTTTTCTTGTACGTTTCAAATGTGTTCCTAAAAATATTTCAGTTATATAAATTCACAAAATTACTTTGTCAAAAAAGAACAGGTAGATAAATAAGCGTATACGCCCTATTGTTGACTTGTTTTTCTTTAAAAAGTAGATGTTTGAGTTATATCTACTCGTATAACATCGACTTTTGAAAGCATTTGTATGTGTATTCTTTCTTTCTCACAGTTGAAATAACTTCTAATGTTTAAAACAGTTACCACGCATTCTTAGTGTTCTACACAAAGTAGAAATTTACTACCTATATTTTTCAATTCTTTATTACTTTCTACAACATTTTATATTGTTCTTTAAAAGAAAAATATCTTGGGAGAAAAAACTTGCTGTATCACAATGCATCTCCAAACGGCCTGCTGCTAATATATCTAACAAAAATTCATTCACGGTAAAAACAGAGAAAGAATTTTATTTAAAATTTCTTTTTCTCTATTAAGAAATATTTTACTTCAGTAATTTTCTAATCTCTCTCCTATGTATGTGTAGCATTATAACATGTAATTTATAAATAAATAATCGTGATTGTGTAATTATCCTTGTTTTATATTTTTAACGCTACGAAAGAAAATGCAAGTATTTAGTTGTATAATTATATAGCTGATAGTTAAAGTATAAAGCTTATATGTAATTCAAAATCATAAAAAAGACAGAAATTACATATATCTCGAGCATACTAATTTCTAAGTTTCCCTCGATCTGATGAGAATTTAATCGCCGGAAAATCCATAATTGATATGTACGTGACCTGATAAAGGCTGCGCTATCAAAGTAACAAGAGGACTAAATTGTACATTTAGTGCATTTCCGTGGAAACCGCTCGACAAAGCTAAAATGCAGGACACCTCGTTCAACCTCTGGGCAATCGATCGAATATCTATTATCTAACAAACACGTTATACGATATATGAAGCTTGATTATCAATATCAATTGATATTCGGCTAACGAAAATTCTATGCAGCATAATAAATTTACAAATTATTAATTGGGTAAACAGAATTATTTCGTTTTTGTAAATGTGTTTAGTAATAAAATCATATTAACGTCAATTATCACATCACAAAATATTTCCTCCGAATTATTAACCCTTTCATCCTTTCAGCAAGTAGAATAAAAGAGTTAACGAAACGGTAATAAGCTACTTTTTATTTTTATTTCCTCCGTCTCTTTTGAATCAAGACTACAATTTTTATTTTTTTCCCTCAAAATAAAATAAATTAGCTATAAATTATTTTACTTAGAAACACATTTTTTACATAAATAATTTCTTTCTTAATTCTGTCACAAAAATATGAATTACAGTTTATCTCATTCAACGCCGTTTGTTATCTCTATAACCTATCGTTTTAATTTACCGGTTACCGGATGTTTTACGTATCGTTAACCATATACGTGATTATCGAACTTACGCACCGTCTAAGTGTTACCCTTTATCACTTATTCTTATAATATAATTGATTTGAGAACGCATAATTAAACAGTTTTATTAACCGTTAAATAAATGTCGAACTATTAGACATACACTCTCTTTTATTGCGCGACCATTTGAAACCATTCCGAGCAATCCTCGGTCGTTTATGACAGGTTCGAAGCGCAATTATCTCTTCTCCCTTCGTTCCTTTTTTTGCCCGGCTCGCATCTGCCACTCGGACACGATAAATCACTCTAACGACTCGGCGACTCGGTCAGAGGGTCAATATCTCGTTGGCGAATCGCAGCACGTGTGAATCCGATAAGAGAATCAGTCGTACGATAAGTCGAAGGAACAAGCGAACGGACACGTTCGGTGAGAACAGATGATTACGTGATCGTCATCGAGGCAGGGAGAACAAAGATGCGTCATCATCGAGAAATTAGAAAGTGCGAATTACTCCGAGGGAATCACCGTGCGAACAGTGATTACACTTTTGTAAGTATTAATGACGATGAAAAATGTAATTTCATTTCCTTCCTTAATTTATTCTTTTCAGAGACGCATTATTCACAAGATGGAAAAATTTGCTACGCATTATTTTAATTAGAAGCAGAGCATTTTCAACACATTTTTTACATAAATTATAATTATAGTAGAAAATATAACAGAGGGAAAAACACGTGTAAATATAATTTATATTTAATTTTAAAAGATAGTCTCCTAGATTCTGCAAAAATAAATAAAATCTTACGAATTCATTTTAATTTTTAACTTCTTCAATTTTCTAAAAATGTCTTCAAGCTTAAAAAAAAATCATTTTATATTCGCATTAAAAAAATTAAATGAAAAAGTTATATAAAATAAAAACTCAGATCTTTGCTCGTGTGTTTTAAAATATTTTAGTCCTTGGATCTTTTCAGCACAACGTTTAGCTAAATGCAACGGGATGTCGTAATGCGTTCGTTGTACCGACCGGAATGTTACGTCGTCGTCATCGTCGTAGTACGCGAGAGAGGAAACGATGATGATTCATACCGTAGAATTGAAAGAACGAATTACACCTCTGACTGAGAGACTAGACGCATTCACAAAGTATATTAAGCGTAAACCGCACATAACAACGTGTCGTTCGCGCAAGAAAAATTGAAAGATACAATTCTCGCAACAACCTAACGACGATCTTGTTACATAAATTGTGTTACGCAATCGAAATTCCGCCAAAGTGTAAAACAAATATATTCGTGCTTTAAATTGGCATTAAAAAATATTTATATACAGATAAATAGGAGAGAATCTTATATAAATTTATTATGATATTTTTAAAACGTAGATGCATCATTCTTGATTAAAGATAAAAATAGGGCGTAGTACCGGAAATGATTTTCCTCGAAAAGCTAAGAGCTCTCTCGCAGTTTCTTTTTTAATTAATCTTCAAGCGAAGGCGAAGCGACATTCTATAGAAGAACGAGATCGAAACACGCTCGCGACGCATCGATAATTTCCTAAGGGAGGTCGTCTTCGTGAAGGCGCTTATAGGAAGGGTAATTAAATATACGTCGGGGCGCACGCGAGGGGGTTCTTTTGTAAAAATAGCTCGTAAATAAAATACGATTACATATTGCAAAAGTTTCTCGATGATGATATCCTGCATAAAGAATGCATTCCATCAAACTCGTTTATAACTCGATATTGTGTAAATAATTAATATTTAAATATATATCTAAAAAAATTATTTTAAATATCGTGAAGATAAAAAAAAAATTCCCGATATTCATATATTATTTTAAAGTTAAAAAAAGTAACAATATTGACATTTTTTAACATTTAATCACATTTAGATGGCTGTTGAACAATTTAGTAAATATTTTTGCAAGTTCAGTTTCTCTACGAGTTGTAACAGCATCTGCCGTTGAAAGGAAGCTGTTGACAAGACACACCGTATATATATACGAGCAGATAATGCAGTATAGAACGAGTAGGCATCACATGGTCTGGGATGACTCATTGCATTAAAGCTGGTCGATGCCGTCGAAAAACCCACAAAAGAGGAGAGAAGACTCTAAGGATCACTTAACCCTGAGGAATATTTAGACGCAGATTCTCCTCCCAGTTTTTTTTTCGAAAATATCCTTATAAATACTAAAAAATTGCAAAAACTTGGCGCAACCATTAACGATGCTTTCTTTTTTCGATATCGTCTCTTCTTGACTTTTATTATAATTAATATACTTGTATTTTTCTAAAAACGTATGGCTAAAAATATCGAGATATTTTTGTGTCCCTATAATTTCTGAATTATAATGATGTTTAAAATTATTTTATTTTTGTCAATAGAGAATATTCTTTATTTTA